TAACCCTAACCCTAACCCTAACCCTAACCCTAACCCTAACCCTAACCCTAACCCTAACCCTAACCCTAACCCTAACCCTAACCCTAACCCTGGGAATGACGATAATATATGTGGTTACAAATAACCCCGTTTAAGTCATCCCATGCCGTACATTATAAAGCTGCAGTGGGATCGCTGGCACTTTAGCTAGCCGGGCGGTTAAATCATCGATACTTTTTTCGAGGGATCGAATTAATAAACAAGTGCCCAGGTGTCGATAGTCCTTAAGTCGAGAAAATACTTGAACTCATATAGGAGACTTCACTTTAAAGCAAGTACTGAAAAGGCTACTTAAATTGATTAGGCTAGGTACCTAGGTATGGCTGGCTGGGTGGATGTCCGTTCGGTTCGCTAGACGGATTTATTCATAGCTACCTACGCGTTAGAAAAGATAATACATCCAGTTAGTTAGACATTTATGAACTCGGAAAGAAATCTCGTTCTAGTTAAAGGAAAGGACAACTTACAAGCAAGGTGTTACTCATAAACGGGATAGGTGTATTATCAGAATATAAATCTCTACCAACGGTTATTTATTCTAAAATCTATCACTACGATTAACGTGGAGAGAAATCCCTAATCTGTGAATTGAGCCTACAAGGATTTGTCTGCCCAGGTGATCATCATCCGAATCCAAACCCGAGTCCCTACGATACGTTGAAGGTTACGTATCTCCGTTGTGAATCAAAGCGACAAGTCTCTCTCTTATAGATTGATCTGTTTCTTGCTCGATACCATTATGACCCCTATTCAAAACTCTCTCGTGGACGATCCTTGCCACTTCAATCAGACTTAACCGCCCATCCCGCCCCAACGCCATGCCCCTATATACCAAATTTAAGAGGTCTTCATCTACGCCATGTGTTATAAGCTCATCATGATGCTCGTATAATGAGCGCCCGGGGGTTTTGAAAGTTTGGCCATCGACGGTCACTTCCACCTCTCGCAACTCTCCGTCGTCTTGTAATATAAGGAATGACATAATCTATGGTAAAGGTTAGTAAGCTACTAAAAGATTGTTCGAGCAGGATTTTAGTAGGCTGTTATAAATTACCCGGGATATTTCATTAAGGTTCATTTGTGAACCGTTGCGTTGGTGATAATCGCTATAAAAAGATCGTTAGTCGATGTCTGAAGTTGCTTGCTTGCTTCGATTCTTTTCGTTTTGTTTCATTCAATACTTACGAATTTGGGTCCACGACTCCTGCCTCACCAAAATCGATTAACTTCAAGATCGGGGTTGCGTTATGCTCGACACTTGCATCGGGAGCCATAGCACCGACAACAATATTGTGGCTACCTAAATCTTGGTGGGCCAGATCTCCTGGTTCTATCAAGCTCAGTTCGTCGATGCTGGCCGTTTTTGGATCTACACTCTGCCCGTTTACGGTAGCATTATAGTAGGCCATCTCTAAGCAGCCCCTCACCACTATGATGCCCGTATGTGATTAGCCTCAAATTATGTACCGAGTCTTATACGAAAAGTTCGACTTACAACACATGAAGAATCTCCATAGTAGGCGGTTTGGCATTGCTTCTCTGTATTGCTCTTTGTGCCTTTGTACGAGGGTTCTCAGTCCACCATTCTCCGCGTATTCCATGAAAATCCAGGTTCGCATTCGATGTGGTAAGATCCCGTCGGGCGTCTGGGCAAGCGGATCGTCAGGCAAGTCTAACGATTTTATTATATGTAAGCCGTTGCGAAGCCTCTGTTGTCAAATTTATTAATAATGATGTAAAGATTGTTTACATAGGAAGATCTACAAACCTTTAACCAGATCTTTTCTCTCATCATAGATAGGATTTCATCCGGTGTGTCTTCGTATTCATCACCATGACCTTCCTCATACGATTTATTGCCTCCCAAGTCGACATCTATCGGGGCAATTTTAACTGCTAATGTTCTTAATTCTCCATCGGCGGAACCGGAACGTTCGATCTTGTATACGATGCCGTTAGCTCCGGCACCCACTTCACCTTCCCATTTATAATGAGGAGCTCTGTCGAAGAAAGTCTTAATTCTTTCTGTAACCAGAGCCGGCCCTTCCTCTGAAAAATAACTTTTTTCTTCCGACATAATTAAACGTTGTGTCGAGTTAATGTACAAAAATACCTCGGTATCGTCACTTGAATTAAACCAATACACGGATCGGCCGCGAGAAGCTTTTCACCTTATAATAGACAAAGATATCTGCATGAGGAATGATCTTTGGAGCTCCCTATTATTTCCATTATCTCACATTCATGAATGGATATATTTTCTATTTTCGAGACAAAGGACTTCAAGGATTGGCAATTACATCTTTGATAATTTGACTCGAACTTTTACTACTTGCATTATTTGCATTACTTGGCCTTTGTATAATATTTGCATGTTCATTCATGTACTGCGGTAAGCGTTAGCTGCTTCTAATTTTTGTTCTATTGTAACTGTAGTAATATTACCTAAGTATATATCGTTTTATATTGGAAATAAGTTGAGTATCTAACCATCGGTAACCTACCTTTTGAATGCGGTGGACTTAATGTGTATCTAAGTAGACCTTTTTTAATTCATAAATATTTACAACTACTGACTAAGTACCTAGGTAGGGACCTATTATTTTATAGAATACTGAAGTTGGTGACAGTTTATTTCCATAGCACCTTCTTCATAATCAATGCAATATTTAAGCAACTAACCTTCAGGAACCACCTATTGAAACGGCAGAGATAACCCTAATACTTGTTTTTGGTGATGGAGTATTAATACTAGGTAATTATGTACCAGATGTGTTATATACTTATTAAATGTACCTAACTATAGATACCTCAGATAATAATTAATACCGGTATTAGTACACGTAAACTACGTGGAAGTTCTAGGTGTATGTGTACGCAAATTTGGAAAGAGTACTGGGCGGGGAGGGATAATACATACTTACATTTAGTTAGGCACCCACCTACCAAGGTAATGAAATAAATATGTATTTCATCCGGTCTACTGATTGTTTCAATATTCAATGTTGGTGGATGGTTTCGCTGTTACTCGCACTTGCCGGTTCTTACCGGGGATCTATTTACGGAAGCCACTTCTATCGTAAGATCACCGAATACGCTCCTGCATCATTGCAAGATATCCTAAAGCTAATCATACAAATGTTCTGTTTTGTTAATTGTTCGCCGACGTACCGAAGCTCCCATTTGATCCATCGCACCTACTTCAAGTTATTTACTCGGTCATGGGAAACCGCAGGAACGTGAAGCCATTGTGAATCGCTCCGGTGCTTAGATGCACCTTCCTTCCACCGCGTCCACCCTGGGGGAAAACTATTTAATCACAGGAATAAAGTGACCAGAAATTCTAACCTGAATAAATACCAATACATGTCGAACCTTTAGAGAAACACGGCATTTTCCTATCGGCTTAACTTACTATTAACCACCTTATTCCGAGTTTCTACCTTCACAAAGAGTACACTATCACTCGGTAACATCTTACCTGTAAGAGACCCAACATTCATTGAGGCTATCCACAGACCAAGCAAGCTAATTAGCACATCAGAGTACTGTTCGTAATCACCGGCGGTCGGCCCAATACTCACCCCGATATTCACATCATCCAAACAGCACTAGGATAACATTCTCACGGTATCCTTACAGCGACTCTTCGCAAGATGGATTCCAGCAAGGTCGTTAAGTTTGAGGAGGCTCCTGAGGGCAACAAGGTCGATCTTATCAAGAAGGGTTTTGAGCTGGATGTGATGAAGAGAGCAATCGACAACACTGCTGCCCGAAACCCATGCCCGTGTGGTATGTACCAGTACTATAGTCAGAAGTGCGGGCATCTTTACAAGAAGATTCATCTTAAATGCGGCAGGAGCACTTCCAAGAAGACAGGCGATGCCATCCTCTGCTCGGCTGGACGCCTGCGACGTGTCGATGTCGAGACTGCCATGGTTCCATTTCACTGTAGCACCTGTCGTCAATCTGGAATACGATGGATCGGACGATCTGATATCATCCAGAATGCCAACCAGGAGATCGTCAACCAGCCCAGCATCAAGCAAAAGGGTGAAGCTAACCCTTCTAGTCTCGTAGAACAAGATCAAGAAGGAGGCCAACGAGGACAGCTTCAAGAACTTTACCGTATCCCTGAAGCTCCGAAGTCGAGCCCGAGCCAGTTGCACAACGCTCTCCCGTTCCGCGGTTACCGCGACCAGAAGGAGAATGTGAAAGTAGGTCTAGAAGCTTCTAAGGAGCCCGCGAAGGAGGATGGCGAAGAGATTGAGGATTAAGATTGATAACGAATGATATCGTACTGTGTATTGGATCCGAAATACGTTCTTGAGCAGATTGAGCAGGATAAGAAACAGCCAATACGAAAGTTTTCGAGTCATGGGTATAGCTCATTTAGTTGTGATCTTCCCTGATACGCATTATCAAAGAATTCAGTTGTGACTCTAGAGTGAAATTGCTGTAGTTAGGTTAAATTGTTACATGCACATAAACCAAAATGTAAAGGATCGATGGTTTAATTCAATAATTCGTTTTTGTTTTGTTTGGGGGGTCACGGTTTGCCCATACAGTCCGACTTATAAAATGACGTAATACATCTCATTAGGTACATACAACATTGAATTTAATATGCCGGCTTCTCCACTGCTGCACGGGTGGGTTTTAGAGTGGACCATAAGGCCGATTCCGCCAACCCGCCAATTCAATTAATGTATTGAAATGTATACAGTGTGATACAGTGGAATAACGTACAGTTCAATACATATTACACACAGTATCCTGAATCTTACAGGGGGTTACAGCGCTACAGGACGCTAAAAGCCCTGTACTTTATAGTGGTTATAGCGCATAGCCTTTTTACATACCTACCTAGGTACTGAGTATATAGCTCATGATTCGGATACACTTATGCGCTTCAATATTAAGTCGCTCGCAAATATAATAAGTTTATTCGACAGCGCTTTAAAAGCTCTTTCTATTTATATATTAATTATTGCGAAAAAGCTTTCAGTCGTTGAGGCTTAATTGAATTTATTATAATATGTACTGTTGACATCTACTCGATGAGGCTTGGCGTGTGTCACGTGATACCCCTCGTTTTGAACTATGTGCCTTTTTAGGTACCTAAGTACCTAGAAAGCCACCTGTAAAATACAGGGGCCTTCAGCGCCTTGTAGCGCTATGACCCCTGTAAGATTCAGGACACTGTGTGTAATATGTATTGAACTGTACGTTATTCCACTGTATCACACTGTATACATTTCAATACATTAATTGAATTGGCGGGTTGGCGGATTTGTTCTTATGGTCCGCCGTCGGTTTCCCTATTAACAGATTTAGAGATTGATATGTACTACCTACATCCACATCTCCAATACATATTCAATATCTGCGTGTATGAAGCAAGCTTACTTCTTCAAAACATCGCACACCCGCATTCGGCAGTGGACGGCAACCTTGAGCTCGTTATCATCCGCCCAGCCCTCTTTTCGTAAAAACCACTCATCCCTAAAAATGTCACACCAGAAGACTCAGGAGCCGGTCATCGACAAGATTTCGGAGTTGCCCGTCGATCAGGCGAAGTGGGTCACGCTCAAGAAAGTCGAATACACCGACCAAGTTGGCAAGCAACGGACTTGGGAGGTGGCGACGCGGAAGACCCGCGGAAAATCAGGTGTCGACGCTGTCGCGATGGGGAATATTCTCCTACATCCGTCGCGCCCGGCTTCAACCATGCTTGTCATACAATATCGGCCGCCTCTAGACTCATATACCGTTGAGTGGCCCGCCGGCCTAATCGACGCCGAGGAGACGGCAGAGCAGGCGGCGGTACGCGAGTTCAAGGAGGAGACGGGCTACGACTGCAGCGTGTTAAGCATCAGTCCCGTGCAGGCGGCAGATCCAGGCATGAGCGACGCCAACATGCAACTAGTCATGGTCGAGGTGAAGCTAGGAGAGAGGGACGAGGAGCCGGAACAACGACTGGACGATGGCGAGCATATACAACGCGTTGTCGTACCTCTGAGCGAGTTATACGACCGCCTGGCGGAATACTCCAAGGCGGATCGCATGATTGTCGCAGCTAAGTTGTTCCATTTTGCTGCTGGTATGAAGTTTGCACAGACGCAGAAATACTTTTAAATTTTAATAGACCGTCGTCCGTGAGGTTCATAACGGATGCATGTGTACATACTTATTTACCTGCCTAGATAGCGCATGGAATTATCAGGGAACCCTCAATGCGTGTTGATTGAGTTTTGCGTTCGGATCCTATCTTGCGTTTGTTCTTAACGGCCCTCTAACTAACCGTAGTGGCAGTAATTACCCAACTGCCTGAGACCTGCATCCGTATCGCAAGGGTCCGTAAAGACCTAAGGCGAAAAGGGTGAAAAGAAGGTCTTATGGCCACTATTACAACCACTACAACCCCCGAAACGGCTTGGCGAGTATTAAATCCAATCTCCATGCTGATTGATGCGCCTAACCATCCATTCGACCAGTCATCTCTATTCTTGAAAAAACGTGTGCCAAGAATTATTCGATGTTGTGCCACAATCGTAGTAATGAAGAGATTATTTAGGGGTTATTTTTCCTTTTTTCTCCCCCCAGCCTTCAAGATTTCAAGATAACTCATAGGACAATCCAGGATATCCCGTTTATAACTTTAGTGCGATGGGAAGCATTCGAATCCTTTTCCGACTAATCAGCCTTTACGGTTGCCATCACGTGGAGGGATAGGGAATTATTGCATTCAACATTAATAAATAAATAAATAAATAGGTACCTACCTAGGTAGGTATGCCAACTCGGCAGCGAGGAGTCAATGCCACTTTGGTTACCTGTTCTACTTGCTGCATTTTCGTTGCCTTGTTGCTTTACTTGGGCTTCGCACTGCCTAATTCAGCTCGATTGGCTACTATGCGGTCGTGGGCCTCGCTTCTGATGCCGCTTGTCACGGCAGTGGTTGCTCAGAATGTCGATCTGGGATGGTACCCTCCCAGCAATACGTCCATAAATAATCTGACTGCCGTCCTCGACAATCAAGGGGTATACGGATTTATTTTTAACACCTCGGACACTCCTAAGGCCCAGTATGGCGCGTACAATTGGTGCAATATGCCTCATGTTCGAAAGTCGGAATATGTCAAGCCGGCAGCTGAGTACAAGCTCACATACGTGGAAGTGGTTTGTTCTAAGCTCTCCAAGTAATACAGGTTCAACCAGCTGAGCGTGACCAGATTCAGAGACATCACAAGCGGACTCCGTATGCGAGCAACGCTTTCCCGGTTGAGTCTTACCATTGGAACTGCGACGACCAAGGTCTCTATTATTACGGGAGTCCCTTCGCAGTCGACAGCAGACAGCCCGCGCATGGCTTCTGGAAAGGTTATATCTCGTCCGTCAACCCTTACACGCCGTCGGGTTGGATAGGGACTTGCCAGTTTCCCCAGATAACTTCTACCGGGCTTGACGATTCGTGGGTCCACGGCCAAGATCTGTACGGGGTTTACCATGACTTACTCGGATTTCTACCCGGCAGGGGGGAGGATTGGCGAAGCAAGGTGACGTATCGCGTGACCCAGAATGTGATTACGAGCCAAGTTGCCGGCATGTTGATCAACGGCATGTGGGGAACGGCCGATTCCGTACCCCTGATGATCCAAGCTGCCGGAGTCGACGGTTTGGAACCTCAATACACCTGCAGCGTGGGCAGCAGCCTGTTCGGCGCGATTAAATCCTCTTCCAACACGCCTTGGCAAAATCACCTGAAAGCCGCCGCAGACCTGTTCGAAACCTTGGATAACATATCCGGGGTGTCTCCCAGCGACTCTGGCTTCCATGCCAGTTTCGACCATTACTTCGATAATCTTTCCGCGCGACAATGTCACGCGAAACCGTTGCCGTGCAAGCTGATAGACGGGGTTAACTCCACGACGTGTGTCGACCAAACGCTAGCTAACTTCGTGTATCGCATGGGACAGTGGGAATATTCGCAGATGTATCGCGACGCGCCTACGTCGCTAACTGCATCTTCTACTACGTATGGCGTCTGGGTTGCCGAGCTGAGCCAACATCTGCGAGATGCCATAGCTAATAAAGGAGGGCCCATCTATTTTCATAACGTTGCACACGACGGGTCTATTAGTCGAGTGCTAAGTATACTACAAATCGACGTTATGGTGGTAAGTAATCTACCTCCTCGCCCTACCTAGGTATTAGATAGACGATATCTGCCTTTCTACGTAATTGGGTATGAGATAGCTAACATGGTATTTGCAGTGGCCTGGTATGGGCAGCGAGATAGTATTCGAGGTGTATAAACGAACTGGAAAAGCGACGCCATTCCCGCCCCCATGCAATGGCACGAGTGCTAAGACAAGTACGGCGCAGTGGATGGGAACGGGGACCGGTGGATTCTTCATAAGAGTTCTCTTCGGAGGAAAGACACTGAAGTCCTCGAATCCCACCCTTGGGTTGCTTGATATGATACCTGTGGAGACCCTGCTCGCATATTTCGACGGTTTGGTCGGAGCGGGTGCGAGCCTAGTCGTGAGTAAATGCAATGGAACGACACCTGTGTAATTTTAATATCGAAGTAGAAACGTTCCGGGCAACTGGAAAGTCGTAGTAACATTTTCCACGCATATATCCATAGCCATTATCTAATGCTAATGCCAATTTGCGCCAATTGCTTCTCTACATCACTCCATCTACCTGCTCGCATCGGATCCAGTGATCGGACTTTCGCTAGCCACTTACTAGGCTCATCGATATGGATATCCTCATTGCCATGTTCTCCGAGTCGCTTTAGGGCGATGGTATATTCGAGCAGAGACTCGTAAATCCATTTTACATCTTCGTAATCCTCCAGCAGATCTTTTATCTGGTCAATCTCCTCCCTCACGTAGGCCGCCCTCTCGACAATGGTCAGAGCCGGCGCTATGGCCTGTTTGCTAGCATAGCTGACGATTTGCGACACCATATATTGATGATAATACCATAAGCTCTGGTCTTCTGGGCCGACATTAAGGGCATCTCGGACGAAACCGAGCTCTGCCTTGAGGAATTCCTTCCTCGCCGCATCGTCGGCGCTACGCTCTTCTAGTAGACGTAGCATTAACTGGCTTCGATTATGCCAGGCTGAGAAATTAGATAGGTCGGCAGAGATCTTCACAGTGGTGTAGGCGAACTCCTCTTCGACCATGCTCCGCCCGCCGAGGGAGGGACTCTCCAGCGCGGCTACTACGTACCGCCTGTAACCCCATGCGTGAAAGTTACGCCGATCTTTGGTTAACATCTTGGATGCCAAAGTAAGCTCGGCCTCCCAGATCTTACGAGCAGCGGTTGTGGGTAGTCGTACGATGGCTTGCTCGAGAAGCCATTTGCGATATTTCCAAATCCAGTAGCACTTGGGAAATTCGAGTAAAAGGGGGATAGTGAAGTCGAGCTCGGAATTGAGGATTTCTACATCCCCTTCTGAAGTTATATATTCCCCGTCGTCAACTATAATACCATTCTTCCCAGCTGTCGGGGAGCCTTGGCCTTGCGGGGTCGCATCCGAGGACGAAGGTGAGGAGTAGTCTGAAGACGGATTCGTAGTGTCGCTCGGAGAAATATTCGGTAACTCCTTCGAGGGCGATGACCCAGCCGAGGGTCCTGACAATAATCCAGAGATTAGACAGCGGCGACGGACGTTCCATATCGTGTAATATTCGGGATTTAGACGTAGTAATTTAGAAGTGAGTTGGAAAAGGGTGGTATCGTAGTTTTCTGCTGCAGCGCGAACACGGATGGATTCCTCAAGTTCTTGATATTTTCCTATCTTGTTGAGATCTTGCTGTCGTTGTTCTTCAGTTCGCGCGGTTCGAGAAGTACGAGCTGCGCCGTGCTATCTTGCTACCCATCAGTTATGCTTACGCTCTTTCGACGAGTGCCGGAAGTAGCAGGAACTGGTATGGGAACGTACATTGTCCATGTCGAAACGTCTTTTTAATATACAAGGGATCTGATTTGTTGACAATTATCAGATGAGCTTCAAAAAAATATAGTAGGAAGAGTCGGGTATAAAAGATGTAGAAGCATCCATAGGTATGTACAGTATCACCGATGACGTGCCGTAGATAAGATAATAGGCGCCAAACTTTTGCCTAAGCTGCTAAGTTGTTAAGCTTCTAAATGAATATTGCATAACTGCATTGATGTGTCGCATATGTCGCTTTAATACCATTTAGACCATTTCTCATTTCCACCATCACCATCTACATCTACCTATTTCTAGTTACATTGTTTATAAATTCGTAACCAGCTTAAATATCACATGTCCCAAATCGAGCGTAATAGGTCTAGGTATATCTCATCTCAAGCTACGGATTATACAACAACCAGCTTCTAAGCTACTCTCTAAGCTACTCTTGATGTTACTCTCTACAAGCGTATCCAAAGCTCCTCACGCAGATGCACATGTCAGATATGATAACCACATACCTTCATTTAAACACGAATCACAAGTCTACTTTCGAACTACATATACCTAGTAGTTTTTCTTGTTAAGTACCTACCTACCTACCTAGGTACCTACCTCTAGTAAGCTTCCACATGGTGAGCCTGACACTTTCCTGAGATGGAAACCGTCTCCTTGAACATGCCGAGAGTCTTCCTCTCGTGTTCCTCCCTTCCTCCTATCCTTCTCTCTTTCTCCCTTCGTCTGGCCGTGGAGGAACGTTGGTATACTCCAGGCACGTATCTGAGTCCCATGTCTATTTCGTGCAAAAACTCACCGAATCCTATTGTTTTCCTTCTCTCCGCCTAGACTATGGCATTGATTTATTCCACTCTTTCTTCTTTTATTCAACATGCCTATCGCGTCGCCCGACCGATTCGTACCTTTCCGTGTACCGCTTGGGGAACGGTTCCGAGCCACCAAGCAAGCCCACGAGCTATCGCCGTCGGAGCGGCTATATCGCACGGACGACGCATCCTCTGACGTATTTTGCTTCACGCCGAAGCGGTCTAGTCCAGTTTCGTCTCGGCGAGCATCTCGATCCGATAGTAACCAAAGACGTCTCGGCACCATTCTCAGCTTGCAAAGTCTTAGCCTGGAGCAACGACAGGTCAGCAATGGTGCCGTCTGGTCGGTAGGAGGTCTGGCACCCGGGGGGATCGACGATGGGCACGGCCGGCGTGTGAGCTCCGGCACGAATGCCCGCCTCTACGCTACGTCGTTTTCGAACGTGAGGCCCAAATCCGAAGAGGACCAGGAAAAGCACGAGGGTCGACTTGCTTTGGCATTGAAAATTGATCGTGTTCAACGAATACTGGATTTTGACGGGTATTCCACATTCCCTAGCTGCAAGCACAAAAAGAGACCGTCTCTTCGGGAAACCAGGACGACATGGACAGGAAGCGAGTGGAGCAATGACCGTCATATACCAAGTACGGCATTTTCCTTTGCATGTCAATCCCCTGACGAGGCTAACACTACCTCAGAAATCCACAAGGAAGAACGGTGTCTTCCCAACGCACCTTTCAAGTACGTGAATTCTTCATCTATCCAACTCTAATAACTAGATATGTATAATATTAACAATGCTTAGAGTTCTAGATGCCCCGGGTCTTCGGGACGACTTCTATTGCTCGATCATGGCCTATTCTCGAACGTGTAACACCTTAGCTGTAGGGTTGGGTAATTTGCTTTACGGGTGGTCGGAATCCTCCGGTGTCACGCTTCTAAACGCGGGGCTCAAGGATGGGTCGTGGCTGACGTCGGTAGCCTTCTCGTCGGAACAAGGCGGCAAGTCAATACTTGCTTTCGGTCGATCAAGCGGGCTTCTTTCCTTGGTATCGCTCTTCGATAGTCTGCTCCCCCGTTTCGAAGCGTATCACCCCGAACCGATAGCTTGCCTCTCCTGGCGTCCCGCCTCTACGTCACGACCGTCTCTGAGTAAGCGTAATCCAGGTGTCCTTGTTAAGACGGAAGACCTCCTCGTGGGTGATGACATGGGCGACATATATTACTATTCGGTTGAATGGCCCGAGCCCTAGGAGGTGGCTCGGGAAAATTGGCGCGGCGCGATAACTTTGCTTGCTCGCATCAAAGTCCATTCTCAGCAGATATGCGGCCTCGCATGGTCTCTCGACGGCGAACAGTTCGCTACCGGGGGCAATGATAATCTGTGCTGTCTCTTCCATGTAAGCGGTATTACCGACACGGAGCCTTGCCTAAGTCTAAGCTTTCCAAAGGTGCCAATGGTTAATCTCCCCTGCGGCGAGAAAGGGCCTCTCTCGCCATTTAACGCGGGAGATGGTGCTTCAATTTCATCTCCAGTCACCTTTGACTGTCCCAGCCCGCTACCTGCCATAAAACATCTACCGGCTGGTTCAGAGAAGCATCGATGGCGCCATGGGGCCGCTGTCAAAGCCATTGCGTTCTGTCCGTGGCATCGGGGGTTGATAGCCACAGGCGGAGGCTCCAACGATAAATGTATCCATTTCTACCACACGAATTCGGGCGCCGCGCTCGCTACGATCTCGGTGGCTGCTCAGGTAACGTCGCTCATTTGGAGCACGACTCGCCGAGAGATCGCGGCGACCTTCGGATACGCGCAGCCCGATCACCCATACCGCATCGCCGTATTTAGCTGGCCTGATTGCCGACAGGTCGCTGCCGTGCCGTAGGAGGGCGAACATCGCGCGTTGTATGCTATCGCGTACCCGGGAGGGCCGAGTGATACATATCGTACCAAGGAGAGGTTGAAGAGCCGCACCGCCGAGGAGGGTTGTATCATCGTAGCGAGTAGCGATGAGAGCGTCAAATTCCACGAGGTCTGGGCAGCTGGCCGCAAGGCGACCACGTTTGGCAGCGGTGTCCTAGCTAGGAGCGACATCTTGGAGATGGGAGAGGGTATTGACAAAGAGGGTGACGTGATTCGGTGAAAGAGAAGAAGAGAGAAGGGAAGCAGTATAGCATTGTTCCGTAGTGGATAGAAACACTTAAGTCGTGTAGTAATAAATGACCTTCTCGCATCTTTTCGAGGTACCAATTCTAATGCTTCGTTTGGATACATAGATGCCTCCGAGGATGGTTGAATACTAGATACCGAGATACCTAACAAGAAGGTATGAAATGATACATCGTGGTTAGAAACTCATCGAGTAACTAAACACAATTATGAACCTCTAAACACCAAGAAGCTCCATCGAACGCCACTTTCTTGATCATACCTAGGTAGACACCTACGTAAGTATATCTATATTTCTATAGTATTGTTAGGCATTCCTCGCATCAAATAACCCATTAGCATATTCATATCAAGTACTGAACAACAATGGCAATTCGCTTCTCTTTCTTTCGACATTATTCATATGAATATGGATGGATGCTTTGTCCAAATTGATTATTCATAAGGAGCCCCTGACCAAATGACGAAATGCCGTGATCAAAATGGTTCATACACAGTATCTAAAGTGACATGATTAAAAAGGGCTATTCTTTAAAATACACTGAGCTAGTCCCTTTTTGGCTCGGTCACGTTCCTTTTAAATGTAGTCACTCACCGGCGATTGATAGTGCCCCCCGCCTTGTCCCGCTCATCTACAGCCTACAGGTCCAGTCAACATGGATAGGGGTACCTAGGTACTATAGTAAAGTGCCACAGGAGAAGGTACCTAGGCTCCGACATACACAATTCGTTGCTGGAGGCATTTACGTACGTTCGGCACCTGCCTAGTAAATTCAATACAATGGGCACCTTCCAGTCTCGCTGGAACACGCTTATAATAGGACCCTACATCAAATGCTACTAGGTACTAGGTATTCAGCGTTAGCGAATGTTGTGCAATACCTGCCTTTGAGATAGGTACATATAATGTTATCTAGTACCATGTCTGGCAAGCACAGGCCTATGTAGTCTCCTATACCACTTAATACACTTTGGCACCAGACTAATGATACTATTACCACTACCTACATAGGTACCTACCTAAGTATACCTACTTACCTAGTATTATACCTAGACATCCTAAGTGCTTACCTTAGCGTCTTGGGGGGGGTTATTTTTACCGTTACTTTTCCGTTTATTAAATATCCATCGTATTTATACGGCTTAATGTAATGAATAATTTTTTATTCGAATGTTCGAAATTTAATTAATTTAAATTTTAAATTATTAATATACGGTTTTTTTTTATTACGTTTATAAATTTAATAACGTTAATTTAATTAAATCGTAATTTTTTTATTTAATTAATTAAATTATATTTATATAATTTAAATATCGTTTAATTTAAATTAAACGTTTAAATATTTTAAACGTTCGAATTTTAAATTATTAATATAATATTATTACGTATATTAAATTATTTTAAATTAAAAACTTTCGTTTTTTAAATTAATTATAAATTAAAATAAAATTTTATTTATTTACGCGTAATATTTATAAATTTTTCGTAATTAAATAATAATACGATTATAATTTATTTATTTAATTAAAATTAATAAAATTTATAATTTAAATATAAATATTTATAAAAATTATATAATTAAATTATATAATTATATAAAAATGAATAATTTTAAATATTATTTTTATATAAATAATATAAAAATAATATTTAAAAATATTTTTTTTTTATTTAAATAATAAAATAATTAAATCGTTTAAATATTTAATAATTTAAAAATTTAAATAATTTAATAAATTAAATCGTTTAATAAATATATTTACGGTTTAATTTAATTAAAATATTTCGAAACGTTAAACGATTAATTAATTTAAATTAATTCGAAATTAAAACGTTCGAACTTTATTAAATCGTTTAATTAACTCGAATCGAAGCTAAATTTTTACGCGTAACGTTCTATAAACTTTATTAAACCGTTTATATTTTGAACTGTATATTTACTGCATATATACCGTTAAATGAACCCCCGGAAAACACCAAGGTAGCTTATCGGTGACTGTGGCAATAAATCAGCAGCTCAGTCGGTCACTTGAGTTTCTACCTACCAAGGTACAACTAATACAGGTACATAAGGTACCTACGTAAATGGCAGATGGCATTTGGTCATCAAAGCCAAATCACCTGCGCCACTAAAGGTTGCCTTGGCTTTTTTGTGGGTCTCCAGTGGGAAGTCGCTCCTCTGCTCCCTCCTCCACCCCCCCACGTAAAAGCAAAGCCGTACCTTCAAACCTATGAACCTCCAACCTTTAACCTAAACCTCAATCATCTTTCATCGTCATCATCATCAGCATCATCACCTGGCTTTCTTCATCTCTCCTTGCTCTTCCCCAACGCGACCGCCTATCTCTTTCGACAAAATCACACTTAGTGCTTTGCACCACTTAACCCATTCCATTTCGCCAACACCCAGATATCATCAAGATGCGATCCAAGTTTAAGGACGAGCACCCCTTCGAGAAGCGCAAGGCAGAAGCCGAGCGCATCCGCCAGAAGTATGCCGACCGCATTCCGGTAAGTAAATCTATCGCATTTTGACTTCTATTGTAATTATCAGATGAAATTTGGTCGTCGTGAATGATGCCGTTCCCGTCACAAGCTTCGTCTTCCTTCCTCGCCGCTTCCATCGTCTCACCGCTTTGTTTGCTCTTTTATCTAGCAAGATACCTCCAGATTCTAACCCACAACTATACAAACAGGTGATCTGCGAGAAGGTCGAGAAATCCGATATCGCGACCATCGACAAGAAGAAGTATCTGGTGCCAGCAGACCTCACCGTAGGCCAGTTCGTCTACGTGATCCGAAAGCGCATCAAGTTGTCTCCTGAGAAGGCTATTTTCATCTTCGTCGATGAGGTCCTCCCCCCTACCGCCGCTCTCATGAGCAGCATCTACGAAGAGCACAAGGATGAGGATGGGTAAGCAGCATCCACTCGGCTTCCAGCTACCCTACTCTGGACTAGCATATACTAACTGATCCGTCTACAGATTCCTCTACATCACCTATTCGGGCGAGAACACGTTCGGCGAGACTGCCTAAGGCCCTAAGCCTTTTCTCAATTTCAACTCCCAAACGGCGTTATGGTTTTATTCTGGGCTGGACGACAACGATGCGATCATTAGTGGCAACGAATTACGGATAAGGCGGGCATAGCCATGGCAGATGGTTGATAAGAATGGCATCTTCCCCGACTAGTTGCGTCATGGTCCTCAAGGTGTAGATGACGTTAGTCTTTAATTTCATATCACCAATAACCAATGTGGCTTTTGTCCACCGAGTCATCTTGTGCACAGACTCCATCGTGATATGCCTAGACTCATTTTTTTCTTCGGGTTGGGTACGAGTACGTATAGGCAGGATTTCACCCATTTCACCCTCGATTCCTTAATTCCCTTCTTCGGCTTTCCAGATGATTGATATGATGTTAGGTGTGATATATAGACCCACTATCTTTGGATATACTTATGTACTAATACGCAGGCCACACTATCCCCGAACATAGCTAGCAAAAGGCGGATCCTGATCACACATATCACCGACAGGAGTAGGATAGTCGTACTTAATAATAAGTTAGGATGAGAACGCTTCGACAGAAATCATCAACTACGGCATAGATAGTTACTGCTAATACATACTATCAAGCAACACATCCCCAATAAAAACGACATCCACAATTATAATCACAAGGTACTACAAAGTAGGGATCAAGAACACGGTAAACAGATCAAGGCTCACGATGAGACTAGTCTAACAAGTTCATGAATGCCATGGACTATTAATCAAGGTACTATAAGATAGTTGACAAACAGAAAATCGAGGTAATCAAACCACTCCACTCTAGCTTACCTACCTACTTGGGGTGACTTAGGAGATCTACCAACCAAGACAACTATAGAATAGTCCTCCAATCATCGTGGCAACTGTTGTTTAGTCAGGTGGGATGGCCGAGTGGTTATGGCGCTGCGTTCAGGTTAAGCCGAATTTGAATCCAGCATTAGATGCTGGGAGTGAAATATCGCAGTGGAGCAATCCGCGTGGGTTCGAGTCCCACTTCCATCACTCAACCGACGCCGTCTTAAGGACAAGCGTGGAAACTTTTTTTATTCCTTTCTGTTCCATCTTCCTGAATATTCCCTAAGGGGTAGCTATGGTAGGCTTTGCTGTTGCCGTTCAATGGTCAATAATGTGAATAATAAGGCTCTTCTCAACTACTTCGGAAATTTTACGATAATGCTACTTTATCGTAAATTTTTAGGTTAGATACTTCTATCATACGGGCGGATTCACTCATCTGAACTACTAGATGCCTCAATATCACATCTTAAGTGTTAATTAGTACATTATTATTTAGGTAGTTCTAAAGGTGGGCTCGTGATACTCCTATTCTATACTTATCAAGACGCATGGACTTGATTAACAATAATAGGGGTAGGTATTTCATATCCCCTAAGACTCCTTTTACTTCCTAAGCGTCAACAATGCCCTCCCCGGTCTCACTTCTTTTTAATTTAGATTTTTACTAAATGAAATATTAATTATTATCTTGAAGGGTACTTACTTAGGTAAATAAATTGCAGTTACATAGCCTACTTATAGACAAACGTACTACCTAGGCTAACCCATTCTCCAGTACAATACAAAGGACTCGCTCATAAATTCCATCACGAATTCAAACGACCAATACGCATTAAGTAGCTCCGGTAAGCAAAGGCTGTTTAATATTCTAATTTGCTGCCACTATATTATAGTCTTCACTGCTACCTACCTGTCGGTAGACAACTAAATACCTAGATACTAGGTAGGTATGTTTCTTCATAACACGGTATAATAATTATAAGCCTTCGTGAAAACATAGGTAATTTAATAAATACTAGGTACTTAACTATGCCAGTACCTACTTAATTATATCATCACACATGCTGCTATGATAAGCCTTTCGTGACAACCACGACCCTGGGATCATCTTAACCCAAAAACTAAGTAAGTAGGTAGGTATGGATTCCTTCAATTTAAGATTGGCTAGGTAGGTACTAATACAGTTAATCTCTACCAGTACCAATCAATACAAATTTATGATTATTTCCTAGAGCCAGCATATTAGATACCTGGTAGTTAGTAGATAGTAAGAAAGCAAGAATCGTGATTGATTTCTCAGGAGTCCGTAGGTAATTTCAACTCCTGGCTTTGGAGGGTAAGGTATTGATAGGTACCTATGTTATGAGTTACGGTATGCCTCACTCTTCTTTCCACTACCTAGGTAAGAAGGTACCTGTCTTTCAGCCAGCCAGTCATGGAAGAGTCAGGAGAAGCTCATCTTGAATATTAGGAGATAGTCATACCACCTAAACCAAGCTTTATATTTCAGTACAACCGCTACAAAAGATCCTACGACAAGGCTAGGTCAATGAGAAGTACAATAAAAATCGATTTTCTTCTAACAAAAACTCGAAATACTTAGTCTTAGGATGGCGACACACGATACAAACCTCATTTATTAGGTGCAGTACCTAATTCGAGTACATAGTAGAGTACCTTCCGATCCACCATCACTGCCTTTTAATTGCACTTACAGTAGATACCTACCAACCGCTAATGTTCTAAGCCCCCTTAAGTAAAGCGTAGACTCTGGGCTAGATAGGATATGATGCCAGCGAGGCAGAAGAGCAACTAATTGCTTTAAGGTTCTTTACCAGATGTCTATTGGTTGGATCTTATTAACAGCTCATATTCGATAGGGAAGAATAAGTATCCAAAACTCATTGTAATGTTGACATTGCCCGAGCTCGTCTAAACGCATGCTATAATCATACGTCTCGAAGTCAAATGAAGGGTAATTCGGTAGTACGACGCAACCAAGCTTGCCCCTATCCCTAGACTCCTTCAGGTACGGGTAACATATCATCCTACACGACGCACGCTTCATTTCACATGTACTTAATCGGGAAACGGGCCTATTTAATTTTGTAATCATCTTGTCTCTCTCCAAAGACCAGAAGCCTCGGCTTGCGTTGCTCTACCGGTGTGCCCCCGCCCCCCTCTCCGCTTCTACCCCTTGCAGCCTAATAATTTTTTGAGTTCAAATGACAAGATAAAAAATGTAACAACCAAGGATGGCAGCCCACGCATCGGATGTAATGCACGGGGGAGCAATGGGAATATCGTACACAAGGCGAATACTTGAAAACTCTGCCCGTAATCGCCGGAATCGGTAAAAATTCCTTCGACGCAATAACATCGCCGCTTATAACATCCCCTCCGGTGAAACTCGAATTAAATAGAACAACCGTGGACCAACGCCGATTTTTCTTTGCTTTCCACTGACAACGGACGGTTTAAGTAGAGATATCAAAATTAGTCCGGCGTTGTCAAATAAAAACGTCAATCGTGGATGGGAATCGCTGAGAACCTCCAAGCCTTCCGGACCCCCAAAAAATGCAAGTCCTGAACGTCCAGCCGATGTAATAGTGCGTATAAAACAGCCGAGCCAAGACCGAACAACAGTACAGAATTCCGTATCCAGAGGTGACGCCGGTATGTTGGGTTTCTCCCTTTCTCCCCTTTCTCTCTTTCTTCCCTTCTTACTTTTCTCCCCCTTATCGATATGCTTCGTCTGCTTAGAAAAGGCTAGGCCAATCATCACGCTGGGTTACCCTTCAAGCGTTTCTGTAACCGAGGCGTCGTCTGAGGCTTTTTGTTAGCCATTCCGACGCCGTTTACTTGACCTCCCATGCTCGAAGGTGTGGGGGCGCCGCTCTCTTCTTCGGTCTTAACGGTCGACGGCCTCCTCCGCTTATTGCTTGCTGGGCTCGTGTTAGCGCTAGGCCCGCTAGAGTTCGTCCCTTGCTGACTCTGCTGTAGTTGCATGCCTGGTGCTTGCATGTGTCCTTGAGCGGGGCTACCGAGGTGAGGAGAGTTCGGAAGCTGCAAGTGTGTCGCCGCGGGTGAAGCACCCATCGGGAATTGACTAAAGTTAGGCGTCCGTGGGTTTGGCGGTCCGTTGCCTTGGGGTTGGCCGTTAACCACGGTTTGCTGCGGGGCGTTTTGAATGTTCTGGCTGACGTATTGCTCGAGCGCGGCGTATGGCGAAAGGCCGGGATGTGTGTGGTAGAAGTTGAACAGTGGCTAAATAATTTCATAGGTCAGTAACACCATCCGGTTTTGAGGGTTGCTGGGGGGTATATGGCATCTCTCTGTTAACCACGCAACTCACATTCATTTGTCCAACAACTTCGATAATCTAGAAATGTCAAGTTAGTATAACTATAAGTGGTTGGATGGAGGAGAAAGAAGGAAGGGTGTTCGTACCTCGAGAAATTGGAACACCGCTTCCGTGATGCCTGAATTTTGTTTCACGGCCGATTGGGGCAGGTCGATATCAGGTGGCGGAACTTGGGGCGATTTCATCAGTTTCTTCCCCTTCTTACTCATCTCTGGAGATAATCGCGTATCTTGCCCATTCACTTTAAGCCACTCTTTGACCCAGTTGTGCGCTGGTTTTGCGGCCTCGATGACCATCTTCCTTGAATGATATTCCTCGTGACCTTGCGTGATAAATTCCAAGAGTTCTAATTTCTGGTCGCTGTCGAACTGCGCTCTGAGTGTTCCCGTCGCGACGACCTAATCACGGGGCTGTTAGATATCATCTGCTACCTGGCCTATAATTGGCCACGATTCGTGTAACCTACATGCGAATTGTCGAACCAGTAGGTCAGGTTTGCTTTCTGGTTCTCGATGAAATGACACCCGTTCGGCAACGGTCTGTCGGTAATCCCTTTTTCGAAGGTTAGGTTGATCCTCCTGATGCCACTCTCGAAGTGCGTATGGAAATATCGGGCTAGCGCCGGTTGTGTTATTTCATACTGCTTATCCCCATGTTCCGCATTCGCCATTTCGATGCCGACATCGAATAAGGAGAGCCTGAAGACTCCTCTAGGAGAAAAGAATTGCGCCACGAAACTATTCCAGTATGACAAATCATCCTTTGTTCTTGAGCCCTGCCAAGCGCTATACGTTAGCAATTATTTTCATCAAGGATAGGCCACATGGTACTAACGTGATACCCGCTGAGGTGCTCGCCGAATTGGAGTAGTTTTAATAGGCAGTGGCCTTTCATGCCATCGTTCTTGTGCTGCTGCTGGTGTAGCAATTGCTGCTGCATGCCGGCTGGGATTTGGATGTGCGGGCCTGCTTGTAGTGACTGCGCGTTAGGTTGCTGAGGTTGGCTCTGCGGGCCATTCGGTGGCTGGCCCTGTCCCTGTGGTTGTTGCTGCTGGTTCCCTTGCGCGGGGCTCGGTCCTTGGGTTTGCGGTTGATTCGATTGCGCAACCGCCGGCGTCGGAGCCCTTTGGGGACCCTGTGAATTTGACGGAGGTTGTTGGCCGGGCTGCGGACCATTTTGCTGCTGCTGTCCCGGTTGTTGCTGGGGCGGAGGTTGTTGTCCTTGTTGTTGTGGTTGTCCTTGCGGTTGAGGTTGAGGTTGGTGCCCTTGACCTTGAGGGCCTTGTGGGACTTGTTGCTGCCCCATCGGCTGGGCTAGCTGGGCCTGCTGTAGATGAAGCTGCTGGGGCGTCATCTGTCCGGGATGACCAGGCTGGTTACCTTGATGCATCGTGTTGTTGGCCTGCTGCTGGGCGGCCTGGTGTTGTAATGCTAGTTGCTGTGCCAGGATGTGCTGCTGCAAAGAGTATTGTTAGAACCAAGGGCGAAGATAGGAAGCGTGTAATTCTAAAGGAGGGACAGAGGGATGGGTATCATTTACAGCATGCTGAGAATTTTGATGTTGTGCCTGTTGTGCAAGATGCGCCTGTTGGAGATGCTGAGGTATGACTCGTTGCATATTCGCATTTTGCCTCATGGCCTGGAACTGGGTCGCTGTCATGTTACCCATGTTCATCCCCTGCATATTTATGGGCATGCCGTTACTGTAAATTTGTTGCTGGAGCATAGCCTGCCTCTGCTGCTGGAGTATTCTTTGTTGTTGATGTTGCATCTGGGCGAGCATTGCAGGATTTTGGGCTACTGTGGGAGTACAGGTTTGTTAGCAGTGCACGAGATAGAAGGGCATTGCCATTGTCATGATCGAAACGGGGTAACTTGGCTGAACTCACATGAGAACTGTTGCTGCTGCTGCTGCTGCTGTTGGAACATCTGCTGTTGAGGATTTAGGTGCTGTAAAGCGTGAGCATTTGGACCGCCAGGGCCGGGAGGCATGCCTCCCATCATAGCGGCGGCATTGACCTGTCCGCCGGGACCGGACACTGCCATATGTGCGGCCATCTGAGGTGGCATTCCTGGCTGACTGCCTGGTTGACTTTGAGTATGAGCCATGCCTGGAGCACCCATGGGATGAGCCTGATGAACGCCCGGGTGCTGTTGCATTCCTGGGTGGAAGCCACCCGGTCCTATACTAGCTGCCATCATTTCTACGAGTGTCGATTATCCACGGCGTGGATATCGACGCCTAGACTAAGTCGCTATCTCATACGCTTCTATTCCAGTCGGACCCTTTTTCGTGGCAGTGGTCGCGATCTCGACGCGCGATCGATCGAGCGACCCTTTGTTCGAAAGGCTTTTGCTGATAACACCGTCTCGCTTGTTCTTCCTCTCTTTTCACCTTCCCGACTCTTCGCTTTCCTTTCGTGGATACACACTTCTTTTCTCCAAATTCCCTCTCTTTCTATTTACTGATATGAATGTGTAGGTTATTACGAAAACCACGTTTGACGCAATGCGATCGGTTGATTGGCAACGAGACGTCGGCGGATTCGTGAAAGGATGGTCGCGTTCACGATTTTAAGGAACGGAGCAGGGCGATGAGGCTTGTCGTGGAAAATTATTAAATAACATGCAGTGTATGGGTAATCCGCGTTTGCGTCTGTGTCTGCGTCTGCGTCTGCGTTTGTAGAGAAAAAGTTGTAAGATGTAAGATATAAGAAATGAAAAGGCGAGGAATGATGGTCCGGGTTCAAATTTAGAACGCGGTGAAATAGAGTTTGTCGATTTCGCGCCACACGTACGGTGCGGTAGGCACAGACACAGAATACACAGGAAACTCAGGACTATTGCAGCTTCCTTGATTCCTTGGTCAATCGAAAGTAACGCCACACTTATAACACGTTAGACTTTCGATTCTCGACTTTCTCACTTCCAGGTCGATTATCGGTAAACTTCATCAATATCCTCGCTCTCTTCGAAACAATTGGCCGGGCCGGCCTCGCTGTAGTTCGTCGTTCGTTGCCGTCGCTGTCGCTATCGCGCGAACGTGAAGGTTATAGAGTAAGAGGAATAAGGCAGAGCGGAGAGGTGGACGTGCACGATGAGATGCGATACGTCGAGAAAGTGGATGTGGATGTTGCTAAGTTGTTGGCGTCGCGGGATTCGCTTTCAAGCAACGTACACGGCACAGTAAAAGCAGTACTGCTCACACGGTATGGGTATAATTTGATGGTATGATTCTTTATGTATCCCGTGTATGTATGGATGCAATGCATTAGTTGGTTACTTTGATTATTACTTTTAGTGCTGGGTCAATCTTAAGCGACGACGGCGGGCGATCACTTTTTACAAATTTGTTAATAGCGGTTGTGTAATAATGCGGATGGCGGGTAACAGGCTAATAAAAAGAGCGAGTTGAAATGGGGGAAAGAGGGAGAAAGAGACTAAACGATGGGGGATGGGCAATACTGTAATGTAGGTAGTAGTAAGGGTCGTAGACTTGGGCTAGGCTGAGCTAGACAAGGCGATATAATATTAATAAGGATATGATTAAGAAAGAATGCTATTTTCCGCGCTTATGGGGGGGGAGGTTGTTCTTCATAGACGCCACTTAAGTAGATTAAGGTTTTTCGACATTTTAAGGCAAGTCATTTAGCTTCAAGTGATTATTTATGAATGAATTATTTTATTCGCCTTATTATATTCGCCGTGTAGCTTCTTTTTTCTTGTTCTTATGATCTTGATAGGGCTTGATATTCGATCGAATGCGAATGTCGGATTTAGAGATAATATGTAGTACAGACTACAGAGAGCGGCGAGAGTGCTTCAGGCTGCTAGGTCACTGGGTAAGAAGTACTGTGAAGATGGAGCAGGCGGAAATTATCTCTTTCCTATCGGCAGGAGAGCGCTTCAAACTTCAATAGAGGAGGCAGGTTATACGGTGCGAACTAGAAGAATATGAGGGAGAGATATTCCCGAAACAGCGAGAATGCTTGATGAGTTGGCACTGTGTCTAAACCACGTGCGCGGTATCGAGCTAGCCTCAGAAAGGTAGCAAGGTTGTTCCAATTGAAGCTTAACCTCTTTTAAGTTTGATCCTTTTTATTCCCGATCATCGATGATAAGGGAAGATGTAAGTCCCTAATATCGTTAGGTATTCATGATATGTTTATATGTATAAGATCAGTGATGTTGGAAACGTTGTTGTTCTTAAGCCACGAAGTCGAGATATAATTTGAATCAAAAAGCAACAACTATTATGGCCTAAAATGTTATCATGGACATAATACTTAACAATTCCAGTGACTTAATTCTGTCCTAATTGGCTGCCATGTATTGAAAAAAACCTTTCATACAAATGATTCTGAATCCATCGCGAGCCTGGCCGCCATTTCGAAATACTATAAAAAATATAACACTAACGAAGCCCGGCTTGATTGGTCTGCAACGCTGCACGAGATAACGTAAGTCCAACATTCGGAAGATCGCGGGTAAAATAGAACAGTATGAAAAAAAATTTACTTGATCCTCCAATAACTTAACATTTCATGCTCTTTTTGTGTACCGTAAACTAGACTTTTCACACTGCATTACATACCGTGTACATGTAAAGTAGTGACGGGCTATTTTTAGTGCCGGGATTAGGCAGCTCAGTCAAGCGCCGCTAACAGCTGTCAATGGGTCGAAGTAAAAAATATGTAAGAAATCAACTCACATCACGTGACTTTCAGATTTTCCGCGACGTCAAATTAATCCGTTTCACACTAGTGAGGCTCCGGAGACGGCTCCACCTAAATTTTTTTCTCACTACTTCAAAAACTTCAAGCTCGTCCCGAGTACAGAAGTTTTCTTCACCTTCACAACATTCTTTTTTACTCACCACCATGGTGTATTTGCTCTGGAAATGAAATTGCTTATGGGCTACGATTTGCCCCATGCAGAACTAGGGTTTGCAAGTGTTCATTCTTAGTTTCTCGACATTCAACAGTAGCTGTGTTGGAATATGCAGTCAAGGTACGTCTCTCCATTTTTCTTCTACCAATCAGTAAGAATTATACCACTTCTATGTATTCCTCTTTATCAGGATGACAACCATTAAACATGTCTTCTTTTCCCAACTGAATCGACCATGAAAGAAACTTCGTCTGTCCGGGTTTCCCACTACGGTGGGAGCCTGCTACTTGCCAGTATACTTTGTCTGACTATCCGTCTCGTGATGCGTGCTTCATTGCATCACGGGACAGGATCTTGGGGAATAATATCTTGACGCACCTTGCACATGGAGACCGAGCTTCCTACTAACTAGATAATAGTGACATCTTTGCTTTTGATATGCCTTCTTTCCCAAGTCGCGGCTAAGATAGATGTTGCATCTTCAATCAAGGTTAGTTGAATGTCTTTTTCTTCTTTATCATTCAACATTTTAGGCGTTTCACATGATGAAACTTCCATACACATTCGCAGTTTCCACTCGAGCTTCGATTAGAGCCTTTTCTGAAGCAGATGAGGGTATAATGTCCTTTCCTTGGATGTCTGATATACGCCTATCTTGCAGTATTTCTTATTGCCATTATTTGCATAGGTTTCTGGCTGACTAGATCTTCTTAGGTGCTACAATTGCATTGATACCTCATGGTAGTTAAATCTTAGAGTTGGCTCTGTTGATGTGTCAAAACGCAATCCACGACCAAGCCTCAGGTAGACCGCGTCGAAATATGTATAATTGAATCACTCCAGCCCTAGGACGCCTTTTTTTTAAAGACCAGTTCCGGAATATCGCCTAGACTTCTCGCGTGATCACATACCTAACATGAGCCCACCAATAGATCATTATCATGTATGCACATGCCTCTCGCCTAGTAAAGTGATGTGAAATCAAACAACCTCAACACCTTCGCGTATTCCTTCCCTTAAAATGCCGTGGTTGATGGAGTTGTTATTCTCCTGCCTCTTAACCCTCCCACCAACCATACCCCTCCGGTTCCTGCCTGTTCGGCCTCTACCCAACCAGTTCAGCTTTAGCAGTCGACCCAACTCTGCCACCATTTTGCTTGCTTCGTCGGTACTGGAGACGTTGATGCCTGTGTCGACGCTTGCTAGCACGCTCATGCACTGAAGCATGCGACCCACCATCTCCGTAACCTGCTTGCTATCCTCGACATTTTGTTCCCGTACGCTGCCTAGAATTTCCCTACCGCCCCGATCGTTGTCTCTCATCTGCGGCGTGAATGGCCTAAGTAGACCTCCGGTGCCAGTAGACGCAGGGTCCGACACGCCGCTGCCGAATGACACGTTGCTGATGGCCCGACTTCGCGACGGGTTCGAGTCGTTGCCAAAGACCGTAGTAGAGGTCGAATTGTAGCTTGCGATGCTCGGGTCCAACGACATTGCCGTCCCGGGACGACCTGAGAATCCATCGCTCGGCGATGTAGAGAGAGTTGCGATACTGTCATTCAAAAGTGGCGGCGACGCTAACGCGAGGGAGGAGAGGGATGACGGCAGGTGCTCGAGAGATAATCGCGAGAATATCGTCTTGAGTTTCTCATACCTAGGCAAGATTAGGGAATCCCGGTAAGATATGAGCACGAGCCGCCGTACATCGAGGACGCTAGACGCTGGCGATAGGTGGGTCTCAAAATTCGGTCCGCTAGGATGGGTGTTTGGCACTGGCAGGTCGGCTATGACTCCGCCCCAGAAGTCCCGTGCTTGTTCAGGAGTCAAGAGAGTTCCACAGCCGGAAAATTCCAAGTCTAGCGGTAGGAAGACAGCCTGCATATAGGGTAGGATACTTGTGAACGTGAAAATCCAGAGCTCTACCAACGAAGGAATCAACCTATCCTCAGAGGTTTTGCGCAATGTATGGTCGAGTGAAGCGAAGCCGGTTGAGAGGAGATCTCGTAGATCATCAACAATGATGTGAGCCGAGCGACGCTGTATGCAGTATTGGATATGCATATTTACGACGCGGTTGAAGTCTTCCACCGGCGATCGCAAATCTTCACCTTCGAATATGACTAGTAGCTTAGCTCTTAGATAAGGCCAGGCATCATCCAAAGACATATTATGAAGCCCGTATTTTCCCGAGTCGATAGGTTCGGAGAGGTAAGAATGTGTAGCAGCTGCCGCTGATCCAAAGCTGGCTGGTCCAGGCCATTCAGATCCTGTGCCGTAGGAAGATTCGTTGTCGTCCTTCCTCTTATCGCGTAATGCGCGCCCTCCGTGTCGGAGATCAAGCCCGCTAACACTTTTACCTATATTGTTGTTTGGGCCAGGGCTTGGTGGTATGTTAAAATTGTATAGGCTCGACGGCGCATTGGGGTCGACGGGTCGCGAATTACTGGCAGCGGAGGAGAGGGGGAGGTGATAATCGTCTTTGCTGCTAAGCTTATGTTTTTGCCGCGAAAGAAAGTGGTGTTTCTTCTCCTTATCTTTTTCCCTGCTGTCCCTATCCATGGACGGGTCGACTGGGCGAATAGTGGCGGCAGAAGAGTTTCCCAAGCTATAAAAGGATGACGAGTCTGCCAGACTAGTTGTGCTGAAATTGGCACGTTGTAAAGACGCTAGAGCAGAACCGATCTTTCCAGGACTCGGCAATGGCCGCTCTTTCGCATCACCTTTCGTATCTATCTTCTTAGGACGGGAAAATAGCTTGACTTTAGATTTCTCTGCCTTCACAGGCTTCTCGGGGATAGCTGGGGGCGTTGGTGCAGCTTGTTCGGGGGGTGGTAATCCTGGCGAAGATTGAGGTGATCTTGGAAAGACGACGTTCGCAGCGGCAGCGGCAGCAGCATGACTTCCTAGCAGGCCATTATGATAACCTTGAGCGCTAAAGCCATTATCCCGCGGAGCACTCGCCTCGGTAAGGCTTAACATAGGTGGGCTGCGATGACCAGTAGCCGGCTTGGGTCCGGGCCTCTTTGCGGTATCGTGGCTGTCGCTACCAGGAAATGGGACAGTTTGCGATCGATGGCGACTATGTTGTTGGTGCTGCATTACAGCAGCCTGAGCAGCTATTTGACTAGCTGACAGCCCGCCGACGGATTGGCTCTGGGCCTGCGCTTGAGCTTGGGCTTGGGCTTGGGCCATAGCGACGTGGGAGAGATTGGACGTGCTTGTGGATGGTAAGGTGGGCTCAAATAGACCTTGAGTCTGTGAATGTTTCCTCACGTGGCTGGCGCGGGTAGGAGGTAAGGTCAAGGGTGAAGAGGTTCGTGGTTGAGGAAGTTCGATGCTAGGTCTAGTCGGACGAGAGAAATTGTGTGGGCTGTTGGCATAAGAAGGGCTGGTGACGGTAGTGACGGGGCTCTGAGGGCCTCTCGTCTTAGGAAGAGATATGGTATCGTCGCTCGAAGATGTATCTATCCTGCGTATTTGAGGCCTCGGAGGGTTTGGTGAAGAGAATAAGGAAGATGAAGATGCGGCTGCGGCTGCGGCAGTTGAGGCCGAAGAAACACTCCCGGGCAAGGGAGAGAAGCTCCCGGGGGCTCTTTGCTGGGATCGTACTGGCTGCATTGTATGATCGAAACGTCTAGGTACTAGGTAAGTTCCCGGTCCTAGGTCTGTTACATCTTGCCTTGATCCCGAGATATAATAGGATCAGCGTCAACCCCAGTCCTCAATTTGCGCTATTCAATTGCCGGACATGTTCATGTACTAGGTATTATCGTGGTGTGGTAGTAATGCACGTAAGTGATGGTGTCTCGTTTTGATCGGACTAGTAGATTTCACCAACGATCTTGCAGTCTTGTTGATGATGTTGAGGAGATGGCTGGTACAATACCTACGTACAGTGTGCGAAAGATATTATTCAATGTTGTTATTTCGATCCCTGATAACACATGTATTAGTATGTATATCCATGGATCAAAGAGTGGAACCATCTCGTGCCTTATTACCTAGTAATTGCTTACATTATTTAACGTGAAAAAATATATGTATATATACATACATTATGTAAGGTACTTAGATTGATATCGATGTACTACGTATCATGCATACATACTGTACATCTGAGAACGCCATACTGCCACATCTGCCCCGCCCTTCATTAGTAATGTTACTTCCACCCCACCATCGTAAATTGTCTTGAAAGCTCTACATCATTAAAACATTTCAAATCAGTATCGTTGATATGTCCTCTTCCTCTTCCTCTTCCTCTTCTCCGGTGCCTCCAATGATGAGAATGGCTACTCAAATAACAGCAACCTATACCAACACAAACTCCGCCAGTGACTCTTCCTGCTCTCTATCTTCTACCACACCCTTCACACTCGCAACACCATTTACTCTCCCGGACTCCGACTCCTCTGGACATAAGACCTCGCACCTAAACATACTACGCGAGGCCGTATCAACGCTACAAGAGCGCGTGAATAATGAATTAACGACGCGCATGGAGGAAGAGGCACGCGAGATAGCCGCTGCATCCACTTTCTTTAAGAGTGCCAGTGTCAATACTATCAATGAAGCTGCTGAGGAAGATAATTACGGTGAGGAGGTAGTGGAGGATGAAGAGTAAGAGATGATGGGCCGATTGATCGATCGAGCCATTTTTTGCGACTACAATGTTGCTCATACCGCCTATACCGCCTATAAACTAGACGGAAATTGAATCGAGGATAGATGGGCAGATTTCTGATCTGCGGTTATATATCCCATCGTAGTAACAACCAGCGAGCCGACACAGGTTCAGACTTCAGAAGCGTATCTAGCCAGAAGCATCATCGATCCAACGCAGTTCTTATAGGATCCAATGATTACGAAGAAAAGAAGAAAGCACAAAGAGAAAAAAGCGTTATCAATTTAACTACGATCTAAATACGCGGGTATTGCCTCATCGCCTCTACTCCGATAGCATGCAGCAATAAAAATTACTGTGTCATGCTAAGAACCCCAAGCAAACCCAGAACACCATCCGTCTTGGGTATATACGAACGCGGCTTAACACTTCTCCCTCATCACGTCTATGCTCGTACCATAAATATCCTCATGATAATAGGTGTTTTCGTGCCGTAATATCCGCGCTCGCGCGGGTAGGAGGGACGCCGAAGTCGATAAATTGTCTTGCCTCATGCGCGGATGCTTCAGCTATGTCTCCCCCACGAACCAGCAACCCGCTCACTCCTGCTACCGCTCATGCTACGCCCCGGCCTTCCAAGGCATCCATAATGGACAACGGTATTATCTGGGAGCACTGCCACGACGCTGTTACCTAGTCTTTTGTGGCAGACACCACATACCCTCTCCTCGCCGATGACTACTTTCCTGCTACGCCCGCTCTGGCCGCCGGGAATTCCATCCCCAAGTAATAGCAGTGCTTGTGTATTCACAAGCTGCGTTTTACGCAGCCCCTCGATGATACGTGACTCCGAGATGACGCTGTTGGCTGCGCGGATACGCCCTCGGAAATATGACTCCAGTTCCGTCACCGGAAGGTCATCAGGTATGAGAGATAGCGTTGACTCTGCCGGCAAACGAGAGCCATGCCTCGAGAGGAGAGACAAGGCCGGTTCTAGGTTCGGTTCATTTGATGGTGGTGGGGTGAGGTATAGAGACAGTAGCATGTGGTAGATTGAAGGCTTCGAGTCGGGGTCACGGCCATCTTCGTCAGCCAACAACGCGGCAAAAGATTCCCTGCGGGAGCTTGGTAGCGCGTGAATGCGGTTACAATACCTAACACAACTTGTAAGCAACGCGCGCGGCCAATGGAATTAGTACCTACTCCTCTGCTTTTGCATAATCTTGCATGCTGAATACATAGATCTCGAGTGCTTGCTTGTGGGAACCCATGTTGCTGAACACTATAGCGCGAGCCTCGTAGAATGCCGGATCTGTAGATGTGGTTAGTTATGGCCGCTTCTTCCACCAGAATCAACGAATTTTCAACAGATGCGGACAACCTACCATCGCGGGGAATTATGCTTAGTGCTCTACTAAGACTGTACTGTTGACTTCCCCTCAAAAAAGCCACAAGACTATCCAGTTTCTCATTCCACGCCTCGTCGCGCTTGTCGTCTCTCAGGGCTTGGACCAACAGCTCCACTAGCTGATTATGAAAGTCCGGCGTGCCGTCTTCCAATTCAGTGATGATGTGTTCTAAGTAGCGAATCTCTAGATTGACGTCGATAGCGCCGAGATACCGGACGACCCTTTCTCGTGGCAAGGTCTCCGCATTTTCGCTATCCGCTAAAAACACTTCCATCCCCTGGTTCGGATCACGCCGCAGGACCCAGTCTGCGAACTCGAGAATGATGTCGATCATCTCCGGCGGAAGACTTTGCAGGTAGCCGATTGTCCTCCGCGGACCACGTAGCTGCTCGGGTATTGCCACTTCCGAATCCGTGTGCTCATTAAGTTCAAGTTTGGCTGATTCCCCTTCCAGGTTCACATCTCCAAACTTTCGAAGAAGGGTGAGCGCGTCGCGGTGGAGCTTTTTTCCGTAGAAGAAGTCGACCAGTTCGTTGTACCGGCTATTTTTAAGAAGGTGCTCGTTCACCACCGCGGGATCACAGAAGTTCGGGATACGAAAGAGGGAACCAGCAAGGGTGGGCGTAACGAACATGAGCCCACGGAAGAGAGCGGTGTCGACCACAGTGAATGTCTCCTTCAGCTCATGTTCAAGCTGCTCGTCAGAGTCGGAATGGGGATGAGTCAGTAAGGCGTCTAAATTCTCGTCTAAACTCATCGAAGAGTCCTTGCTAGTTGTTAGTTTACGAGGTTTCAACCTTCCGGTTGCTGGGTCGATCCACCGCTGCAGACGCGTCCTTGTGCCGGCTAAATAGCTGTTAAGCTCACGAACGGCCTTGATTAGATCCTTCCCCCCCAGCAGTCCATCATCCTCGGCATTATCCTTCTTAGTATTAGCTTTGACGCTCGCCACATCTTCGCTGTCAGTGCCGCCTTTCTTGGACGAGGTGATAGATGCCGCATCGGAGTCGCCTTTACGATGTCCCATCCAATACTTTGCAAAGGTGCTAGGTTTAGATGGGGACGCAACCTCGACATTGGGGTCGGGTTTCGCCGCTTTTTCACCGTTGACCTTCTCGTCCTCTTCCTGGTCTTCCTCCTCCGACGCGCTCTCCTCTCGTGTAGACTCAGCGGAAAGATCGCCGGCAATCGTCCTAGGGTATAGCCTTAGTACCCTTTGGGGAGGTGCGTGTACCTCGTCTTCGTTAAATAGCGCCAAGCTTTCTGAGAACTTCTTTTTCTTGAAGAGAACCTCCGCCTTCAGCATCTTAGACTCCCGCATAGTGCCAGTCTTATCTTTCAACAGCGCATCTTCGAGCATGCCGAGTACGCTTATAGCCTCGTCGTATTTGGCTGTGTCCACCAGTTCCTGGACCTGGGTGTCGTAGTCCGTGGCCTCCATCTTCCATACGGCTCTGTCGCTGCTGATGTGAAAGCCTTTACCCGCATGAGCGAGACTCACTGTTGGTGGTGGGAAATGTAATTGTGCGGCGCCGGGAAGTTCAATGATCTGTAGAAGGCTGAGCGTTTCCGGATTCCGCACCTCCAACGTACCTTTAGCCGGTGGCTGGAGGATCAAGATGTAAGGGTAACTATATCCGATGCTCTCGGGGGCACTCTGCCACGGGACCTGACGTTTGTCTAACGGATTTCCGTTCGTGTCGATGAATAGAGAATTGATGTCCTTCGCGAGCAACATCTGACCCTCGGCCAACCTCGTAGCTAGGGGCTTCGGCATATAACCGCCGAGTCCCATGTAACCCATACTCGCGGCACCGAACCTGCTCCCCTGCCCTCCTGTTGCCGCAGCACCCAGCCCGACTATCTCGTGCGTTTCCGACGTAGTCACGTCAACCAAAACGTATCCCGCGTTCATACCACAGACAACTTTGGTCGCGTTGGCCCAGGTCAAAGTCCTCACACCCTCAGGCAGCAAAATCTCGGTGACGTCGTCACGTAACTCGCTCTCGTGCCAGCTCCATAGCAACAAGCGTCGTTTTATAGCTACGGCGAGACGGCTAATGATCTCTGGAATACCGGTAGCGGCATCCTTAACTATATTGCTGGTGACAGCAAAGCAGGTAGCATTTTTTGTACGTGATATTGTCTCGACCAACTCGTAGGTCTGGAGATCGTGGAGGGAGACGTGATAGTTGGAGAGGGAGACGATAATGTTGGCTTCTTTGATGATGGCAAGTTGCTCAACGGCGCGTGTAGAGAACTTCTCAACTTCACGTAGAAGATCGGTTGGTTTTAGAGGAGAACTAGATTTCGGATTTGTCTCGGTACTTGGAGGAGAGGAGGGGGTACCATTAGAAGCAGGAGGCTCGGATGGTTGGGTTAGTTCGTTTAGGCGGTATATCCTCAGCGACCCGGTATTCAGACCGACAAGAACGCGATCGCCTACGGTCAAATATAAGATTAGTTACTTGAACATAAACATTCACACGAGCCACATAGAGGCGACAAGACGCACCATGTGCCAATATCGTTTCTATCTTAGATTTATCGCGTTGCTTTAGTTCGATGATGGGTCGAGCTGTGAATGCGGAGAGCATGGTGCTCTGATGCTATCATCGGATAGTCATTGATTACGAGGTTCGAGTCAAAGAAGACGGCACAAGGCAAACTCGACCAAGTTTAATGGGTTCCGAGAAATGAAGGCATTCAAATGTTCAATGAAAAAAATATGCCTAAAGTAGAGAATAAAGGAAAAGAGAAATTACCTAGGACCTTGATACGTATGTCATCTGAACCTTAGTTGGATGCTTCTAGGGTTTGAAGGTTCGATGCTAAGGTGGCCGAGGTACCCTGTATCCTTGTACCCACCCTATGACCGCATAAGTTAGTGTACTAACCCACATTTGGCTGTGACTTATTCAACATCCGTCCTTCTGATTGAATAAGAAGTCGTGCACAGTACCTACATCGTACTATACCCAACCTCAGGCGCTAGTATACATATACCTATGTAGGTAGTGGATATGATACCTACGTAGTATCTACCTAGGTACTAGATACGCTGGAGGTAGGTGTTTGTATAAGTGCACCTAGGTGCTAGAGACATTTCTAAGCAACTTTAGAAGTTGCATATATTATACTGATACTGGTTGCATCGACATTCACCCGTATCCCCAAAGGGGATACTGTGCTTTGACTGGCAAGAATTGCAACTTAGCCTAAGGTACTTCTAACGTTGTAAGTTTTCCATATAAATCCTATGTATTTTTCTAAAGACGTATTCTGTATACTTACATATATTACTAGTTCTATTTTAATAATGCAACTAAGAATAAAGACTTAACTTATCGGGTAATATTCGGATCGTCTTGCAACTCTTGTCCATTTTGCGCAGTATCCCCTTCGGGGATACAGGTGAATGTCTACCTAGTAGTATAGAACCAGTACCTAGTATTAGTATATAGTTACTAGTATGCACTAGATATGTCATCATCCGTCACCGCAATCAGATAGACTAGGTAAAGTTATACAAGTTATCAAGCATTTTGCTCTTCACATAATACCTAGTACGTATAGATACCTATCCAAAAAGTAAAACCACAGATGAGCAACTTCATAATTTGGCCTGACGTGGAGACTAGATAGTCCCTTTTCACCCCTTTAATCACTTTACATGCCAATGACCCGCATCGCACCGTATCCCAGGGTCACGACAACCGCGAGGGTTATCAGACTACTCGGCACACCTCGGCTGATGAAATGCTTCACCTGCAAGTACCGCTGCCCTGTTGGGTCCTCCTTCATAATAGCCGCTGTGATATGTTAGATATCATTCTCCAGTTCCAGATCCAAGGCGCCACGCGAAGAAAAAAGGACTCACTCATATTAGGGAATCCGCTGGTTGGCAACGCCATCGCCGCGCTGCACATGAGTGCCGCCGCCATGACTAGTAGGTTAGGATGCGGCTCGTCCATTCCCTTTCCGATATCCGACACGAGAGGTAAGATGATCAACGCGGCGACAGTGTGGCTGATAAACGTGGCAATCACCAAAGTCAGGCTCGAAAATATAATTAGTATGCCGTACAAGTCGACCCCGTCCACCTCCTGGGAGATGCCCTCAGCCACGGTATGGAGAAGTCCTGACGACTTGACGGCCTTGCCAAGAGCCAAACCACCCGCCGCGAGGATAATAATAGTCCACGGGAAATTGTTGAAATCTTCCTTGGTGAGTATGCCGACACCAAAAAAGAGCACAATCGGAATAATGGCGATGACGCCCATATCGCCAAACGTTGACTCGAGCTGGTGACTCGCACACCAAAGCCCGATGGTAGCGATACATATGAAGGACACAAACCATTGTAAGCCTGTAAACGCTTCCTTTACTGGTCTAATTGGTACGATAGTAGTACCTTTTCCAGGTTGGAAGGTGATGAGGAGGAGGATCCATATTAGGAGAATAGATATAATTCCTACCGGAATTACGACAAAAAACCATTCACCCCATGTCGGCGCCGGCTCCATGATGCCCAGTGCGACGACATTTTGTGGCGATGCGATAGGTGAAAGCATACCGCCAATGTTAGAGGCGAGCGCGATACCCATGATCACCGCCTTAGACATGCTAGAGCCCGAAGGGAGGTTACGTAGCATAGGCTACCAAGTTCCTTGTCAGAAAAACATCAGAGCATGTTAGGAAGCGTAGACTTACCTCGACGATGGAAAAGCAGAGCACAGGAGCTGCCACATTACTCACGAGCATGCTGGCAAAAGCCGCCACAAACATGGTCGCGATGAGCACCGTCCTCGGTTGCGTCCCGGCCTTACTAAGAACGAAGGTCGCAATCCGCTTATCAATCTTGCATTTAGACAAGGCGGCGGCAACAGTGAACCCTCCCAGCAGAAGCATGATGACGGGCGTCCACATAGCCGCGAAAACGTAAGGAGTGGCGTTCTTAGAATCCAGTCGCTTATATGGCACATCGTCTTCGCGGACGACCTGGAGGACAACGCAGAGGAAGGGTATCAACAAAGAAGTCACGAAAAGTGGTATTGCCTAAGATAAAGTTAGTTACGCGGTTAACGCGAATAACATCGCATACCAACACTACTTACCTCGGTAGCCCATAACAGGCTCACGAACACCAACATAGCTAAGCAATTTTGCTGCTCGGGCCTATCCATGATGGGAACAGATAGCAGAACCAGAAATATAGCGATTATTCCAAGAAGTGTGAACATAGTCGAGCCGAACAACCATGTTGGGCAGGTAAAACGGCCGACAGGGGTCGTGATCTCTCTCATGGGAGTAGCAGGGGCGTCGTCACCTTGCAGCCTCACCTTAATCCCATCGTTTTGCGCGCCGAGGAGACCTTTTCCGAGGCTTGCAGCTTCAGCGCGACGCTCTAGACCGATGAGTTCTCGCCATACTGTGTTTCGTTCCCAGACGACGTGCTCTCTCAGATGCGATCGGAGATCCTTCTTAGCGAGAGGCTCGTCACCATGGGTAACCACGTCGGCGTATGCCTTCTCCATCTTGGCGATGCTCTCCTCGACCTGTCTGATAGTCACAGGTAAGAAAGGATAGGTGATCTCAACGGTGTCTTTCATATATCTCGGTCGAAATTCCTTGTCGATGATCTTGTCGAACTTTTTGAGGACCTTGCTAAAGCCTGTTCTGTTCAGCTGCACGTACGACTTAAGTTCGCAGAGCTGCACGTAGAGGCTGACGATACGCTTCTTCAGCATGATGCCGGAAGAAGAATGCATGGCCGTCTCGGCATAATCATCGTAACCAAGGCTGTATCTGCGCGAACGAGTAAGGTCGGTTGAGACAGTCAAGTCGGTGGAAGCAAACATCGTGCTCGGAACAGTGCGCCTTCGGCTATGTGCTCCAAGGCTTGATCGTCGGCGCCTCCTCTTGTTGAGGGCCGACGTCTCATCTTGTTCGTCGACGTCATCCTCGTCTTCATCGCTATCCTCGACGCCATCATCAGTCGAACGAGTACTTCGGGCACTTTGGGCACTCCGGGGACCTCGAGTAGGCTTCACCGGGTCACTAATGATATCATGCAGGGCGGGTCTCTGGGGTATATCGGTTTGAACTTGGCCATCGGCGTCGAGTGATCCGAGGTCGCGCATAAGATCGTCGACCTCGTCGAAGAGCTCCTTTTCCTTGACGCCGTAGAAGGATGATATCTTCTCTAGCTCAACATCTAACGCCCGGGCAAAAGCGACCTCGGGGTCCTCATTCCGAAGGAGCGGTCGTGTTTCAACATCGGAGATGCCAGGTTGGTGGATAGTCTTTTCGAGTCCGTAAATTCTACAGGAGAAGAGTTAGTAACAGAAGTAACAGAAGTAATGGAAGTAATGGAGCAATAGAGTAACAGGTGTAGTAGATGTAATAGATGTGAGAATAGACTAACAATTTCTTGAGATTACTATATGCGATGTAATGACTGCTCCAGTCGGGAACGGCATTGAATTGGATGCTATGAGAGAACTTCATCTCGTCTTGTTCTTCTAACCACCTTCTCTTGTCGTGTTTCTTTTTTATTCTCTGTAACTGTCTCTCACTTGACGAAGACGGGGATTCGAGTTGTTCGGATTGGTTGAGATGTTGTAATTCTTGGAGTTCGTACGTCTCCCCTGATATGTTGTTATTGTTATTATTTTTATCAACACTACTACTCCCTCCTCTATCCTCTATCTCCGTTAATCGCTGCCGGGGATGGTGGGGAGCTCGATGCGCATGAGCAGAGTCGCAGTCAGAGGAAGAGGAGGGGTGGTGCCCCAGAGACTTTGAAGGTGCTATGATGGAAACGGTAATAGCAAGAAGTATAGCAAGAATAATAGCAAAAAGGGTGGAAACTTTTTCGTTTTAGGGTCCGGCATGAAATGATGCAACTTTGGATTATACGCGATCTAATATGGATGGTCCACAAGCAGCGACGTCTAGACTTTTAACTTTATTACCCCTAGATACCTAGTAGGTACCTAGTAGGTAAGTTAGGTACCTACCTAGTAGGTATTTTAGTGAGTCGAGATCCATAAATGCCAAACTTGTAAGGTTAAAGCCTGTACCCTGAAATGTACACTGCCAGGTCAAAAGTTTGAGTCCGTTTTGTTAAGCCTGAAGTCACATATCCGTTACGCCAAGCCACTATTCCTAATATCAATTAGTATCTCAGTAGCTCCATGATCCCAGTCAATCTCTTTTAGAACCTTTTTATCTTGAATAACTTCATGAATATAAGGTCTAATCTCTTGAAATAAAGTCTATTAATATATTTACGCTGTATACTTTTTAATAAACCAGGTTGCATCACTCTAAAGTCTTTGAAAGGGTAAGAATTTAGTGGTTTACTGCAACCCCTTTTCGATTAGTGTTACAAAAGGCCAGCTTTTCTTTCAACATATTATATCTCAGGCTATAATACTTCAAAATAGATGCAACCAGATTTATATTATTACCGCAATCAATAGCTACCTATCAATACTATTTACAGCCCAAACAAGAATATATTCGATAAGTTATCTGAGTATGAAGTCAAGAAAGAGCTATTATGTGGTAAAAGCTCCAAGCTATCTCATCTAGCATAGTGGCTTGGCACCGTTTAGTGCGACTTCAGGCTTAACAAAACGGACTCAAACTTTTGACCTGGCAGTGTATGATCTCCAACAAACGCCCCGACAAATGGGACCCACGTGTGGCTGGCAGCTCTACTACGTAAATATGAGCCACAAGTATTATCTGATCAAACACATCCCGGGTCACTACCTACTATTAATACCTACCTACCTACATATCGGTACTTACATCCTAATATATAGATCACGGGTACCTATGATTATTAGGTACCTAAAGAAGTACATTCATAATTCATATCCTAGTACCTAGTATCCTCGCATCCAGCCTTGAAGCTGTAATACAAATAACAAGTATTAATGTTGAAAATTAGAAGAGGAAGTCAAGGCCCCTCACAGAGTGTCAAGATACCTAGGTACCTAGATACCAGGTACAATATATCACACAACTATATCTTGTCACTTTTGTCAATGTGCTGATGCATCACAGTTCATCACGCAACCAATCATAGATATCTAAAATCTGCAGGCTTCCTACAATAGAAACATACTATAACTTCTTGCTTCTGACTCCTCGATTCAGTTTCTCAACTACGTACCCGCCTGCCTAACCCATCCGCTTTATCATATCCATCTCATCGGTACCTACAGTTGCGTTTATAGTCAATATGAACCGGTACCGACATAGCTGGCATCTTGAGGAGCACCGTCGCCGAGTACGGGCTGCGGAAGTCGGCCGTCAGCAAGCGGCAGCAGCCCGTCCTCTTCGGATCGCAAGGCCCCCTCAGCCCATTTCAGATGTACCTGTCGCTGGCCTGGGACTTCTAGACACTCTACCCAACGAAGTTATCATGATCGTCTTCAACAATTGCACCCTACTCTCCCTTCTGCGACTTGAACGCGTGAATAAGGCTGCTAAGAAGCTTGTGGGCCTTCTAGATCGCGTCGGATATATAAAAGAAACTGCAAAAGGCATTGTCGGACGCGCCAAGCCACCGTACCGTCAGATCAGGTTCACCATCTTGAAGATCAAGACATATCAGGGATTGCACGACCTCTTAACAACGTTTATCTGCGAGAAGTGCGGCAAGCCGGGCTCGTTCCGTATTAAAAAAGTCAAGGTTCTCTGTGATATCTGCTGTCTCCCGATTAATCTAGGAGACCACAGAGTCGAGTGAGACAAGAGTATTTTCTTCACCATACGTTTTTCTATGGCTGGCACAACTAAGACGATAACGGTATACTAAGCTATGCGAGTATTCATTAACAAGTCTTGATTTGAGAAGGGTCAGGTTGCGTAAAGGTTCCAAGGTTCGTAGCTATGAGATATGAGATATGAGATACAATAGGTACCTGCTTGTTTATTAAGTAGTAATACTCTTTAATGAAATATAGGTACCTATTTCTCAGATTAAGTCAATGTTATAGATACCTATGTACCTAGGTAGGTAAGAAAGAGAAAGATCAGTATGGCCTTCATTGAATCGGTTTGTCTAATCAGACGGACCTCCCACTAAAATCAGACGGACAACCCACTTTACTACACCCACTCAGGTTAGTCTTTGAAATACCTACTTTAGGGTACAGCTCCTCATATAAATCTAAGTACCTTTTTGACACCTTTAGGTACCTTATATAGAACTACCACTTTTTATCGACGACGACGTCGAATTTAGCCAAGATCTCGATATCCTCGATATGGTACTGAATAATGCTTCTATTAGGGTTCTTAGAAACTTGAAAACTTAAAGGATAAGATATGAATCGATCTAGATAAAGCCGTATAAGATTTACTAATATATGTGCGAAGTACGTATACAATACTGGTCTAAGTATATTTGATGCTATTCAAGAAGCAAAAGCGCCAGTCAAAGCCTATAATAAACGCTAGTGAGAAACCTACAACTACCTACATAATAGTTTCCCCGAAGAGCTTTTGTAAGGGCAACATTAAAAAGGGTTGTAAAAGGGCGATAGCAAGGTTCGCGATGGAAAGACTTTAGTCGAGAAGGTACTTAGATTTGTATGGGAGTTGTACTCTAACCTATGTATCCACTGGACTAGCCCAGTTAGGTATAATAGAGTGGGTTGTCCGTCTGATTTTAGTGGGAGGTCCGTCTGATTAGACAAACCGCATTGAATGATAAATACCTTCACTTTTGACTCTTCTATCATACCACATTTTACCTCTTAACATTGATCTTGCCAGAGAAGCAAATCCTAGATACCCACCTATATAGGTATTGGCTTGATACGTTGGCAATTTAGAGATAGAGTTAGTTAGGAGTTAACCCTACCAGTCTTACCTGTTCCCCGGAAATTGAAGCTAGTCAATCCTAGCTTTTCGTCTTATTTACCTAATCTTAACACACTGCTTATTTGTAGTCTTATAGGGCTATCATTCCTCAATAACTTTTATTAAGAAAACTTTATATATCTGTTCCCGCAGTAGACTTGCAGCCCAACCTAGACAGGTTTACACTTTGAGCGCCCGTCAGTGTTCCATATGGTGTTGTAGATTCGGCTCGACGCCTCTATGTAGGTAGGCTACCAATGCGAACTGTCCCCCACGAGGTATTTACCCATGTATGTAATAGATAGGTATATATCCGGAGAAGGTCACAGCACAAGACGATAAACAAGCCAGCTCATAGCTGCCGTTTTGAACCAGGCCATCTTCTTGATTTGAAATTGTCCTGCTGCTGCGTTTTCAGGCGGGCAGCTCACCACCGGATGCAAGCCTTTGCACACCTTGGCGGTAATTGCTGCTGATATACTAGACACAGCCGAAGCGGCTACCGTAGGTGGACAGGAGGTTACAGTGGTAGGAGATGTCTGGAAAGGAGGTGCAAGGACGGCACACGTTTCTCGGCCGTCAAGTTTGTCTGGGTTTGTGCGCAATGTTCTCGTCACGTTGAAGGTGAAGTATTTATCCGTGATATTGGCGCAAGTGTCGGCGTCCGCCGTAGTAGCCATGTTGAGGTCAAGTTGCTGCGCACCGTTCTTGGTGGTGAATTCTAATAAGCCGATCCGGTTATAATAGGTAAGGCTAGATGACGAACTCTTGTCAATAGACGAAGAGTTTGAGCAGTTCCCTGAACTCAGATTCCAAACAACTGCCCATTCACTTTCGGTGGCGTTGAATGCTAGGTAAGTAAATTAAAAATTGAAAAGTTCAGAGGGCCTGCTGACAATATTGGAGCGTACCGTTTGTAAAGGAGAACGCATAGTAAGGGTCGCTAGTATTAGTGAAATTCACATTTTTCAGAGTTATAAGCCCACTGGTGGTAGAACCATTTGCACTATGGAGTTGATAGATGTCATAGTCGAAGTTCAGGTCAAGGGGCCCGGCAAGCTCCGAATTATAGATGGCAAAAACGATAGGTGTAAGCTCTGAAGGTGTGTACGTATCATTGCGTGGAAATACTAGATGCACCTCTACTATTGACGGGAATATAGCCGCCTGCACCGTAGACCAACATGACAATATCAGGAGCAAAAGGCGACCTAACTGGCGGAAAGAGCCAAACATTGTTAAGTGAGGAAACCCGAGTGGAATGGATAGAATCACACGGGATAGAAGCAAGAAGAAATCTACATATATATGAGAAGAGAAGAAGCTGATGTTCAAAGAGTCTTAGGATTGAGGATTCAGCTTCCAGGGGCAGGGCTAGTCTAGCCCCGTCGATGTCAGGGGTATATATCGTGATGTCCAATTGAAACATACCGCGTGATCACGTTCCTCGGTATCGTTTATAGTATCATTGTGTGTAGACATCATAATCAGCATTGAAATAAGTACTTAATATTATTTACTAAGCAAGAGATAAATTATACCTTGTTTTGTGATTAGGTAGGCATCTAACCTAGCAGCCTAGGTACTAGGTATTAGGTACCTAGGGAGTTATCAAATCTGATTATACTATTTTTTTTGGGGGGGAGGGCACGTACCTAAGGTCCTACCTACCTCCTAATCATACCAAGGTATCGACGATGAAAATTATGATATAGAGATTTTCCTCACTACCTACTAGGTACCTAACCTAGGTACTCAACCCCTAGCTAAGTCTCATCACCAAGTAGTCTCGACAACTTATTAGGTACCTAGGTATGTAGGTAGGTAATGAGGTTAGAGCCGAGTCCGGTATTATCAACGCTGACTTCAGCATCTATGACATCGCCGCTGACACACAGAGCCTCCTCTAGGTATATCTTTGTGGACCTCAAGGACAGGTACCATCAATACAATATCCTGGCTATGGTCACTTACCTACTCTTTGTTCATTGTTGTCTTTCTTGGTTAAATGATGTAATAGGCAAGCTAGCAGGTCAATAACTTCTAGGTTCACCTACCAGAGACATATGTCGTTAAATTGTACGAAAGAAGTTCTCGCTACATGATAAATAAACAAAGGCAGACGACAGTCTATTCTTAGTTATTATACGGCATTAAAAGACGCCTACCTAGGCACCCTACCTATCAAACGGAACCCGTACTATCAGTATTATTGTATAAACAAAGTCACTCTAACATATCTATTCAACCACCACATGGCGCAAAGAAAACCAGACAAGCACAGGTACCAATAACAAAGCCCTACGTATATTGTGAAGACAATAAGTGGTTATTTCCAATCCCCCTTTTAACCCCCGAGTATAAATAGGTAGTATGGGGATCAATCTGGCAACAGAAATTACAAAAATCAAGCAACAAGCAACAACCTCAATAATTTACACGATAGCTAAATCCGAAGACTCTTAAACAAGCAAAAAAAAAAGCATATTCAATATTAAGTTAGTATTAATGATGGCTAACATGAAGAATACCTCCACTACCCGTGCGACGAAGCCTGCTCTTCCTAAGAAGGGAGGCCTTTTCGACCTCAGCGATACCGACAATGGACTTCACGCAGGTAATGGTTCTGGATCAGGTTGCTCGGTCATGTAATGGGTAGAGATTAGCTACCCAAGTGCGAGATAACGAATTAAGTTCACGGATACCAATTCCTGTGAATGGGATGATTTGGTAAAGGGTTGGGCGTGGGTGGCACTCTTTTACTACGCTCAATGAGTATCTAGTTATAAATATCACTCCTTACTTTTCTTTAGTCTTTAATAACCACTCCTATACCATAAACAGTCCAAACTCGGCTTGTAGTCCAGTTTACCGTAGTAATTCGAACATGGGTTTCAAGCGCAGTTATTCGAATACCTCATCCCTTCAGGCTGGGTGCTGATTATAGGGGTAGCAAAAGACATCTTGGCCAACACGTCAAGAAATACCTGCTTATCTAATAGGAATTGTTAACTGATCATCGTAATGTTTTACATATGATAGTCATTTACCTATGCGTATTGAAATTAATATCCTACCCCCTCAACTAGGTACCTGTATTCATTTATTCCTTTGATGACCTAGGTAGTATACCTTTAGTGACTTAGCTACCTACCTAGGTAGGTAGTAGGTATTAATAATCGTCTCGAAATAGGAAGACAAAACTGAGTACTAAGTAGGTATTATCATGCATCGCTATAGGATACGAAAGTCATTCAAATCATAGCGAGAGCTATAATTTTCTAGAACTAGGCCTTTGATGTATCCCCTAAGAGGCTAAGCAGTAGGTAGGTACCAGGCAACAAGGCAAATGGTGGCGCGTGGCGATGTAACAATAGACCCGTGCCGTATTACTACATCCGGCACTTCGCAGCCCTACACCGAGTTCAGACGTCGTCAGTGTCGGTGGCTGCTGTTTCGGTAGAAACATAGCCATCGCTTTTCCTATGCCAAATCAAGAAAGTTGGGCTGACAGGACATTCAGGGGCCAAGGCTTCACCTAGGTATCTTCGCTTCTATATCAACAGCGACGATTCAGTCGATATACCTAGGTAGGTACCTGGTAATTATTCATCGCCTTAAACAATAGTTGAGTGTAAGGCTTTATTGAATAACAGGTAGGTACCCTCTCGTGGCTTGCCACATTATGCTAAACTGCCCAGGTGAGTAGAAAGAGTCCTTGCAAACTAACAACTGCTTCTCTAAAATACCTATCAATGAGTAGTAATAATTATACCTAAACATGAAGTAAAGAGGCCGTCCTTCAACCTTGATTCTTGCCAATACTATGTAACAGGCACTTGTCGTGGTACATATATACACCGACGAGCTGCTAAGCGTTGTACGGCATTGGCTTGTGCAGACTTATGAGGTCTGATGACCGCATTATGCAGAGGTGATTGTCATGATTGACAGGGACCAAATCGACAAGACTTCTTCTTCTTTTTTCTCTCTCCCTCTTCTTTCAAAGAAAGTCGGTCAAGAAAGGTGAGAATATCAATTATGAAATAGCAAGACAAGAAATCAAGTCACCTGGATCTGGATTCTTCCAACGCTTAGAGAGGTGCATTAACACATATGTAAGTACTAGGTACATATGTAGTAAAGAAGCGAGGAAGTAAAATATTTCGCTATACGTAATTAATACTTGCGAAATGTATGGACCGATTCGTACGTACGCGAGTACTGAATATGTATTGAGCCTCGGTACAATGCTAACTGGAACCTATCAAGCGATCTGGGATGCGCTGGCAAAATTAAGCAGGGATTTGCTGCAAACTATTTATCTAATCCCTGCATATATCAAGTCCCGCGACTGGTTTGCCGATAATAAAAAGTGCGGAGGTGACGATCATTTAATTTTTTTTTCCCTCTTTTCCTTTGTTGGAGAATAGGAAGTAGATTGTTCATTATGTTATATGTATGGCAAGCAGTAGATGCATTGTTATAGATAATATAGATAGAATGTAGGTACATACATTTACTACCTAACCTTAGGTATCTACATAGATAATTGCGGCACTTTGCATCGAAGTTTACCGTGCTAGTAATCAAAGGTATCGAAAGCTACCTAGGTAGGATATACTTGCATATGAAGGTTCCTGCTGATTGTCCCTACCGATCGCTTTGTAAACTCGATATATGTACTACGGAGCCGGGGTTTACTCCTACCTGTTCCTGTCGCTTGTTCCAGTCCAATCGATATCTTTCCGCATTAGGCGAATCCATTTCTCTTTTCCCGGAATATCTACTATATCCATCTTTTTATTAATGAAGTCGTGACGCGTAACAGCTTAAATACTTAGGCACCTGCATAGGTAGGTACGAGGGGACAACCGTAACGTCGAACTCTTCCAAGTTCCATCCCACAAAGATCATAGCTTAACAGCAATGATGAAGATGGGTCTGCATGACGGCAGCAATGCATGATGCAAGGTCGGAAACACTCCATCATCCCATCGTCTAAAGACAGCAATCTTCGGCGAAACATAGAGCGGCAGCAGCAGCAACAAAGTCACCGCATTTCTACAAACATCCACCCTATCTAAGTATGTACGTACCCGGTATACACCTACATAGGTGCATTACGTATCTGCACACTACTAAATACATACCTAAGTACCTGTACCTACGTATAGTATTAATTGTTAAAGATTATATATCTACCCAGCATTTTAGAGTAAAAACCGAATGCATGTTGAATAAGTAGGTATGGACGTATTAGTTTGCCAGTTCCTGACGACGCTGACTGTATTGGTACGATCGCTATTAGCATCCATAGGTATCTTAGATAGGTACCTACCCACCTCCCTCCTCTTTCATTTGTTCATACCGTCAAGGGTCGTCTCGGATATTTAGACATTTTTAACCTCCTAATATAAGAGCTATACCTAGGCACTTCTAATGCTACTTAGGTAGCTGCCTAAGGTATTTAAACCCCGAGGTCTCGACAAGGTCGTGAACCTATCTTATCTATCTCGGGTCATCATCATCGACGTTGACGGTTTCTACCGATTCGCCAGACTTGTGAAAAAGCTTATTGTTAGTTGCCGCACTAGCATCCACAGAGTTCCAAGGTTCTAATGATTAATCAAGATTACGTACCCAGTACCTTGAATAACACTTAATACCAAACGGGCAACTTGTTATGCCGAGATCTATAAAGTTTTAAACATAAACTACATAGAGCGTTAACCACTCTTCTGTAGGTACATAGGTACCTACTCAAAGGGATGCTTCGGACTCTTAAGGTTACCTAGGCTTAAGGTAAGTGTATTCCACACTAATAAATTTCAACGTTCAGATCAATCGACATCATGATTACCATCATAATCGTGTCTGTCCCACTTTTATCTTCCCTGACCCGACCCAGCTTTTTAGATGGTCCATCGAATTTACTAACCATTTTTAGCAATCTTTGATTGAGGACCCTTGTTTTCCTTTAAAACCCAGCAGCTGCCCAGCAGCACAGGTACATAGATGTATGTACAAACACGCATCCTTGACTTGTAAGGTCGAAACGAGAACTTTAATATTAAAAAAAAAGAGAGGAAAGTGGTAAAGCTAACGGGTGAGCCAACTTGTACATATTTCTGACTTAATCTTACCTAAGGTATTATTTCCGTCTATGTAACTGGGTCGATTTTCATTATTATTGAAGACAGCGCTTCTGCCCGCCGATAAAACGGCAAATGACAAACGATAAAACGAGAGCTCACTTAGATACTAATAAACAACTACCATAACCACTACCACCACTATTTCTATCACCCGCGGTTCTTTGTAACCATCTGCGTGTTCTGTGTTCCCTTGACACAGTGACCCGCAAGGTACAAGAAGGGGGGCGGATGCTTTTTGGGTGCGGATAGCCGCGTACTTGGCAAGTGGACGCCGTGGATTCGACAAGGATTTAAAAAAGACTGTACCAGGGTGGATGCATGTCTTAGTGACTCCACTCATACCTTGGACCTAGCATAACACAACTCAAGCTCCCGTCCCCCTGCCACCCTGTCTGCCCCCATCCATACTACACACCATCCACAAACCCATTCACACCCTTTTTATTTATTTATTATTTTATTCTTATTTTTACTTTTGAACTTTTTATTATTTTCCCTTTGGTAAAGTGCTCTGAAGCTAAAAAAAAAAAAAAAACCCTCCGGACCCCTGTTGACGAAAGCTGGTCTAGCATACCGACCCCAGCAGCCCCAGCTCAACCAGCCAAGGGGGGACGACCGAGAATAGCCAAGCAGTTCAAGGAAGGTCTAGCGCAAAAAAAAAAATAGAAGCAGAAGCACAAGCAACACAGCACACAGCACCACAAAGCTGTGCATGCGCGCTTGTGTACCTGTCGTATGGGTTTGTGTGAGACTGTGCTTCCTTGGCCTGCTCAATTTGAAAATACCTACCAAGATACCTACCAAGATAGATTTTCCCATTCCTCTACGGCTTTTTCTTCTTGCGCTACTTTGATTTATCCGTCCGCCTCAAACTACTTACCATACTCTCGTAACAAATAGGAAGAGAGGTATATCTCTTGTTGACGTAGCCATACTCTTTCACCTACCTATTTTGTTTTCTTCCTCTTTGGTTCGTTTTACCTACCGTATCCTTATGAGGAAAAGCGCGTATCGAGCCAAATACACACACACACACACACACACACACACACACACACACCAGTGGCAGTGAGAGAATCGGGAGAGAGGAGAAGCGAAGAGAAGAGAGAAGAGAGGGAAGAAAAGAAAGAAGGGAGAAGGGAGAATAGAGAAGAAGAAGAGGGGATTAGAAATCTCCATCTAATTCCTTTTCTTTATCATATTCCGAGACGGTGAATATCTGGATTACTTTGGTAGTGCCGGTACTAGACCTATCTATCTACCTACCCTTACTGCATCGTCCCCATCTAGGATACCTACTACCTAAGCACTAGGTGGGTAAGAAAAACTTGTTGGGCGGCCATGGATTCTCGACAGCCGCCACAACTCCCTTTTGCTCGTAACGCCGCTGCATCGCCACCAGTTTATGCACGATCGCCCTTCCCACCCGCGTCTAGCTCAGCTTCGACAGCGACAACATCGTCACCCTTTCATCCCTCGAATCCTGCGTCTGCAAGTCCTGCTGCGTACGGCGAACATCAGCGACGACCATCAGACACGAGCCCTTTCTACCCGCAATCAAGGCCACCACCATCTTATGCGCCAGAACCGACCTCACACCCTACACCAAGTCATTCGCGACACCCAAGCTCATCGTCAATTAATGTCCCCCTGACCCGTAATATGCCTCCCCCCTCACCTCCTCAGCATCAGAATCAAAAACCGCAGGCTCCTCATCCTGCGCATCAGATGGGTCACTATGGCGGTCCACCTGCGCCAAGAGCTCCTCCCGTGAATCTGGGTCCCCCGAGCGCGTTTCCTTCGGCTCGAGAGCTTCCCGCACTAAATTCCATACCTCGAACGGGGAGCACGGGAGGGAGCATGTCAATATCTTCGATGCTTGGAGGGCCCCCGCCAGCTCGTGAGCCTACTCCTGGCCATCCGACTTCTTTTCCACCCCCTGCCACCACTTCTTCTGTTTCAGGACCCGCATATGCCGCGCCGGTCCACGCGTCACCTAGAATGCAGGCCGCAAACGAATATGTCGCTTATAATAGGAGGCCCCAAACACCTGACCAAGGTAGACCGTTTGACACAAGAGATCATAGGGGTAACGTAGCCGGGTCGCCGCCGCAGGGCATGTACGGAACTCCTGAATTGTCCCGATACAACACACCACAGGCCTATCCGCAGCGTGGCCCACCGATGCCGTCGGCGGAAGAGAGAAGAGAACCGCCGGGCCGGATTCCTCCTGCTAACGTACCCCCTAGACCGAGTAGTCAGCCCAGATCTTATCACGGCATGCCTCCGCGGCCCGTAGAGATGGGGAGGGCACCTCCGCCTGGCGACCCCGTATATGGGAGGCGAGAAGAGGCGCGACCACCTGGCCCACCCGAATATAACCCTGAGCGACCACCTCGGACCATACCCTATGAAGAACAGCGTCGCTTCCTTTCAGAACGGGAAATGAGAGAGCAGATGAATCGAGAACAGATGAGCCGGGAGCAGATGACTCGGGAACAAATGAGCCGAGAACAGATGAACCGGGAACATATGAGTCGGGAAGCCGAGTTTATGGAAAGGGAAAGAAGAGAGAGGATGCAGTATGAAGAGCAGCGCCCATTTATGGCAGAAAGAGAACGAATCGAGAGAGAAAGAGAAAACCAGCGCGAGATGGAAAGGGAGAGGGAAAGGGAAAGGGAAAGGGAAAGGGAGAGGGACAGAGAAAGAGAAATGGAGATGCGTGAGAGGGCTAGGAGAGAAAGGACAACGTCGGACCCGAGTCGTCCGCATGGTCAACATCCTGTGGAACTTGGTCCTCAGATGCTTTCGCGACAGCCGCCTTATGGAAGACCAGATGCTCGAGATCCTCGCGATCCAGCAGCCTGGCAACGACCTGGTTATGATCAGCCACCACCGCGAGATGCGTATGGCCAGGCTTATCCGGGCCCGCGACCAGGCGAATTTCCCTCGACTACGGCCGCGCCATACGGAACGCATCCTGCTTATGCACAACCTCCTCCCCACGAACGTTTCCCACCGACTGGTCCGCCCCCTCATGTGATGCCCGTCAGCCAACCAGGCCCTCAACCTGCGCATCCATTTGAGTCTCCTGATAGACACCGGTTTGTTCAGGCGCACCCTCAACAGCAACCGCCGCCGCCGCCGCCTGCTCACCGAGGTCGTCCCGTCGAGGAAGCTCCACCCCCCCCTTCGGTTGCGTATAACGGTGGTCCTGGCTCAGCCGCGTTTGAGGCCGGCCGGCCACGCGTCATGGACGAAGGTCCTGCTCCTGCTGGACCTCAGAGAGGTTTCCTCGGTATCCAAGAGATTAATCGTAAAGGACGGGTGTCCCCGCTGCCCCAGGCGGTTCAGGGCGCGCAACCTCAGTTACAGGGCCCCGCCGGCGAGCCTGGGATCAAGAGTGAATTCGGCCGAATGTTCTCCGGCATAGGAAGCGGTGTTCGCGGAATCGGTGTCTCTAGCCCAGTGCCACCTGTGATGCAAGCCCAATTCTCTAACGCGGGGCCTACGCGGCGTGATGACGAGCATCCCGGCCACGAGGTGCTCGTGGAAGCCCCGGCGAAGGCGCCTGCTAGAGGAAAACGAAGGAAGGCCAAGGACGATGACGGCAAAGGTGATGACGATAGTACTGGCAGGGTTACGCCGGTCGGTCGGGCTAAGCGTCCCAAGACCCACGCTCATCACCACCATCACCAGTAAGTAATAGCTATTATATTCCGTTCGCTTCGGCCTGTATTCATTGTAATATTTTTTTTAGTCATCATCATCATCACCATCATGGCCCGGAAAGAACCACTTCGCCCCTTCAAGCAGCCAATGGGCAACTCAAAAACCTCAAAACTAACACACCGATACCATCTCCTACCAACAAAGATTTCTCGAACCTTACTCATCATCACCAACCTCCCAGATCAGCCGCGGCTCCGTCTTCGAAGTCGGCGGCCCCGGGCCCTACCATTATACCCAAGCCGAAGCACAAGATCTCGTCCCAAGCAGTTCTCGACAGCGTCGCGGATCGACCGCGGAAACACCTTGGTGACGTCGTGTATCATGCCGTCCTAAAGCCTAGCAAGTTAGAATCGTCTCATTCCAAGTTCGGCTATTCGTCCAACCCGCGCCCGCTTCCGATGGACGTGATCAAAGGGAACGAGAATTCGACTCTGACGGTGAAGATTCCCCGCATTCACCTGAGCCCGTCCGCGCGAGAGGAGATTACGTCTCGTCGAGCTGTGTGGGGCACTGATGTCTACACGGACGACTCGGATGTTGTCGCCGCCTGTATCCATGCGGGCTGGATTCGGGGTGAATGGGGCGATGACGTTGACGTTGATTTGTTAGATTTGTACAAACCCGCAACCACAAAGAAGCAGCGCGCAATGCCTGCCGAGCAACCACTCGAGGTTCTCACTTCACCGCCGGCTTCTGGTCCCGCTCAAATACCCGCAGGTCGCGACTTACACGTGACGCTCTTGGTGCTGCCCGCGCTCGATAAATATAGTAGCTCGACACGCTTCGGAATCCAGAGCCGCGAATTCGGTGGGACGTATAACGGGCGCAAGTCGATTCACGATGGCATTAGCTTCATGATATTGAATGTGCGATGGGTGGACGGCGCGGCACCGCAGAGCAGGCTTCGGGGTAAGGCGCGTAGGGAACGAATCAGAAAAGCGATGAGTGAGGTAGACCGGAGCCAGGTGGTGGATATAGGGGAGAAAGAGCTCTTGAGCAAGATGGTAGCGGCACGAGATACTGACTCCGGCAAAGAGAACAGTGGGAGGAGGTCAGCCGATAACAGCATCGGGGAGGGCAATAAAGAGAACCGTCCCGCCGCAGCGGCTTTAGTCGATGCTACTCCTACACCGAAACAGGAAAAGCCTAGCATGGACACGAAAATGGACATAGATGAGGATGTGAAGGACAAAAGCGACTCGGCGGATAGTCAAAGTACGAAGACGGCAAACACGGCGAATACCACCGCTATTCCCGCTGCTGGGAAAGAACCGGAGAATCAAGGAACGAATGAATATACAGATGTATCTACGTAAACACGGGCTCGATACTCACCGAGTCCCGCCAGGGGAGGGATACGATAGCAGAGCTGGATGTACAGTAGAAGGTTCTGACAAGCGCTGCTTTTCTTTTCTAATTTCCTCTTTATACTGTATCCTTGCGCTATGGCTTTGAAAGATACCTGATACCTACCTAACCTACCTAACCTACCCAACTCGTGTTTGGTCTTTTCGCGATTCTACATATATATAGCATAGCGCGGAGTTTTGAGCATGGCTATACGTGATGTATATATTTCCTTGATGCTGTACTTTACTCGAAAAGTCGGCAGTTTGGGCATATTTACCTATATTATGTGTGATGGGAATGGAAATGGATGAATGATCCCTGACGCGGTATGCTTATTATACTAGGTACATATCAAATACACCATTATAGATCTACATAGATACCTACCTTCCTACCTACCTAGGTACCTAGGTATATTCTGGAATCACGACACGCTCATTTCAACAGACTGACATGTAGTACCGGCAGAATGAATTTGATTTAGTCATATTGTTACACTTACTACTAGGTACCTAGGTATCAAACAATTAAATCATTTAACAACAGTTGCCGTTAGTTCAGTGTGTTCTTCGGTGGCATAAGTAGGTACGAGACATGTGTATATCCTTGGGTATATTCTATTATTATGACTTGACTAAACTGGACACGAGCGCTGCGTATCTTAGTCTGGGTATTCTCGCCTCTTCCTAATTTCGTCCTCACTCGCCCTGTGCTTGCGTATACAGAAAGAACGGTACCACGTTTTAAGGTCTAGAGATCTTCTCTTCTACACCAAATACCATAACCAATCCGTAGTCCATTAATGCTAAGCAGGACATAGATATAGACAAACCAACCAATTTATAAGCTGAGACCGCCTCTCGTCTCTCTTCTCTTAGAAATCGGTAACCCGGCCATTGAAGCTATAATCACCAGCAGGTCCCCAGCGAAGGGGCTCGTTTTTGGGACCACCGACTTCGCCGGTCTTCGGGTTTACGTCTCCCTCAAACTCGGGCGGGGCGCCCTTGCGAAGAGGCACAGATCCGAATTCATCGTCGAGTGTGGGCGTCTCGACCGCGTTAGCTTCTACCGAGGACAGATCGCTGGTAACTGCGGAAGAGACGGGAGAGCTGAAGTCCGGGATCGAGGTCGGGTTGAAGCCTTCTTGGGTATTGGCTGTGCGCTGCAGGCGTTCGAACTCAGCTTGCTGATCAGGTGGAAGACGGAGTGGGGAGGGCGTTGGTTGAAATGGGCTAGAATTATTGGTGTCGTTGGAGGCGTAGCGGATAGGCTGTTGGTTGCGGAAGCGTGAGAATATTACGAATTGTCTCGAAAGCCGGGCGGCGCGAGTGAGGCGTAATGCCATTTTCACAATGCAATTATTATTACTGTTTGGGGTGCCGACAAGAAAACAAAATGTACAACAGTATTTAAGGTAGTAGAGAATCGCGCGAATTTCAGAATATCGTGGCGACGGATTCCTACATGACGAAATCAAAGACAAAGTTTCGGATAATGCCGTCTGGGTTTACTAGGTGGGTATGTATGTATATCGGTACGGAAATACTACTAGGTATGTACTCTGTACTTAGAGTACCTACTGTACTAGGTAGATATCTACTACCTATTAGATACTTTTCCGATTTCCGCATTCTCTTAAGAGAACGCATCTAATTGGTTCATCTCTTTGTGGTCAACTGCAGTCTGCAGATGTGCCTGATCAGAATTTTCAGAATTACATACGTTCTTCCGGTGTAACCTGGGCACGAGGTATATTTATAATTGTGACTAGGTCCACGGTGTTTATTAAGATGCAAACGTACCTATGTATGTATTTATTCATACGGCACCTAGTGCTTCATGACTTGCGTGTGTACAGAATACATGGGAACAACAATGATGATACACTTTCTACATGATAGATATGGTACGTATTTTTTAAACATAGGTTACTTACTGCATACAATGTAACAATGTTCCCCCCAAAAAGGAAATGGTGTTCTATGCGTAATATAAAAATAAATGCGAGCTCAGCAGGGATCGAACCTGCAATCTTTAGAGAACTGTGTACCATTTTATAGATGGGACCGAAATCTAACGCCTTACCATTAGGCCATGAGCCCTCACCAAGTGAATTGCTATTGGGAAACTTTGCGGCTCAAAGGTAATTTATATAGCTGCAGCTAGCACATAGACATGAGCTAGAACGTCTTAGTGGATACTGTGGATACTGTGGACATTCCGAAAGAACAAAAAGTCCGCAAAGTATTATGTAAACACTTCCACCGTTTCAATATATATTGTTCTGATTGCAATGACTACCACGTACGACCACAGGACTTAGAGAATTCAGGATCCCGTCTGCTCTCCCATAGACAAGCTAGGTACCGCCGGATCAGTAGTTGGGTCGGTGACGACCAGCGAATCCCCGGTGTTGTACGTTTTGATATTTCATCATTTTTTGCCTTGGGCAGGACTAGTTGTCTTTTACCCATTTATGAATATTTTGAGGCTCTATCTCAGGCCGAGAAACGTCGTAAAGAAATGGGGATGGCTTGAATATTGCCCTTCGATTGCACCTGTACCTGTACAGTATATAAATATATTCTATGTATCTATCTATACAACAAAAGAGCGAAAGGACCTTTTATTCTCTTATCCAGTATCTGATATTTCATTTTTCATTCGGTTAAATACAACAAATCGATAACTGCAATTTTGTCGCGGTGGCCAATAAAATTTTGTGCATTTTGACGTTAATACCCCTTGCATGTTTTTAGATTTTTGCTACTTAGGCCAGCTAGGCCAGCTGACAGTCTGACTAGGAAGGATCGGATCCGGTCGAATGCAGAAGTACAAAGTGGGATGGCGGGGTTGGAAAGAACGACTCACTTCCGGTTATCGCTTTGGATGCAATGCATTTTTAGCGAAAAAAAAAAATCCATAGATACCTAGGTATGTACCGAAATACTTCTGTACATTAAAACCATCTAACATCGCGTGTTGACTCAGACCAAGAAACTTCCTCTATAAAAAAGAGTCATCTTTACCCCGTCCACCCTGTTCACCCTCTACCTCTTCCCTTTTCCATTGCAACCAATTGACATTGAACACTATGGAGGCTCTCAAACAGACGTTCAAGCGCTGCAAGGCAGAGAACCGGGTATGATTCAAATCCCCCCTACAGCGAATTGTTTATGCTCCTTATGTTCCTTATAGTCCTCATGTTTGTGATATATGTGCTATATATGCCGACACATACGTCGTCGAATAATATAACCGTATATCATTGTCATTAACTAACTCAAGATATTATCGTGCAGGCTGCTTTGGTTACCTATGTCACTTCCGGTTACCCAAAGCCTGAGGATACGCCTGATATATTAATAGGAATGCAAAATGGGGGTGCTGGTACGTTGTGGCAAGCAGTCGTAGACTGATGCCGATGATAAATCACAGTCATTGGCTGCCTTACTAACAGACTTCAGATATCATTGAACTTGGCGTACCCTTCACAGATCCCATCGCAGACGGCCCAACTATCCAGACATCGAATACGGTTGCTCTCGCCAATGGCGTTACCATCAAGTCCACCTTAGATATGGTTCGGGAGGCCCGATCCAAAGGATTGACGGCGCCGGTTCTGTTGATGGGTTACTATAACCCCTTACTTAGTTATGGCGAGGATGCCCTCTTACGAGACTGTAAGGAGGCGCGTGTAAATGGCTTCATCGTTTGCGATCTGCCTCCCGAAGAAGCAGTTTCTTTCCGAAAACTGTGTAGCAAGGGTGCGTTATCATACGTCCCTCTGATCGCGCCCGCGACGTCCGACACTCGTATGAAAATTCTATGCGCCCTAGCCGATTCTTTCATCTACGTCGTCTCGCGCATGGGGGTGACCGGTGCTCTGGGTACCCTCAATGCTAACCTGCCGAGCCTTGTCGAGAGAGTCAAGAAGTACAGTGGCGACAAGCCGGCCGCTGTCGGTTTCGGTGTATCAACGCGCGAACACTTTCAGTCTGTGGCCTCTATCGCCGACGGTGTAGTTATAGGTTCGGAGATTGTCACCACCCTCCGGAAGGCCGAACCTGGGAATGGTGCTAAGGCCGTCGAAGAATACTGCGCTTACGTCAGCGGGCGCACGGCACAAGAAACAACGCGGGAGGTAGGAGTCATTGAAGCCATTGGTGCCTCTAGGGAGCCTAGCGGCGAGGACGTGACAGTCAATGGAGTGATTTCAGAGCATGACGATGCTGCTTTAGTCGCCCAACTTGCAGCCCTCCACGGCAAGATCCCCGAACGGTTTGGCGAATTTGGCGGTCAATACGTACCAGAGTCCCTCATGGACTGTTTGTCCGAGTTGGAGAATGGCTTCAATGCCATCAAGGATGATCCCCAATTCTGGGAGGAGTATAGATCTTTCTACCCCTGGATGGGACGACCAGGCCAGCTCCACATGGCTGAGCGCCTGACCGAATATGCTGGCGGCGCTAACATCTGGCTGAAGCGAGAAGACCTAAACCATACCGGATCTCACAAGATCAACAATGCTTTGGGTCAACTTCTACTCGCGAGGCGACTGGGCAAAAAGAAGATTATCGCCGAGACTGGTGCTGGACAACATGGTGTAGCGACGGCTACGGTCTGCGCCAAGTTTGGTATGGAATGTACAGTATTTATGGGTGCTGTAAGTTCTTTTTCATCGCCCAATACTTTCTTTTCTAGAATCAGGATGGATGATGACTCACAGTTAACGTAGGAAGATGTTCGGCGTCAAGCACTCAACGTGTTCCGGATGCGCTTACTAGGCGCCAAGGTCATTGCGGTAGAAGCCGGAAGCAAGACGCTACGAGATGCCGTCAACGAAGCACTCCGGTACTGGGTCGTTCATCTAGAGGATACCCACTATATCATCGGGTCCGCTATCGGTCCTCATCCCTTCCCGACTATCGTGAGAACCTTTCAGTCAGTCATCGGAAACGAGACTAAGGCGCAGATGCAAGAGAAGCGAGGCAAGTTACCCGATGCGGTCGTAGCTTGTGTCGGCGGAGGCAGCAACGCCGTCGGCATGTTCTATCCCTTTTCCAACGACCCTAGCGTCAAGCTACTAGGCGTCGAGGCCGGTGGAGACGGCATCAACACCTCACGACACTCGGCTACGTTAACGGGAGGTACTAAGGGCGTGCTGCACGGTGTAAGAACCTATGTTTTACAAAACGAATTCGGTCAAATTTCCGACACCCACTCGGTTTCCGCTGGACTTGACTACCCAGGTGTCGGACCTGAATTGTCAAATTGGAAAGACTCCCAGCGGGCCATGTTTATCGCGGCCACCGATGCCGAGGCCTTCATCGGTTTCAGACTTATGAGCCAGATGGAAGGTATAATCCCTGCGCTCGAGTCGGCGCACGGCATATATGGCGCTATTGAGTTGGCTAAGACGATGAAGAAGGGCGAAGATATTGTCATCTGCCTCAGCGGCAGAGGTGACAAGGACGTTCAGAGCGTGGCCGACGAGTTGCCTAAGCTAGGACCCCAGATCGGATGGGATTTGCGATTTTAAGAGAGATGGATTATTATGCGTGCATGCATGCCCTAGATATACATAAATACACACATATATTTGGGCAAGGACATTAGAATCTGGAGTTTAGGGCGAGGGATATCAAAAATAGAGAGCATGGTATATGATACATGGTATTGGGCTACATTTATAAATCTGTATCTAGATGGATTTTTTACAAGCTGGTTTGCACGGTTCAATGCCACCTATGTTCCCTTGATTTTAAAGATGGCCACATCAGTCTTCGATTGAGGAAGGTAGACAGATATGAGTCGGGTTATGGCCCTGGCGTCTTCGTGCTCTCGCTCTCCTTCGGATTTTCCTCTTTCATGAAGTCAACCTCCTTAGCGACTTCCTCGGCCGCATCTGCTTTAACTACCACTTCCTCGCCTTCCTTTATTTCGCCTATAACAAACTCATCCTCACGTTCTATCATCTCTTCAACCTCCGTCAGCACGGAATTAGACGTGAAGCCTTCGGCGGCAAGTTCGCTAGGAAGCTCGATAGTTTCCACTTCTTTCGGCGGAAGACCCATCGCGGCACGCTCCCGAGCAAACCGCTCCTGTATAGCAGGAGTCTGGATAATCTTCCAGCGAAGAGCCCAGCCGGCGGGGCCCAACTCCTTGATCCTCTGTGCCTTGGAACCTAAGAGGTACTCGTCGATACCGCCGAGACGGTCGATCGTCCGTAGAACGCGGGTGGTCATGCGAGTGCGGATGAAGGCGTTTAGGCTAGGCGACCAGAGGCGCTTCATATGTCTATTAGGTAGCCAGCTGGTGCGCGACTTGTTGCCGTACTTCTCGGCTACAACGTTACCGTAGCGGGTCTTTTGGCCGCCGAATAGACCTTGGTTCGCTTGCTTATATGTCCGAAAAGGGCCGTAAGGGTAGTCGGGGATCAGGTCCGGAGGGACGGATAGGTACGAGGGTCGCTGGCGCGATAGAGGTGATGTCGTACTAAGGCCACGGATTGTGTTGTGTATCGGCGTTTGGGAGGTAGTTGATGCATGTGAGAGTGTGTATGTAGGCGTAGATGTGAGGGTCGTCGATAAGAGACAGCATCGCAACGAGGCGGCTGGGATTTGAATTGGTGGCATCTTGTTGAGTCGAGTATGAGAACAACTTTATGGTGCCGTTTCTGGACACATTATAATCGTGTCATAGTCCGGAGTGAATCAAATTAACGAGATTAATTCGACATTTTAATGCTTCAAGTTTAGACTCAATTGAAGATTTCTTATCGTGCGATTATCGAGGTCAGCGGGGTTTACGCGAATGCATTAATGCGTTTTTTTTTGCATTAATAAAGTCAAGTGACATCGCTCCACTTCAAGCTTCTTATCATTAATCCGCGGGGTTGATTGACCGCCTAGGTACCTACTAAGGTAGGTAGGCAGGTACGGGTACTTATCGCGTATCTAGGTACCTATCCAGGTAGTTACCAATTTATAAATATTTACTTCTAGATTAACAATTGATACCTACATATTTATCATCATTAATTAATAGACCTCTCGCAATGTTACCTCCGATAGATGAGGCCGTATTCAATAACAACCCTGACTTCGAGCGTCTGTACAAGACCGTAACCGGTTCTCTTCTCAACACAGATGGATCTTCGAAGAGTAATGACTCAGCATCTAAGAAACGAGATACTGTGCGTGATGTATGTCTATACTTGAATGTCTAATTAATGTCTAAACCCAATTGGAGTATCGCTAATGTCGATGGTATAGGAGCTTAGGAAACATCGCCTCAAGGCAACGAAGCAACACCTTCTCCGTCGCGCAATAATAGCAGCTACCACCTCACCTAAGCAGCAACAGCAACAGCAACAACAACAACTTCCACAACAATCGCAGCATAGACGAACGAGATCAATGCAACAAACACAACAATCTCGAACATCCTCCTTAGCCTCGGCTCCAACCCCCGAAATCCTCGACCTACTCCTCCTACTCTCCCCCTTAATCTCCAATGCAAGCAACATGCCGGCCTCCTCTCTAACCCTCCTCCTCTCCCGGCCACCTTTCTCCAACATAAACACCCACTTCCCAGCCCTCGTAACAACTCTATCCGGCACACTATCCCGGCAAGCCGGCACCCTAGCGCGCGTGCTCAACCCGCATACCAACCCATCTTACGTCCATCGCTCGGTCCCCACCCTCGCAACCAGCACGACCGCTCTCCAAATCAGCTTATCCAACTCTTCCCACGCCCTCTCCCGTTCCCGCCAGCGCGCGACCCATGACCTGACAAGGCACCTCTCGCGACACACGCAGGTCCTAGCGGCGCTAATCCGCATCCTGGAATCCAAGCATGGGCCCTCCGCGCGGTCCGCCGAGCTGCGTGCCGCAGACGCGGGGCTCGAGACTCAGACCTGGGCCCTCGCCGCCGAAGCCCTGCTCTGGGATGTCCGGAGGGCTGTATACCCGCCCGAGGCGCGACGCGCCTTGACAAACTACCGCCGACACTTGGGCGATGCGCGGATGCGCCTGACGGATGCGATACGGGTGCGCGAGGCCGAGCTAGAAGACTACGGTGTGGCCGTGATCGAGGGATACGAAGGAGACGAGAACAAGGAGCGGACCATGCGCGAGATGGCTAGAGTATGGCGGGAGATGGAGTCGCGGCTCGATGAAGTCAGGGGGGATCTTGACAGATTAGGATAGGAGGCATACCCGAGCCCTTTACACTGGTGAATTCGAAATAGTGTCAATATCAACGAGACGAATGCGTACGTACAAACTTAAATGCGATTATAGTGATCCTGGAAATAAATTTTATTCGCCTATCTAGAGGTAGCGTTGGTATCACAAGTATTGGTTGCCCAGCATATATCGGCAGGACAAGCTAAGCGGATGCAAAATGTGGAGAAAGGGGTAGTAAAACAGCAGTGATGTGTGGGGGATAGTCCCCGTTATCATCCTGAGGAATATCGCGATGAAAAGGTCTATCAATCGACCGATCCACTAGGTTATCCGTCTATCCGTCGTACCATCGTACATCGTACCGGGTATGCTTTTTTTTTTTCTCTTTTCCTTCATTTTTCCTTATTGCGCGTCTAGATCGGGACTTGACTCCCACGTACCCAGAACTTCCTCCTACTCTCCACTAAGATAAGTGTGTCATCTAACCCTTGACCTTGTAGATAGCATCGGCTAGGCGGCCAACGTTGCCACTCGTGATTCCAGCAACGCTGATACGGCCATCCTTCGTGGCGTATACGCTGTGTTCCTTGGCCAGTTTTTCCATCGCGGCGGCATCGAGGCCGGTGTACGCGAACATACCGATCTGTGACGTGATATGGCTCCAGTCGTGGGAGCTACCGAGCTTCTCGAGATTCTCCTTGAGCAAGGCACGCATGCTGATGATACGGTCGGCCATACCCTTGACCTCGCCAAGCCATTGTTCGTTAAGAGCCGGGTCGTTGAGGATCTCAGAGGCGATGCGTGCACCGTGTAGCGGCGGGTTCGAGTACAAAGGTCGGACTAGAATCTTGACCTGGGACTCGACACGCTTCTTCTCCTCGGGCGTTGAGGCTACAATGGAGAAGGCACCCACACGTTCTCCGTATAGACCCTATTATTTTCGTGTTAAGTCTAGTGTTTCGGAAAATTAACAATTAAAAAAGGCTAACATACCATATTCTTAGCAAAGCTTTGGGCCAAGGCAATATTGTGGCCCTGCTCGACAAAGTATCGAACGGCGAAGGCATCCTTATCTGTGTTTCCACTGGCAAAGCCTTGGTAAGCCATGTCAAAGAAGGCATAGTGACCCTGGGCCTTTACAACGTTGCTGATTTCCTTCCACTGCTCAGGGGTAGGGTCGACGCCTGTGGGGTTGTGGGCACAGGCGTGGAACAGGAATAGGCTTCCTTTGGGGGCGGCCTTAATATCCGCCAGCATACCCTCGAAGTCTAGTCCAATGGTATTCTTGTCATAGTAGCGATATTGTTGGACCTCGAGGCCGGAGTCGTTAAAGACAGCCTTGTGATTAGCCCACGAGGGGGTGGGGATGTATATGGTCTTGGCACCCGGGAAGAACCGTGACAGAAAGGCACCGCCGATACGGAGAGCGCCAGTGCCTGAGATGGACTGTGTGATGACTAGACGTTCAAGGGCGGACGAGCCCTTGCCATAGGCTAGCTCGGCGGCGGCTTTCGTGAACTCGGGAAGACCGGTGATGCCGAGGTATTCTTTGTTCAAACGCTTCTCAATAACTTTATCTTCGGCAGCGCGGACGGAGGGGAGGACATAGGGTTTGCCTTGGTCGTCTCGGTAGGCACCAACACCTAAAACAAAAGATTATTAGCTGTCCGGTGTTCTGATAGCCATTATGACTAGCATGTGGCGGGGTTATAGGAGTCAGAGGGCGTTGCAGCAAAGGAACCCAGACGAAGAAGAAAAAGTATGAAATACCGAGGTTGATCTTCTTCTCGAAGCTATCAGCTTTGAAAGCTTCAGTGATACCTGTATAAAATCAGCGAATGGCATGTCATCTTATTCACCCGGTGAGTGATCTATACCTAGGATCGCCTATGATCGGGGGAAAATCGGCATATTAGTCTTGTAGATAGAATAGAAAAGATAATGGAGCGACGATGCCGCAAATTGAGCATGCCGAAAAGCAGACTCACATCCTACACATCGAATTGTTAGCAATTGGGTTCAGTAGACATGTCCTTAAACTCAATTGGGTTTTCTAGTTGAAAAACATCCATGGATAGGATAATCGGGAGCAATGACTTACAGGAGGACCTTGAGGTACTTTAGCCCATGTGGATCCAGCTCTTACAGCTTGAAAGGCCATAGCTGATCCTCGGCGGGATGCAGCTTGGCGAGTAGCAACACGAAGTGCTGAATGCATTTTCAATGATTGGTTGTGATTCTAAAGGTGAAATTATGAGACGAGGAAGAAAAAGAAAAAGAAAATGGGAAAAAAGGTTCGACAAGAGAAGACAATGAAAGAGGGCGGTTGCACAAAAGTATGACTAAAAGTATGAGTAAATTTTGTGCTCTCTTGGGAAAGCGTCGAACGATCTCGGATCCTGATATAGTTTAGGATTATTAGCTCAAAAGTCGAAGTCGCGACCTAAGAAGCTCCAGTTGATTATCGTAAGTGATTGGTGGTGTCACACAAGGTCACAACCGTCCTTTCCCCAGGTCCCATTGCTTTAGCAGCAGCTTTAAATATTAGCGCACCAATACCTTCCCTTGGAAAGATCCACTATAACTATTCCAAATCAGGTCATTATCGGCTAATCATCTACAACCGTCCCATCTCTAGCAGATAGGTACGTAAAGAATACATTTTTATCAGATCAAAATTTACATTGACCTAGAGTTTTCCTTTAAACATACATACGTCATATCTATTCATATTTTCTTTCATCTAAGTACTAGGCACATACCTACCTAGGTAGCTACCTATATATTGCGAATATTTGTATCAACTTAGAAATCACCAGGCACCACAGTAACCTCATGATGTAAGCATTGTTGAGAGTTCATTTACAACCAAACCAGTTTCCCAGTTTCAAAACATATAATCATACTGACAACTCTTTTAAGATGAACCATGAAGTTTCAAATAATTCATCAGTCATAACTCATAAGCTGGATGTTTTCATTAATGTGCTATACCTGCGTCAGAAATTCCCCATATACTGTCGCATCTACTTCTCATTCCCAACTCCCTCCTAATCACTGCTAGATCATGGTCTCTTGTATTTCGGTTTTCATTTTGATATCCTCCCCATTGCTCTGTCTCCGATATTCCATCCATCGATGTCGAGCTTCGTTCGCTAAAGAAAGTGTACCGTTCCGAGTGCCCCGGAGGAAGAGGCCAATGTCGGCTATCCCAAACATCATCGTTTGAAGATGTAGGGACGATGGATTGGCCAATGACACCCCATATTGAGCTGCGGTTTGATTCGGTTACCGAAGTTCTAGTTTCGCTCTTGTATCCTTGTTCTGTTCGAGACTCCTTACCGGCCGACGATATCTCTAAGTTTCGCTTCGGCAATTCTTCTATGCTATATAACCGTCTTCGTACCACGAAACAACGCACCGCTATAGATATTACGATAATGAGCACCGTCACCGATACAACGGATGCTATAATGGCCGTGATCTGCCCCCGGCTAAGTCCTCTCTCAGGAGAAAACACAGTCGAAGGCTCTTGAGTGTTATCTGGGTTATTGAGACTAGTTCGGGATGCAGTCGGCGACGTTAAGCTCCCCAAGCTGATATTCGGTATCGTGGCGCTCAAATCTAGTCGCTGTTGGTCCGTAGACGTGGGGCTAGGAGTAAGCGTTGGAAACAAGACAGACAAGGTCATGACCGAATCGCTCTCCGGCGCTGCATCCAAAGCTTTCATCGGCATGGAAGACGTGTTAATCGATATCGGGATAGTCGCATCTAAAACATCTGAACTAGTGGTAGCCAGCGAAAGTCCGACTTGACTGATAGTTACAGTCCACGCGATCGCGATGAGCGACATCCACGTTACAGTAACTCAGGCCACCAGCTAGGTAGAGTAGATTCTTGTTCTCGAGCGAACTTGAGGTTAATTTTCGCATATCACTAAATTTTGCTAATGTGTCGTTCATAGGGATAGCCTTTCTCACATTATAGAATGCTGGAGATGAAGGGAATGGAATTAAGGGGCTAATGGCCGCACGCCCAGAGATGCCTGGTATTGGGGGTAACAACAACAATTATTCTCTGCGCCCGAGCCAACGGCATCGAAGAGGGAATATAAATTAGAATGCCCTGAAAGTATGGCAAACCGAACACTGACACAATCTAGAAACAATACATGTTTTTCATAGACCCACAAAGTGTAGTAAGGAAGGATTCGCCGGAAGGATGGCAATCGATCGACTCAAGATCGGCTAACGTCTATATGAGGATAATACATAAACCTAAGCTCTATTAGATGTAACAGTAATACAGTCAGCACGGGAACCAATGCATGAAAGGAATAAAAGACTCAAAATGCAATGGTGCGTAGATAGGTAGCTATGCTGACCAAGGACCGGGGCGCACGGCAGCATCGAGGAGGGTCGTTTGTTACTAACGTAAGCTCACCACATCCATCAGGTAGCCTTGATTGACAGAATACGTAGGTACCTGGGTAGGTAGATACCGTGTAAACACGATGTTTGGGTACATAGGTACCTAGTTGAGGATATACAGTACCTATTATGCTAACTATCACAATCTCGGGCGTAGCACCTACCTGCTAGTGAGAGATATTATTCCCTCTCTTTAGGAGCCTTATAACTGCGGGGGCTAGTAGGAACAGCCTGCAGATCATGTGGTAACCATGTGGCTATAGATTTTAAAGGATTGCCGCAGTACGACCTACTAGCTGCTCCATGACTAGTTCTCGAGGAGTCTTATCCCTTCTTAACGACCAATTAGAGATAAGACTAGTGATTGGGGAGGCTACTCAAAGGAGTAGAGGGTGGCATATAAGAAGTCGGCGTCGAGGCACATATTTTATTGTGACCTACTTGCATCCTCTCGGTCCCTTCCGGCAACAACAATATGCTGAAGACTCAGCTGATAGTTGCCACCTCATCAATAAAAGGCACATGTAATTCGTTAGAGAATATAATGCAGCCATCTAATTTATTCAAAAGGATGCAGAGCCAACCCCCAGCCCCTTTTTTCTTACGTCTAATTCAATCCATTCCCGTGCAGGCTCCTATATACCAACTTTCGCGTCTCTGCATAAATTAAGAATAGGTAACATTATCTAGATCTTGCACGGTTTAGAGATCCAGGGAGAATTTAAACTTCGTAGTGAAATTACCGGTAGGTACCTGTTTCAAATTTATCATACCCTCGCCTTAAGACGGGCATTAGGTACCTTTTGCCGGCTTGTCCATCTCAATTCTGCCAAGTCTTCCATTTTCTAAGTTTAATAATACAACTTCTACAAAAGTGTTCAGAGGTGGTCAGATAAGATATTAGGTACCTAGGTACACTTGCATAAATTACCTAGTGTATCGATTGGTCGTACGTACTATTACAAACAACAATTGCTTAGGTAGATTCTTTATAGTTAACCTCTTTCCATATTTCTTTTGGAAATTCGAATCTCTCGAAGCCAAGTAAAAACAAAAATAAACATATGAAACAACGAATAAAGACAACCCATATTACATACCTATAGGTCGTTACAGGACTAGTTGAATTGTCCTAGTATCATCGGAAAATAAAAATACCATTTCATCACAAATCAACGATCAGTCTCTAAAAGTCACATACACCCAGCACTCGGCATCTTATTCCGTTAAATGTCTTTAAAATTGTTACCATTTACCATTATCGATGCGTACTAGGTAGATAGGTACCTACCTAGTACCTACCTATGATAAAAAGGATAGTGGTCCAAGAAGAATCTCCTTATAATATAATGCTGTATCCTGAAAGGACATCTTTGCTTAAAAATAAGATAGGAAATACCCAGGTGCCTACCGAACTATCTAACTTCAAGTGCTTTTATAATCCCATTTTGCCAGAAGTCTGAGCTGTAGGGGAACTGGTAGCTAGAGATCTATCAGGATAGGGACTCGACCCGATGAGGTCCGTGAGAGCCTATGAAGGGTTCTAGGTTGCTAGCCCTGGAGACAGAATAGACAGAGGGCTTATCTGTACCTACCTAGGTATATAATTATACCGTACTCCCCTAGCGAGAGTGAGTTAGATTTCTTCGACCAACAACGTTGTTGTCCCATGCCTTTTGGCTCCTCCTTGTGGCAATCTTGATCGACACGATATGATAATTTCCTCAAGGTTCTTCGAAAATGTAAGTACATAGGTACGGTAGATATGTTACCTAACTTAATATGTATGGTTCTGTAGTTTGACCTAACATAATGTCGTCGTAGTCTGGTAATTAATTGAAGGCATATTCCCTTAAAAGAGGTAGGTACCTAGGTAGGTACTAAAGACACCACATTTCACTCAAATTCGAACTTCAATGTCATTTTTGACCATCGTAGGCGCATCCGATGTTTGAGTAAAGTAGCCTAGATGTGGCAAATCTGTCTTTTTGTTATATTTCGTCAGATATACTGTCAAGTTGATTTTTTATTATCAGCGGCGCTTATAAAATCACTTCCGAAAAATACTTACCTACATAGGTAGTATGAATCAGATATCAGCATATCCTCATGCCATATCTAGGGACCACATGTATAAGCGGGTACCTAACCTCTGTTTTTGAGAAGCTCTATCATAAGTGACATCTCTAAAACATTATTTTAGGTGAAGCCTGATCTCCAACAGTATTGTTATATCCCAAGGCACTTGTAAAATACTAACTAGGACCTTATTCAGAGATTGGCCTCAAGTAAATCAATACTGTGTGCCTAGGTAGGCAAATATTTGAATATTACCTAGGTAGCCATGCATGATCGTCTTCGCTCAACTATCTCTTTGACTCGTGATTGTCTACAAAAAGGAATTGACATTGATACCTACCTAGTATCCGCTAGTAGGCATATATTACAGCCCACTGACATCCACCGAATCTTCTACATACAAGGTAGGTACCTAGTAAGCCTTGTCTTCAAATGACTATGAGTTGAGAGACTGCGTACCTAGGCAGGGAATTATTCTCCATTATGATATATCCAAACCTGGAATGAGCCGTGTCAAAAAATGTCTACATGACAGACTCATCAATACTGGTTGAGACAGAGATACATGGAAAGTCGGCCTAATCAGTGTTGGGATACGCGATATTGTCCACTTTTCTCGGTCGAGACACGACACCAATTTCTGTCTCTCATTCAAAGGCTCGGTGTGAAAGATATTGCAATAATACCTAGGTACGTAAATATAGGGGGTACGCATCTACCTATTTTAGTCCAAGGCAGAATCCCGATAGTCTCAGTAGTCACAACCAGTTTCGGTCAACCTCAGTCTCGACCAAGTCAACCTTAATCTCCTTGTCAAAAAATACTACTAGCAGTAGGCTACTAACTAGGTAGCTAAATGGCTCATATGACACATCGTGAGAACTTGTGACTACCTACCTAGGTAGGTACCTAAATAAGATACGAGATCTAGGACTGAGAGTTTAGTTGACCGGTGAAGATGGACGCCTATCCTCTTGTCTCTTCTGGTATGAGTCGCCTACGAGAAGAAAATAAAAACAATATAGGTCATATGACGAGTCTCAGTATCAATTGAACTCAACCATGAGGCTTCAAACATGACGTGTTGTAAAGAGACGAGTGGATCGCTTACTGCCTAGGTACATTAGCGCATGCAGTTGACTTATCATACCTCATTTTTAATATATTTGAATAGCGAGAGCCGTTGACTAATTGTTTTCTTCAACTGCATGGAACGAGTCAATTCCAATGCTTCATCTTCGGGCTCGTCCAGTTTTACATTTTCGGTGTAGGATCTGAACATGCAACAAGACTTGTAGCTATGTTATTTCTAAAATGTTAAAAAAAGGACTGGATCGCGAATCGGATGAAGAAAAAAAACGATATATCACTTATAGAGATCGAGCCGGCATGTCGGGGTTATCACCCTTGAGTACTTCGACTCGAGCGAGATATCAGGAGAATCATGCACACAAAGGGTTTCTATGGCTACCTAAAGGAATTTTTATATAATATGTCAGAAAAGTATCGTGATTATGGGCGTCTAGTTCCATAGAAGGAGAGACAAAGTAACGTGAGCTCGGAGGGAGGGGCTGATTGATACAATTAGAAATGTTCAACCAAGGGGTGAGTCTCTCAATTCTTAGTACCAACCTTGGAACCCCGGGATTCAAACTAATCACCAAGAAGAGAACTTCAACCACAAGGGGACAAGAACGTCATAGTCATCGAAGACGACGAAGACAAGTCCCTCAAGCTAGCCCCAACGCAGCTTCGCTACTTTGCAAGATAGAGCAAAACACTGTGAATATCCTGGCCCTGGATAACCTCGAAAGAATTACAAATAGCCATAATGAACACGGCACTCACTCCAGACAACTACAGGATTTCGGTAACCCTGATCCATCTTCAATATTTCCCCACGACGAAAAAGGCGATCAGGCAACCTATAGTACCTATTTTCACGATACCCGAAATGCACCCTATGCTTCCTTGAATCAACAGGATATGGATAGCCATCATCATCCGGATTCGGGAGACTCCCAACTCTATCAGAACCAAATCGAAGATCACTTAGAAATGTCTGCATGTAGCAGTCTAGGACAATATGTAGCTCATCAGGAGCTTGATCGAAACTTTGCACTTGAATCGTGGAGATCCCAATTGGTTCACGAAGGGCCTCTTCGAGTTATACCAGAATTATCTGGCCAGAGTAATTTCGACCATGAGCTAGGGAATTGGAATAATTACGACCAAATTAGCGACACAGGGGCTACGGGGGGTGAAATTTCCGATAGAATGTTGTGAGTGGAAGGCACGTACTGTAGCTAGGCGATGGGAATCATACCTAATAGGTAGGTACATGTAGTTATTAGGTAGTTACCTAGTAGGTACGAATGATATTTCTTGAAAGTCCTGCTATGATAAAAGGGCTGTTCTATTATGAAAGTTAGAATTATGATTTTCTACCGCCCGTGATTGAATTGAGTCTAGGGTATTGGTATTCTCCACTATGTTTTAGACCAATCAATGTATAGGTACCTTTAAATTCTTTTTAGTGATTGTCTATGAGTGTAGAGTGCTCGTACGTACTTGACTTATCTGAAGATTTATTTGAAGCTATTCGTAACATTATCGATTTATCAAAGTTGTGAATAACCTTAGTTCAACGGATCGAGCCAATCAATCACAGTTCAGTCAATTAAAGGTAAGATTTAGTTCAACAAAACTGCAAAATGCACTATAATTACAGGGTGCTTGAATGATTCAATGCGCTATATCTAAAATCTCCAAATCATAAAGTGGTATTAAAATGTATACAGTGTAATACAGTGTTGTTACGTACAGTTTTAAATTCATATAACACGGTGCCCTGGATCTTACAGGTGGTTATAGCGCTGTAGGGCGCTGAAAGCCCTGTACTTTATAGGGGTTATAGCGCATAGCCTTTTTACATACTAGGTAGGTAAGTACCTTATGATTCGGATACACTTATACGCTTTAATATTAAGTCTTTCGTAAATATAGGAAGTTTATTCGAAAGCGCTTTTAAAGCCCTTTCTATTTGAATACATATTAATTATTATAAATCAGTTTTCATACGTTAAATTTCAATTGAACTTATTATGATATGTACTGTTGACATTTACTCGATATGCGTATCACATGACACCCCTCATTTTAAACTATTATGCGCATAAGTTATAAGGAGCTTACGTGCTATAACCCCTATAAGTTACAGGGGCTTTCAGCGCCTTGTAGCGCTATGTCCCCCTGTAAGATTTAAAGAGCCGTGTGGAATATGTATCAGACTGTACGCTATTACACTGTATCGTACTGTATACATTTTAATACATTAATTGAATTGGCGGGTTAGCGGAATTGTTCTTATGGTCCGCCGTTGTTGAAGGCATTTAGTGATATTGGGAAGAAGGGCATGCGCTAACGGATGTTCGAATATGACAGCTTAGGAGGTGCCAACCTAGTACTTATCCTCTGAACCTACAACGAGTTTACAGCGAGCTTACAGTGATCCAACTGCTATTATCGCCCGCTAAATACGGGGTTGTCCCCTAAAAGGCGCATCCCTAGAACCTAGGACGGCAGGTACTAGATTGGTACCTAGGTAGGTAGTTATAAGAGGGTTTACTGGGTAGGTACATACCTACATACCTAATTACACGCACCACACTAAAAAGGTATGTAAGTACAAATTAGTATTATATACTACCTAAGTGGCCTATTACTTATATACTCTACTAGGTATCTATCCCCGCTCTTTGTATTGCATTTCTAAACTTCAGCATGTTCTTCTTGTGTCTGGGGCGTATCTGTGCCGGCAGCGCCCTCGGGTAACTTAGACCCGTCCCAATGACTCGACTGGATGGGGTTGACATGTAACAAGTACATAGTGTCAACCTCTTCTAAGCTGCGGTCCTTGGTCTCGATTACGAAAAAGTATACGATGACAATTAAAGCTGCACAACAACCAGCAAAGACGAGTCCGTAGAAGTAATCGATCGCGTCGGTAATGAATCGTGTGAAGAAGGAAATCATACTGCAGCGTTCAGTTAGTACCTTTCTTACATGTAGGGATTAGGGAAATATTTCCTTACAAATTCCAGAACCAGTTAGAAGCTGTAGCTAAAGCCATACAAGGAGCCCGGTATCTCGAAGGGTAGAGCTCGGCGACCATGGCCCACACGAGGGGTCCCCAAGTGGCAGCGAAGGCGGCAATTGCTAGACAAGAGAATACAATCAGGGTCGAGCCGGCCTGGGGGGTGTTCATGGGGTTTTCCGAGTCTAGGGCGAAGTGACCGACGAAAGCGTAGATTCTGTTGCAGTGCTGATTAGCTTCGTTGAAGGGAGAAATAGGGGTCAGACGAGTAAGGTAAAGGGGACAACTCACAAGAAGCACACCATCATCCATGCCGCACCAGCAATAAGAGCCTTTCTTCGGCCAACGTTCTGCACAACCCACAATCCGGCAATTGTGGTGGCAACGTTAACTGTACCGAGGACGATCTGCGTAACGAAGCTGTTACTTAACCCAGTAGAACGAAACGTCGTCGTCGCGAAAAAAAAGAAGAAGTTAGCCCCTGTCATCTGTTGGCCAGCTTGAAGGGTTATTCCGAGGAGGGTTCTGTAAAGCATTCTAGGCCCGGTAAAAATTTCGAACCAGCTGGCCTTTCCGCTATTCTTCTCCTCATCCAACTTGACCCGAATCTCGGTGATCTGGTCGTGGACGCTGCGGTGTTGAGGGTCGACACCAGCTAACCTGGCGATCGTATTGCGGGCTTCTTCTTCTCTGCCCATGCGATAGGCGTGTCGAGGACTTTCGGGGAGGACAAGGATACCGAGCGCGAGGATCAAGGACCAGAGGAAACCGAGACCGTTAGGGATACGCCATGATGCGCTCGAAGTCATGTCGGCGGTACCCCAGTCGACCATATAAGAGGTCCAGATACCGAGGGTGATGAAAAGTTGGTATGTCGACACTAGAATACCGCGGATGAGAGCCGGGCTACTCTCGGACTGGTACATGGGCACAACGACGGATAGGGCACCGATGGAGCAACCGGTTACCAAGCGACCGACGGCAAATTGGGCCCAAACATGCTGCGATGAGATCTCGATAACGATTCCAACGCAAGCCCACAGAGCCGAGACGGAGATGGCTAGCCTTCGACCGATAATATCTGCAAGTTGTCCTGCGGCCAGAGCGCCGAGTAAGCATCCGACTGGAAGCAGGCCGACGATTGTACCTTGCCTCACAGCTCCGAATTCGAATTGGCCAGGGGATGTCTCCTCGCCGAATCGCTGGGCAAAGTCAGACATCGAGAAGAAGCCGGAAATCTGACCGGAGACATAGCCGAACATGAAGCCACCTATAGAAGCGACGGTGCCGAAGAAGATCGCCATGAAGGTGACTCTTTGCTGTTTCACGGGAGCAACTTGAGGGGAGCTCTGCTCCTCCTTGATAGCAGAGCTGGCTCCATTACTGGAGGAGCCGGCATTTGGTGTTTCCACCTGATCTGTATGTTGTTTGAGGAAAGGCATATTGCCTACCTAGGTATGAATGAATAATGATGGTGATGATGATGAAGATGTTGTTGGTAGACTTACGCAAGTCTAATGATAAGCTTGGATCGTATAGATTCCAACCCCCTTAAAACCAAAACCATGGCCACGGTCCTTTTTTAAAGCTTGTGGACTCTCTAGAGAGATTCATATTTTTTTCATCCTAGTTTTTTCTTGCCTTGTATTTCTGCGTCATCACCCCATCGTGCTCGTGACGGCGTCTCGCGCAAAGAATCGAGCCGGGACCGTTTCGATGTTGATCGGCGGCCCCGATGGAACCATAAGTCGCCCATAAGTTGCCCACAGGTAGTCCACAGGTAGTCCACAGGTAGCCCACATATATGGGTCCATCATGAGCACTCACGTAGTTAGCTCCGCTACGGTTGGTCCCGACAGAGCCTCTATCCGGAAGTTCCGACTCACTAGTTTTATTTTATTTTATTTTTTCAAGGGCGCCGGTCCCCGAAACATGACGTGCGTTAAGGGGTCTCCATAATCTAGAGTATCTAGCGAATGGGCTATGCAGTAGGACATCGCTTCATCTAGATATAGATCTCACATTCTAAAAGATCTGGTATTAGTTGTTCTTGCCGGTTGTTGCTGGTGAATCTTTTAGGATTATGAATATAACTCGGAAAGCCAGGGAAGTCTATTATCTCCGGATGTCTCTAACTCTCCTTCGTACGAATACAGTAATCATCACCATTGGACCAGACATGTTACAGCCTACGGGACCCTTTTTAGGCTGGCCGAGCAAGTACCGAGTCGGTCCTGTTGTGGAACTAAAAAGCGGCTCTGCACTGGCAGCATTTGGTCTCGAGCTCAAAAGAAACTTCTTCTATTCCACTATCACGGAGATGATGAGGAAAAAAACTTATCTCTTTTCTTGCAGACGAGCAAATTGAAACGCCGGTGACATCAAATATCATGCTAAGGAGTTATATGCGATAATTTTTTTAATCTAGCGCAAGTTTCTTGTTGAGTCGCGATCCCTGAAATGGAAATAAACAGCAATCTCTCTACATAATTCTCCTCTCCTTTATCTCTTAATAATTCTTCTCTAATTTGGATTTTTTTTATTTCCTTCCAACCTCCCCCCCCTTCTCCCCCCTCCCCCCCCAAAAAAAAACATTTCTCCTCTTTCGGTTCCAGTTTATCTTAAGTTAATACAACCCCGTTTGTGAGGCGTTCGTGGGATGCTTTCTGGGTTGTCTATCAGACATCAGAACACCCAGAGGTTTGTTCGGTCCTTTCTACGTCACCCCGGACCATTTCTTGAACACTGATGAGTAAGAAACGGTGAAGAGAGATACATTCGTCCGCGATGGCTCCGGAGTCCGAACCTCGGTTGGTCGCGTGGAAGGCCGACCTTATTATATCCCAAACAACTACCTCACCTATAGGTCCTAAGATATCGTTCCCGGGGGTACTTGGCCAAATAATACCTACCCACTTTCTTCAGACCATTGGTGACGACCTCTTCTAATAAATACTTTGATAGCCGAACTTCTCGTTTAGGATCTCGCATGGCTCCTTCTCTAGATGACCACTGAATCTGCCCATCGCGAACCTAGTTTCGATGAGAACAAGCGTAGCAAAGTGATCACCGTTACGGACCGCTTCATGCTTTTCCTTTATGAAGGCTTCGCCGTTAATAGAGTCGGTCGCATACTTCACACCAATGTATCTTCTCAATTGCGGCGAGCAGTTGCTTCTGGTTTATAGCGAAGTCGCTCAAGAAGTGAGTCCGGTTTTCAGTCTCCTCGGGTCGCATCAAGGCCTTGGACAAGAGCGCCCGCGGTGTTCTCCTCCGTAGTACAGGAGAAGTATCCTTCGCTGTCGTCCCAAAATATAAAACGCTCCTTATGGACGTGCATGTCTACGAAGTCATGTCCCATTCCCCGCTTCAGCCACATAGCACACGCAATTGCCATCCATTCAATAGCTCCGACGGCCGCCTTTTTCTGAAGGTATTCTTGGATCTTGCCCTTTGCCCTGGACACTAGGTAGGTTGAGAGCCTGAGTATCTGGCCTCGTGTGGTTGGGCCCGTACTAATTTGGAATGTATCGCTTAACACCGATGGAAATGGCAGTATCTATCATTCGGTATTGGTCTGTGACCAAAAAGCGTAGATGTGCAGTTGATTATCACGTCCTGATCCTTAAAGGCACCTATAAGGTCTTCGATAAGTTAAGAGCTATGTACCTACCTAGGTAGGAATTGCAATACGTCTTAAATGCGTTGTAGGACGGTCGAGGTGAAACTAGGTTCCTTCCGGGTCTCATTAAGCAGGATACTTCCAAGAGAGCCAGCGGTATCTATAGTAATGAGGATATTCCGAAATACCGCCATTTTCAATTGAGCCATCTCCGGATGACTTAGAGTACGTAAGTGAATGGTTAGAATGATGATTTAAAGGATCAATAGATCCTAATAGTTAGGTACCTAATATACTTTGTGTTTACGTACGTACTTTCACTCGAATCTCATTTCCTATTAGGTCGTTGTTTGAATAGGTACCTACCGATTCCAGGTAACTACATATTCGAGAGAGAATCTCTGTCGAATGCACACCTACCTGGGTAGGAGTTTAACTCCGTAGTGTACCTACATGTATATACCTAGTAAAGACTTGGGTACCTGGACCACAAAAACTCCTAAATTAGGTAACTAGGTACCTACATACTCGTCACTCATCCCTCGCCACTTGTAGTGCTTAGGTAGGTAAGTAGGTACAGTAGACGGTGGTGATCGAAAATTTGAGATGGAATCGTATTTTGAAGGTACGAAATGACGAATACGCGTTCATCAAATGATGACCTACCTAATAGAACAGGATCAACCTAAACGAAGAATTTAAATCAGTCGATGATGTGAAGACCTTTTGCTCTTTTAGATGTTGCGATATTACTATCATTCCCCTTTTCAGCTTTCCGTCAGGTGTCCATCTCTCCGACCGCGTAAAACAGCTTGAATAGCCGACGACGTCTTCGCCGTGAACCGATTTTGTAATCCGATAATAAGTCAATTGCCGGTCGTAGAGTCGGATCATTCGAGAAGAGACGACTTAATAGATTAATTCAATAGCAGGTATCAAACGATGGATTTGATTAACAAATTCATTACATGTCGTGGAGATAATACATGTGGTTAGGGTTAGGGTTAGGGTTATATTTCAATGCCTAAAAGGACGTTAGAGCTAGCCTGGGCACTTTGTGTCATACCTCGGCATCATCTACGAAACCACCTATCTAGGTACCTACATGTAGGTATCTACCCATAACGGAGGCGCGGTTATAGAATGGTACCTAGCTAATGCCCGAGATGAGGGTTGAGATCAAGAACATAGGTAACAACTCTCTAAGTATGTTTCTACGCTTTTACGCCTCTACACCTCTCACATAAGAGTATCTAGATCCGTACGACAGTGTTGTGGAACCGGAGAATACCACCTGAATGTGTTACCCTAATGATAGATCTCGGAAGAGGTAAGCCTGTTCCTGGGCATCAGCAGTTTCGTTCGCATCGCCTCGTATCTAAAAACGACATAGTTACCGCACATTTATTCACCCTCTACCACCTCTCCCGTCGAGAAATGTGGAGATTTTACACAGGCTCGGTAGTCGCCGAGGGTTAGCATCTCTAGAATCGCCAATGGATCCCCAACTAGGTCTCGGCTACAAGGAGAGACTTGACTGCATGTATAGAACCTGGCGAATGATGGTGATGGACTAAGCCATTGCGAGGACCACCGGAGTTCCCTAGACTCGTGCGTTCAACTCGAGTCAGTCGCTTCAACGCAACAATACCATGCAAAGTAAATATTTAGTTACAATACCATTTACACCCAGATATCTCGAACATATTTGGCACATAAGAGTAGAAGGCATTCGTGACTCAATTTCAGACGTTACCTGGCTCTCATACACCCAAATTTGCTTCTTGTAGCATAGCATAGGGGTATAATGCCATATCAGAATCCGAACTCCGTATAAAGGCAAAAAAAAAAAAAAGGCGCGATTCATAGTCTCTGCACTGTCCGTCTTCCGGCCATATTCCTTTTCTCCATCTCGGCCGTGAGTGTTACTTGTTTCTTTGGGAGCGGCGTGGGAGGCCTACCCCGAGACCAATGGCTAATGGGGCGAGTACGAAGAGGAATATTGCGAGAGGTAGGACAATATATAGAAATAGGAAGCGTCGCGGGCGTCCGAGGTACGTCTTGTGCGGAGGAAGGGCGGAATCAAGATGTGCGCGTAGCGGAGTGGCGAATGTAGGCTTTGCTGAGCTATTCTCTGCTATTGCGGGAGGATAAGTCTGCAAAGTTTGCGAAGTCTGTGATGGGAGCGTAGAGGCTTGACCGGATGATTCTTTCGCTTGGTCCGACCCAACTGGCCCAACCGTCGTCGAAGGATGAGCTGACATTTCTAAGGGAGGTTCATCGGCAGAATCTTTAGAGGGAAGAATCCGACTTAACAAAGATTGGCGAGGTTTCGGGGGATGGGTTATCGTCTCCCAGTCTGGGAGCTGATAGACGGGTGAAGGTGCGGAGGGAGCATCCTCGCTACGGTCTACCATCTTTCGGTTAGCATTAACCAACCTAGGTTGACTTGTAGGTATGATTGGTGGAAGCGGCGAAAAATGCGAAGATGCGAATAATAAGTAGAGGCGTAAATCGAAGATTGACTAAAATCATCAACAGATTATTTCTGGTGTTTTAGTTAAATGAAGGGGGGGGAAAGCCAATTAGAAGTCAAAAGCGAACGAAATAAACGAAACGAAGGGCAGCATCTTCCCTCGAAGTAGATGCATCGAGGGGGGACACCAAGTTTCAAAAAAAACAGATGAACAAACTTGTAATCAACTCTCACGAGAAACAAAATGCGTAACCCGGGAAATGGGAGATGGAAAATGGGAGAATTAGAAAAGTGAAAGGTGATGATGGAGTAACAGTAAAAATTGGAGATCAAAACGCCACCTCCAAGTTTGTGGTGGGGCTGGCATATCATGCGGGGTGTCTCCATTTTTACCAGCATCGCATTTTTGAAGTACCGGGCACCATTACCCCAATTGTTAAAAAGCTTGTACTTGTATTAATAGTACATACCTAGGTAGGTACCTAGTAGGTAGGTAAGTATACATATCAAACAGAAGAAAGATAAAAGATCAAATAAATCGTCGATTCCTTTTTTTAACTCCAGATGTCCCTAATTTCTTCATTCCTTCATTACATGTAAGGGGTATCCCACGCCTTTTCGTATATTAGGTACATTATATGCGGTATGCGGTATTCGGTAAAATCGTAAAAACAGCGACGAATAATATATCCCTTTCTTCTAGAACGGCCGAGTCGAAAATTTACTCGTATTTCCTGATCTCGGAGTAGACTCTTGGGAGACATTCGGGCTACCCATTAAGCTGCGGGACGAGGTCGAACTTACGCCCCGAGCGTGGCCATGCGGTCGTACCGAGAATGGCAGTGATGGCGGTGGCGTCGTTCCGTGCCGAGGTGTGAACGCCTCATGACTCGAACTCTTTCTGGGCTCTCGCATGCCTTGCGTCGGAACAGTCGAAAAATAATGATTATCGCTAAGCAGCGGAGTGGCCACTTGATGGTTATTCAAGTTTGCGTCGCCCCTCCACGAAAATTGCAGCTGGTTCTCTAGGTCGGCTTGCGGAGATAAGCTTGGCGTACTCATCATCTTCGTCTTGAAATACCGCAACCCTCCTTTTTCTCTTTCTCCTCTATTCTCCGGAATGTGCGGGGGTACCAAGTCGTAACTAGAAGGGTCGAGATACTGGATAGTGCCGTCCTGCAACGGTAGCTTTTCGTTCTCATGCTTGCGGTTATTATGCCGCGTGAGTTTCTCTGTATTAGACTGTGAGTTGAGAGGGAACGAGACATCCATGGGTACCTAATAAGGCATAATAGAGACATACCACTTATAATCTGAGCAAAGCTAAACACGATCAACGCGCTAGAGAATATGGGAACCAGCTGACCGAAACTCTTCGCGTCGTTTTCCGGATTCTGGTTGTTCTCCCTTTCCATCCATCCAGACTTATCTACCCAATACCGAAGTCCGAATATGTATTGAGTCGAGATGACGGTGGTAGCGAAGCTGAGGCCCACGCCACCTACGAGGTATATCAGGAACACGTTCTGGACGATCTTCCTCGGGACCGTCCCCATGCTACAGCATCGTCGGAACTGTTTAGCGATGCCGGCCTTTATCCCAGGTCTACTTTTACCGCGTCGGACCCATCTAATGATTTCGGCGAGAATGGCGACCCCGTAAAACAACACCGTGATGATGTATAGATTCCAACCCTGGATCTTATTACGCGGCGTCGACTGGGCGAGATTGTCGAGGAAGAAGGTACTGGCACTCGACGTCGTCTCTTTAAACGTATCCGACACCGTATGCTGGTTATTCTGGAAGCAGGCGGCTGCAAGGAATATCGAACTATCAGTCTCGTTTGCATTTGGAATACCGGTAGGGAACGGAATATCTGTGTTCGCATTCTGATTCGCCATCAGTAAGCCGGTGACTATGACAACACAGGTGATTGCGACAACGCGGAGGGCGGCCAGCCACGGGAACTTCCAGTAGTTCCGGACAATGGTGACCGATATCAGATGAGTGGCACAACTGAGCAACATCATATTCGCGACTATATTGTAGTGGTAGGCCGAGATCGTGCATCCTCTCCAGTATCGAAGCGTGAGGGCGTACGCCGCCCCTGTGAACACCTGTTGGTCGCTACAGGCAAGAATGAGTGTTTCCAGGATTTCGGAGAAACTAGTTCGATGTTGTCTGTTCTCCTTTTGTCTAGAACAGAGTAGGTACTTATATTAGCCATAGCCCGACCGCGGAGCCCCATAAGCATTGCCTTACTCGTCCGTGTAAGTGGTCTTCCAGTGATAAGTCTTTAGGAACTGCCAGACAACCGATGCCATACCGGCGGCTACTGCGAATGAAGTGACCGCGACGAAGACTCCAAGGATCTATTACGTGTCAGTATAAATGGTAGGTACCTAGGTAAACGATGAGAACTAGGTACCTACTAGGTAGGTAGGTATCTAGATACGGAAAAAGATGAGTGTGAACATACTCCTATACCAGCGATATCAGGGTCGCCAGGGAACTCGCCTCTTCCGTAATCGCCGATTCTCGTAAAAGGCACATCCACAATATTATTCCCGTCAACGGTGACATTATTGCCAATAACAGCACAATTGAGTGTGATGTTGTAACGGGTCTGGCACTCGGCGATTGAGATGTACGAACCCATCGTACCTAGCAACTGTTGCCTTAGCAGCCTAGGCTAAAGGAGAGGATAACCAGTGAGCAAGGCTATAAAGTAGGAGTTGTCAACTTCCAAGGTTTCTTTTTCGAAGGAAAGGATCTTAATATATAGGTGCTTTCGGGTCTAGCTACGTTGGACTATCGAAAAGTTTCCATGATAAGCTGTAGTTAGTGGAGTTGAGTTTCAACATCTAAGTCGATCTTCAGATAAGGCAACTCTAGAGGAAGGGCCTGGCCTTTATCTAGGGACGCTGCGCGACAGTATATGTCGTGTCATGTTCCCCCAAGGGTTCCTGTCAGGGGGGTAATTCACGAGTTGCGCCAGCCCATAATACTGTCAAACGGCAGAAATATGCACATTTGATCTTCAAACCAACAAACGTAGCTCCTACCCAAGTTGCAGGCTGGCTGAGGCTGAGAATTCCACTACCAGATACCTACCTACGGAATGAAGGGGTTGCATCTGTGTGAAACCATGCAGGGGCATTGGTGAGGATTCTCCTCCGATGGAAATCTTCTCCGCGTCTTCTACATACCTACTAGGTAGGTACTTACCTCTCTTCAACTATTCTCATCCGCAACGAAATTTTCCACAGACCCAAGCTGTTCTTACACACATAGGTACCCAGCTAGGTACTTGTTACATAAGAAGCAGGCTGTCGAGCTATTTTGAAAGTGGCAGTTCTCTGTGTCTTTCTCGACATATACATAAAGTAGGGCAACACAACAGACTCTACACAGCTTCTATAAATTACAAATTTGGGTGCATATAGATTATAGGGCTCGGTCTTTACCGGTTCCCCAGCTGGAGTACCTACCAGAATACTTGGTATTTACCTGTAGCGACAGCTTAACATCATTATCTAGCCCCCAACACGCAAATGATGCGGTACGACAAGCAGCACAGCACCAGCAAGATGACCTAAATTTAGAACACGGCTGTGCTGGAACACCCCACATGCTGATTCATCCCATCCACCACCATATTGCCGAAAGGGGAGCAATCAGAACATGCCTCTTCAACTAGCTGCATCTACATAGAAGTGGGTGGCTTTGGAAGGGTGATATCACAAGCACCCTCATCGAGAGTCCTTTGCGGTAGTACGCCGACAAACATTTTCGTGGTGCTATTAGAGGTGTACTAGGTAGGTAGGTAGGTACCAGTTGTAATTTAGACAAGAAAGAGCCAGCCTTCCAGGATTGGATACCGACAACTCCTTTTGTTTCAGCTGAATTTTGCTGTTTATACCAACAGAAAGGTGATCATCAAGGTTGGTGGCTGCTGATATCCTGTAACAAAATGCAATAGCGCCCATGTCATCACAGGTGCATCGAGCCAGGATGGATTGCCGTTTTCGAACCAACATGATGAAGAGTTTCGGGACAAATCGAAGTTGTGGGGGCCAGAAATCAGCAGTTTGAACAGGTAAGATACTGGTACTACCTGGGTAATGCGATGGTTATAAGCGAGAAAGATGACATCAAAAGTCTAATAAAGACCTGAATAAGCCTATAGAAGACCCCCTTTTATATCTGCTAGGTAGGTAGACAATCAAGTGGTAAGCCTCTTCGGGGCTATTGTCTGACCTACCCACAGGTAAGTATAAAAAGAAGTTGTCCTAGGACAGAAATGAAACGAACCCCGAGGCGGCTTTTCGCGCGAGATCGAAACAATCATAACACATGTTTCCCGGCGTACCTAGGTAGGTAGAGAGTAACTTCTTCAAAGAGAGTATTTTTGCAACAGTAAGTAATATACCCAATGATGAGGGTGATAGGTGCCTATTATAAGATTATGAATGTGTAGCTACCTGCCGAGGTGCTTCTCAAGTCGATCTACATGTCTTTAATATGTGTCTGCCTAGGTGCCTAGGTGCCTAGGTACTTACTAAGTTAGAGCCTACCTACGGTATCAACGTTGTAGATGGTGATCTTCGATGTACCTACCTAGGTAGGTAATTAAGGCATCTAGTACCTACTATGTAGTAGTAGGTAGGACCCTATACCTAACCCAAGTCACACAAAAAAAAAAAAACATTTATAAACAGCATTGAGAGATGAAGAACTTGGAGTAAGAACTGAGTTGGCAAGTGTGCTCTTCGCACCTTAATTGCCGTCCGCCAAGTAAATGGCTGAACGACAACTCCCCCCGTGAGAAAGGGAGTATCCAACTACCACTAAAACTAGATTCGAAGCATTATCGTACAATGAAGTACGTCAAAATAAGGGGATGAGCCATCCCTCCCAGCCGACACGCCTATTAAATATGGCGTGTCCGATTCCCAGCCGGTAGCGATATGACAACTTTCGTCGTGATCAGGTATCCCCTTCTCTCAACGTAACAACATTGTCAAGAATTAGAAAAGGGAAAGAAAAAAAATATCCAGTCTCCTTTTTCCCTTCATGCCCGCATCGCCGTAACTCACAACTCCGCGCTAAGACAAAACGTCACAACCGGTCCGGCCGCTAAAGCTTCACCTGCCCTCTCCGTCTACCCGCCCAGGTGATAAGTCAAATTTATACACGCGGAAACGCCGAAGAGAGATCCTTGAGGTCGCCAGTCCTATAAAGCAAAGCAATGATGCCCACGTGTCCAAAAACGCCGTAACCATGATTTAACGAAGAAAAACGAGTAGAAGATGATTAGAACATAATAAAAACAAAAACAAAAACAAAAACAAAGAGGCGCCGCCTCTAGGTCGCCTAGACTCCTCGCATGTCTCCTCGCGGAGACCATAGACGCAGGTAGGTAAATAGCCCTGGAGATGAAGAACAGCCGGATCATATTTCAGCCCAGCGCAGTTCACCGGATGACTGGTAGGTAATCAGCAAGTCCATACCCCTGGTAAAACGTTGTGTTCGTTTACGGTTTTGGTACAATCTCGACGCTGTCCCCCGTTCGCGATTCCGGCCACGATACGTAGCTCGGACCGAACGAAGGAATATGCGGCGATGAAAACGTATCCGCACGGATCCCACCCGCCGAATTGCAATAAGATGAAAAGACGAGGGCGATGTCATGCAATCCCCATGAAAAAAAATATAATAAGAAAAGAATGGCGTGTTGGAAAAAGATGGGTACGAGATAATAGTAGATCGCCGAAAAAAAATACCACCAATATTCTTCGTGATTCGGATTGTCTCGACTTTCGAATCGAGGTTTACACGATATAGATCTGCTGATCGATCGATGCATGCGAAGGTCAGGTCGAAATGACTCCGTGCGAGGGTCGGGAAGGTAATAGTGTGAAATGCCAACATGGCTCTCGTCCCTTTTCCGAACCTTTTTTTTTCTTTCGTTTTCGGTTTTGCTTCTTCTCGTAACTCTATCCGGATACCAATTCTCTAACTTCTCTTTCTATGCCGATAAATATATATAAAAAAAAGAAAGGAACAAGCAGGTAGGATTATTGAGAATAGACCATGCCGAAGTCAAACTCGTCCATGTGCTGTGGCACTTCGTGGTATATTGTCATCGGGGTGACAGTTGCGGATGACGATAAGGCCGAGCTGAACTGGTTCATATGGTCTGGGGGAGCAATCGCTGAAAGATCTGGCGCGAAACTGGGAGAAATCGAGGTTGGAGACATGGCATTGTTAAAGTTAAAATCAGCAGACGAGAGTGGCATTCCGTTCATGTAAGTGACGTCGGTGCTGACGACAAGATTGCTATAATCCACCTCGCCAAACATATTACCAGCCATCTTGTGCGGTATGTTGAACTCGCCAGGGTACGATTCCATCACTCCGGATTCTGGATCCACGATGGGGTGACTAAGATCGTCTTCGCCATCGTCGTCATCGTCTAGGTCGTACTTGTTTACCCAGATCTCCTTCATCCAGTTCTTGAGCTCGCTCATCGGGGGCCAGTCACCGCCTCCTTTGCCGCCACGCTTGTCTTCGTCGCTACGGTTGTTTCCGTTACCCTTGTTCTTCTGTCGCGACGGCTTTTCCTTGAAGTGAGTGCGACGGAGGTGTGCGGCCGCATTGTAGTACGCGCCGTATTTCTTCTGCGCTTTACAGGCCTTGCACTTACTGAGAGGGTTGACCGCGGGAATGCCGATGGGGAGGCCGTGGGCAGCCGGATCGACACAGATCCATTTCTTGACGGTCGTTTGATGTTTGGCATCCCTATGGCGGCGAAGTTCGTGTTCTCCGCGGAAGCCGTCCTTGTGCTCGTCACACTGGTCGCAGAAGACCTTTGGCTGTTTCGGTCGTACGTATTTGGTTTTCGCGATGGCAGTCTTGCCGTCCTTCTTAGCGCTGGCTTGCGACTCGCCCGGCATCTGTTCGGTGCTCGGCTTGGGCTTCAAGGGCGCGATCAGGGCACGCTGACATTGTAACTTCAGGGTATCCTTGGCCCGGACTTTCAAAGACGAACTCGATCTGGTGCTGGCCATGCTCGCGCTGGATACCGATCGTTCCATGTCGGAAGATGCGAGGAGCGCGTCGGTAGGAGCCGAAGCGGCATATTGATGAGCGAAAGGTGGTGCTAAGCTAGACCCGACGGCGATGAGGGCGTCTTCGCTACAGTAAGGTCGCTTTCCTAGAGGCGAGTTATCTCCGCTGCCGCCGTTTTGCTGAGTCGCTTCTTGATAATACGCCTCACCACCTTGCGACATCTGCGATCCGAGGCTCATCATACGAACGCCACCGGAGACGGATTGGTTGTCGAACAAGCTGTTCTGCCGGGTCATCGGTGCCGTATCATACGTAGGCGCCGTTGTCATCGAACCGCAGACGGACACGTTAGTAATGTTGAATTGGGGTACGTCAACATCGTGGTTCTGCGAGGGGACCGACGATCCGAAGGAGTCCGCCGCTTGGGGAGGTTCTTCGGAAAATGGATGTTGGGAGAAGAATACTTCGGGATCGAGCATCACGCCTGTCATGGGACCCGTCTCCGACAGGGTAGGCATATCATGTCGATGCTTTGACGACTGGGAACGCAGAGACTGCGAATGCGCAAGGGCGTAAGACGATATAGGCTCGTCCTTATCTGCGTAGTCCGCGATGCCCGCGATGCCCGCGATACCCGCATTCCTCATCTGCATGCCGGTGTTATGTATCCGCGACGGTGGAGATATCGGGGCATTGCCGGTGAAGGGGCCGGCGGATTGGGTGGATAGGTTTGAACCGATACGGTCCATCTTCTGAGAAACCGGAGCTTGCTGGGACATGGTTCTGGCACGCTTGATGGCGTGTCCACCATGATGGCTATGTCGGTTCTAACGAACGCCCGTCAGTATGCCCAGTCGGTTACGTGAGGGCTTATTCGGAAAATAAAAAGGTGATCTTACAGATGGCCGTGCAGCACCTTCATGACGACTATACCCATGTATACCGTTGCTTCGAGGAACTGTATTACTTCTCGACATGCCATCTTGATAGAAGGACGTGGCAGGCGTGGCAGGAATGGCAGGAGTAGCAGGAGTGGCAGGAGTACCTGACAGTTGGAACTCATTATGAACAGTAGAAGAGGCATCGAGGTTGCTCGGACCCGCGGGCTGAACTACTTGCGATTGATAAACAGAGCTTTGTAGATGAGATATTTCTGCTTGCGCTTTGCGAAGATCCTCCTCCTTACTTCTCATCGCCTCCCGGTGCGCGATATCCCTTTCCTCTATCAGGAGCTTAAGCTTCTGGATCTCTAGATCTTGATTTGTGCTCATGATTCCAAGATCAGACTTGTGCGGGAGTGGTCAGTGAGTATGGGGAGATCAGCAGTGCCGAAGGACAGGCGAACGAGACGAGGCGAGATTTGTTGTCTCGACGCCTAACGCTTCACTAGATACCTTACTAGGTAGGTAGGGTAATTCTTCTCCTTTTCCCCTTCTCACACACGCTAATAAGACAAGCAGCCTCGTTGGATAAGACCCTCGACAGGAGAGCCCAACAAGGATGATTGATTTAATTTTCGTTTCGTTTCGTTTCTTGTCTTGCCTTGTCTTGTTTTGTGTTTTTCTTTTTTCTTCTCTTCTGTTTTGTTTTTTTTCTTCCTTTTGCCTCGTCGACGAGATCTGCCAGGCGAGAATAAGACCTAATGGCGGACTAAAACCTGATCTAGGAAAAGTATGGGGAAAAGGGAAGAACGAAACACAGACTTCGAAGTTCGATACCCAAAGATTTAAAAATCAAAGGATGTTGCTTAATTATGTACCAGTCAGTCAAGACGAGGCTTTGGACCATGCGCGGCAGCGGGTCTACAATCCTCGCTCTCTCCCACGATACGCTTGCCCAATTTGCATGTACCGGTATGTATTTAATTTACGAGAATCCCGCGGGCTTAGATCGACTCTTGGCCTTGCAACCTGGCCCGGGTTTGGCTCTCGAGACCCTTGCAAGTTCGAATGGGTTGCCAAACAAGCTAGCGTGCTAGGAACTGGTGTGATTTGACAGGGCGCTAGGGCACGTTGAAGAATTATAAGTATGTACCTGTCTACCTAGGTATCTAGCATTAATTATCTGCTATATACATACCTACATAGGTAATTAACTACAATCTGAGGAGGGGTGGTTTCCGGGAGGGTAGGATGGGTCGTCGTGGGTCCTGTCAGACCTTTGCTGCTGCTCTGCTGCAAGAAGAAAGCCCACTTGGACTTGGAGACTTGGGGGACTGATAGGACTAAACATAGTAAGACTTTCGAGATTTGCTGACAGATCGATGGAAAAAAAGACTTACACTATCCGGAATGTCTCGCTCTGCAGATTATGGCAGTATGGTACTTCGTAGCATGGCAACGACTACACTCGCTATGCGGTCTAATGTGATGTAACCTAGCAAAATGCAGAACGAAGCTCGATGCTAGGTCCCTCCGCTATTGGGACCTTAGGACCTTATAGGTCAGTTTCTTTTTTTTTTATCTTCCTACCAGTCTGCCAGTGTCCTTGCAAGGGGAGAACCCCCCCCTCCCCCCTCTCGCCCGAGTGACGCAGTCAGCCAATTCATCGATCGTTGCTGTTTTCTGTATTAAAGGAAATCATCAGGGCAACAGAAAGGAATTTAAACGCGCTGACACGTAGGTCAAGTTAGTAGCAGATTGGTAGGTAGGTACATATCTGCCAGGTAGGGGGACTGTAAGCAGTGTGTGACATGTTACCGAGCTATCCTACTCTACCTACACATACCTACATTCATATACGCATACGCATACGCATAAGCATAAGCATAGTACTTTGTCCATGTACAGCGTACATACCTACCTAGTAGGTAGGTAATTATCATGATCAGAAAGTGGTTTTACTAGTATTTCGTACTATGTAAAGTCGTAGATAGCTTAGCTAGGTACCTAGTTGGGTAGATCGTCTGGCTGATTAAATAAGTCTAACGAATTGCTAAAGGTTATAGCGGCATTTCAAGATCCAATTTTCGTAATGAAGAGTTGTCGAATTCGGTATCGATTAAGATGGGGGGCCGCGATGATCTACCTGATTCTAGATACATTTCTATGTAGGTTGGAGACCTGAAGATGATGGGAGAAGTGTAAATCCCATCTTACCGTCCGATGGTCGATAAGCAGAAACCAGTACCCTAGCAGCCTAGGACGTTGTCGTCGTAGTTTACAAATTGAAGATATTGGATAGGTACCTAGGTAGGTATTAATTATTACATACCTAGTTCTCTGGAATCTGGATAACGGAGTAGAATATCGAACCTAGTACCTACTATGTAGTCCCCCCCCCCTAGTTCCTCTTCCGAATCTTTCTCGTAATGCTGTAAAGCCACGCACGTAGCTAAGGTCATGCACGTTTCCTTTTTGTCCGTCCTCTGTTCGTCATCATCCACATCTGCCACATCCAGAGCGTGGGGTTGCATGCATAAAGAAAGGATAACTCATACATACCTACTAGTACATACCTAGCCATGGCTAGCCTAGGTAGGAATAGAGGTACGGAGGTATGTATGGGTATGGAGATAAAATCTCGTCGGCTACATCTTGCATTCGATAGGATCTGTTCATCGGGTCGTGCGCGCGGACTGCCTGCAACGCCCGTTCGCTTCTCGTCTATGGCAGTAGGTATGGGAAGCTTTGGATAATAATAGTAGGTACCTAGCTTAAATGGATATCTACTATTAATATTAATACTACTTACCTAGGTATGTATAATTATACCTACCTATAGAATAGGTACATACTTACTCATAGTAAAAGCTCGCATTGCCTTATTGAGATCCACTCATCGTTCGCTCCTCTTTCTCTACCAGTCTCCCGCAACTCAGCACAGACAATCGCAGCGTATGTAGAACTGGAAACGCCCGCGGCATACAATTAGACGAAGGGCCAGCCACGCATTCGGTCTGCAAGGGAGAAACCTCGTGCCCATCGTCCAAGGAGAGATGCATGCAATAGCTTGCATATCCTAACATATCCTGGCATATCCTAGCTGCCACTTGTTTGCCTTGTTTTTGACGAATCTAGCGATCATTGGGTCTCAATGGGTCAATGTGTTGTTTAAGAGTGAGGCGGCCACCCCCCGCGACCTTTTTGAGTGGCTGGAAAGATTCTTTAGGCGGTCCGCATCCCTGAAGGGCGGCGGTGGGTCGCGCCCCAGGACACGCCTGGATATGCCTGGACATTTCATATCCAATATAAATTGTATTCTGTGGATGTACTAGACGTAAATCGGGATTGGCTACGAAGGGTAGTGGCTGAGTGGGTGCATTGGTTGCGTGAGTGCGTATCCTTACCGCATCGCTGGCTGCGGCTGTTGTTGCCTCAAGACAGGCTATTCACCATTAAGACCATACATGATACTGCATACATAATCTCTAGTCTAGTATGAACATGAGGAGAGGTTTGAAGAACAAGTCACCTACATGCCAAATGACATGGTACATGATATGCTACACACATAGTACCTAGTATGTAAGTAGTACAGCGGAAACATGCGACCTTATTCGACTCAATGTCGGCACAATCTTGGATCCGCTGAGATGTCCACCGATCTATCCTGTCTATCCAACCAGGTCAGCGAGTCCTAGATTCGCAGCTGGTCCTACGATATGATACGTGAAAGAGCATCGAAGTCTCAAAGTACCCTGGTCTTCCTTTTTTCCTTTCTCCTTTCTTTCTTCCCTTCTTTCCTTCTTCTCTTCTTCTCTTCGTCTGACCGCCCATCTATGCATGCGCGGTCATAGTGCCAATGCATAAAGAGGCGGCTTATACATCGCTAAGTTAGGATTACATTACACTTCTCGGCCAGCGAAAATGGATGTCGGTGAGTCCTGTTTAGATACCTAGCTTACTTAGAATCCCCATGTCTTAGATGCTGCCACGTTCGAGCTCATCCAAGCCACAATTATCAAGGAGCTTTTTTGGATGGTGACGTGGAAATTGACTCTTCTCTTTGCTTTTTTTTTTCTTTCCCCTTCTGCTCTTCTTCTAAGTCCCGCCCAAATTTTCGCTTTCGGTTTTACGGCAAATCTTGGACTAGAAAACTAGTAGCAGCTACATAGGTCTCTAAGAAGCAGGATAATACCTACCTAGGTAGGTACCTACTTATGTTTAACTTGACGACCTCGTATGGGGGAAAACATCAACAACAACTTACCTACTAGGTATGTAGTTACATGCAAATCGCGATTTCAGATTGCTGTTTTAGTTTGATAAATCGATAAGTCATATTCGATGCGTCGTTCTCTCAGGCTGCTCCAGTCCCAGCTATTTTCTTATTTCCTAAGCATCACGTCACTTTGGGATTAATTAGCTAGAAGACCTAGCTTGACATGCGTTCGTATCTAGGTCGTTTCAGGGGTTCACAAGATTAATACATGCGTGTAGGTAGTGTGGTGTGGTGTGGTGTGGTGTAGTATAGTATAGTAGTATGCGAGTTTCTGTCGCAATGAAAACAGCCAACACATGATACCCAAAACCCAATACCGCTCGAACGGGTACTACGGTAATTAATGTGACAGCCGCAGCAGAAACGTGCTCCGAGCGTCAAGTTATCGTCATTCGGCGGATAAGTGAGCAGGTAGGGAATATATTATCGAGTATCAGAAGATTGTCGGATTGACGTAAGTGAGTAGTACGGGAGAAGTGCCTACCTGCCTGCCTACCTACATAGCAGCATAGGCAGGTAGGTAGGCATGTCTAGGTACCTAGGCCTAGGAACTAGGTTGTTCCAAGATTGTGACGCGGGAGATTGGATGATGCTTCCGGGTGCTGTCTATTTCTCCAACATACCCCCAGGAAGTTTAGGATGGCCAGGATAGTCCCAACATGGCTCCAAATGTGGTGTGACATCTCCAACGAGTCGACGCTAGGTAACCAATAGTTAGGAATAGGCGCCAGTGGTGCTGACAGCTTTCCATAAATACATACATACATACATAATACCTACCTATTACCTGTCTGTCTGTCTGTCTGTCAGTCTGTCAACCTCTTCCCCCCCGCGTGCTTACCGCTTGCAGATAAGGAAGAACACCACCTTTACATTGTATATATGTATGTGTTTGACCTTACAGCAAACAGACCGTCGATCAGCACTATTACCGGCGGTTCTCCGCAACGAAGCCGGAAGACCCGGTGATGTGTGGGGCCAACAGGCCGGAGCAAGATACCGATATGGACCGGCGATATACCTACATACTGTATGTACCTAGGAGTTATAGTTATATGTAACTATATAAAAAATATCAATACAATTATCAAATCGGGGCAATAGATATGCACATACCAAGGTATGCATGTATGTATCTACCTACCGGCAGAATATCGGATAATTCTGATAACAAGATATGGAGACCTTTTGGCCATCTTGTCCTTATCGCTGAATAGCTTCACTGATCAACATTCATTACTCAATGTTCAACGATCAATGTTACGTATTCGATGGTCGCTCATCGTCCAACTCAGAGGTCGCCACTTTAACTCTTAACACTGCTACCTGGTAGTACTGTTACTATGCACTACTGCGCATAACAGTCACCGCTCACCTCCTCATGCGACTGCACGTTTCTCCCGATTCCATGTGAAATAGTTCACCAAAAAAAGCGGCATCATGTGCCGTTACGGATTGTTTCTTCTTTTAAATGCCCTGCTGCAGCTGCGACCGATTCAAGCTCGTCAGCGCCAGCCAGGGTTCAGTATTCATCACGACCTTCTAGCATATCCTCAATTCGAGGTGACATTCTCTCAATCATATATATCAGAAACCGAAGCCCAAGCTTTAATTAAAAGGAGCAATCCTTCAGACCCCGACTACGATGCCGATTTCCCCGGTCAGATTGACCTTGCGTCAAATGTGCGAGCTGTTAAGGATGGCTATGACGTCGACGGCAATGGCAATGGCAATGGCAATCAGAAAATCGCAGAATCCTACGAGATAATAACCATGTCCCCGAATCGCTACTTATGCACCATTCCTATCATCGAACCTCCCCCGGCGCCAAATAAAACAGCGGCTGAGCTAGCTAAAGCCAAGGAGGCCCGCGAACCGGCCGAGGCCGAGGAGGCTCGCGAACTATCAAGAGCTTCAGCTCACGGTTGGGATCTCATCAGCGGTCTTGACGGCAATTGCATCTATTATATGTCTGGGTGGTGGAGTTACAAGTTTTGCTATGGTCAGGAAGTTGTGCAATTCCACGCGCTCCCTGCCAGCGTTAAGAGCGGCCCTCCTGTGCGGGACATCAAGATCGCAGAGTATGTCCTCGGAAGAGTTCCCGATCCTCACGCTACTGCACGCTCTTCCCGGCCCGGTCAACCCAACGACAAAGGACAGACAACTCCCACGCCGCCTCCGAACACGGAACTCCAGATCAAGGGCGACCAAAGATACCTGGTCCAGAAGATGGGCGACGGTACCATTTGCGATCTGACCGGTAAAGAACGGACCATTGAGATACAATACCACTGTAGCCCCGGTAGCACTCAAGATCGCATTGGTTGGATCAAAGAGGTAAGTACCTGCGCATACCTCATGGTAGTTAACACGCCTCGGTTATGTGTGGACGTTGCCTTCCAACCACCCAAAGAAGAGAGAGCAAACATCATCAGCTGTCGCGCTATCGTGCCAGAGGCCGAACTGCCGGGTTGGCATGCGCAAAAGACGCTGGAAGCACAGGCCGCCATGATCGAGCAGATGAGAGAGAATATTCAAGGTCCCATCACCATCGGCGGGATAGTCGTTGGAGGGAGACAAATGCTCGGTGACGGCGAAGATGGTAAGGAAGCACACAAGTTAGCCCCTCCGCGAAACTTCCGCAACCCCGGCATAGCCCCCCTAGTCGAGGTGGTGGCCCAGGGGAGCAGCAAAGAAGAAGGCAGCAAGGTCAATATACTTACCGACGAGGAACTGGAAAAACTGAACCTGAGTCCGGAGATGGTCGAGGAACTGAAGAAGGAGCTGCAGAAGCTAGCAGGGGACAGAGGCTGGAAGCTGGAGGTTGTCGAGATGCCCGGCGATCCTAGAGAGATTCGCGGGGTTGTCGATACAGACGAGAACGAAGAGGGGGAGAAAAAGTCCGACGATGACAAAAAAGGCGAAGATACGGGCAGTGAGGAAAGGTTCTTCAAGGAGGAGCTTTGAAGAACCGGGCACTGGCATAGCAAACGGCGTTACGTAGGTAGGATTGATCGCATTCATTTCAAATACTCCGAAGCAAATCTCGATCCCTCGTCACTTTCTTCGTGAAAAAATATCATTCCAATCATTTACCTAGATCGATGATTAGTGATTAGTCCCCCCTAACTTCGCCGAGCCACATAAGCACCATTCATCTCAAATACCAAGCATACACAGTTAGCACTTCCTCTCGTCATCCTAGACGTCGCCGAAGCAGGCCGGCGCATCTTCTACTACGTACCTACTAGGTAACCAGCCAAACCCGGACCCAGCATCACTTATGCCCAGCGAAGCAAATTATACTGGCTTCTATGTAATGAGTAGGTGGTATCCGTGTAATAACTAGACGATGTTGTTACGACATAGGCGAGGTGCCATACATACATTCGGCAAGCAAGCAAGCGAAACCATTCTGCCGGTTCCGTTCTTACCAGTATCCTCATTAAATAATTTCTACCGAATGCACTTAGTAACCTGCCTAAGTATCTATTCGTTACCTATACATGAAATAACTTACATCAGCCCAATGCTATCTACCTGCGTACCTGGGAAGGGCATACAGCGCTATACGTGGATGCTCAGCCGCAGTATCAACGCCCTATAGGTATGCAATATTATAATTAGTTAGACCTCATATCATAAACATATACAATATCAGTCTGTGTATCTACCTAGTACTTAGGTAGTAGATACCTACCAGAGCCAAGGTAGCTCAACTGTTGCGTGCTATAACCTCGATTATATCAGTTTCCGAATGAAGAAGCGACTAGCCAAGCAGCCAAGCAGCCAACACAGCTAGAAACAAGGTCGATAACATATCAATAACACATTCCTCGTCGTGCCGTACTTTCTATGATGTGTCTCAAAGGACTGATGGCTTTGTATTGAATATGGAGGAGGGGGGAAGGGGATACAATCTGGTCCATGTTAACCTCTATCAGAAGTGGAATCTTCAACGCGGCTCGAATAATATAGGTAGATTGCGATTAGCTAGTCCTTCTACCAAGTCATAATGAATGTCTCAAAGCTGTGAAAGTCTTTTAGAACTGACCGCATGTAACTTAAACACAAGACAGGAGAAAGAGTACAATTTTGTGTTTAACCCCTACTAAATATCTATAACCCTTAGTAGGTACTTACCTAGTAGGTATGTTCGAACGTTTAGTTTAAGACGCTTCATACGAATCTAGTTCTTATAAAATATAGGTATGGTTTGTATTCGACTCATAATACTTTCATGATTTTCTCATATACTTTATTACCGGTCTCTATGATCCTGCAAACACTACTAGTAGGTTAGATATATGAATATCCGGATGAGACACGACTACACAACTGCGACGTCGGCTATGTAGATATTGTGACACCACTCTCAACATTACCTATATTATCAAAACATAACTATGCATATGAACAAGAATAACGTAATGAGTTCAAGGGTTAAAGCGACACGTATTCATTGATACCGGTATGCTGTGAGCCAGTGAGAAATCCAATAAGCAAAAATAGATTGATAACTCATCAATGATCTTCCAAGGGTATCCTTTTTTGCGGCTCGGCTAGTCTCCGTTCCTATCTTTTCAACAAGTTAGTGTAATACAATATCGTGAGGATAGTCTCAATGCTAAAAGACGAGACTACTTAGTAGGTCCATATCTAAATGTAGCCAAGTGGGCAATTTGATATATTTTAAGGATTCATCTGCTCCATTTTCGACATCGTTGGGCATGAACGGGTCGCAAATGGGAAAACATCAAATATTCGCTTATTGAATGGCTGGTAGGGGCGAAGACATTTTCTGTTGTGTCTCTAGATATAAAATTATGGGGGCTGGGATATATACCTAGGTACTTACCTACCTGAGATTGAGACGATGGCGTCGACGATGACGAAATTTGTAATATCTATCTAGTATATACGTACCTAGATACATACCTAGGTAGGAACCTCCACCGGTTCGAGAGCCGATATTAAAGTTCTTCTGGTATCGTGGGGATGCAGAATTGGACCGCTCTCTGGCTTTCGTGATCTACTTGAATATGCATCAAATTGACAAGAGTCCCTACTTATCACCTATTCTACGCAGTAGTTCGCCTTGTTCACAGACCGTATGTAGGTACCTACCTATCTCTTTACAAACGCTAGAAGGTTGTTAGCACTGGATCTAAACGGTGGTAATCCAATGGTATCGTGTATCACGGCATGGATGGAGTAGAAAAGAAATAACCAGCCCCCTGTACGCTGTAGCACTGCAACTGTCAGAAACGATCACTCTGAGACATCCCTGTAAACGCGACAGCTTCAACCAATCGCCGTATTTCCCATCATCGTGGAAGCCCGGTCTAGCTTGGTCCGGCTCACGCGGGCTGCAACCGAAAACGGGTCAGAGCTTTTTTTTCCCAGGGCTAGCTGATCAAAGAAGTTAGAACTGGTCTAATTAATAATACTGGTATTACTTTTGTGCAGAATGAAGTAGGAACTAGAGTAGTAAATAAATAATATTTAAGAATGCAGAATATAGAAGAGAGAATAGTTACATAGGTAATAATAATAATATATGAGAAGGACAGAAGGGGAATTCCGTAGCAGTAAATCATATCCTCATACAGCTTCCTTACGACTTAATAGGTTCAGCCAAGATTCAAATCCTTCCACTCTAATTCGGGAGTGTACAGTTTTTGTTTTTAATCTCTCACCAGTGACCAGCTCACGTCGAGTTTGACATTGAGAGAATGGGTAACATGAAGCATGTGCAAGTCTTGGAAATTGAAACATAAGAATTCCGTACCTACGTAGTGCCTAGGTAGTCATATAAAGAGACTTGCAAGATTATTTGAAGAGTCAATTAACTCTCATAGATAGGTAGATGTATGACCATATTATCGATGCTCTGCCGAAGAAATTTCATCCAAGATCCATGATATTTCTTAAATTTCATTCTCGTCAATTTTTCCCTTTCTCTCAGGGGCTATGTACCTAATATTCGATGTAACATTTAATGTAGAAGTACTTGTGCTCCGTTATTAGCTACGTATGTACCTGCTAGCACATTACCTAGCTGCCTAGGTACATAACAGTTATGAACGATTATTCCTTGTTCCTAGCAAGAACTTACGGGTTTCTGCGGGCTCTAGTTCCTTATTGAGAATCCCAACCCCTGTCATGCAGGTCCCCCTTAGCTGCTTAGGTACATTAGCTCATAGAACCCGATGTGAAGGGACCAAACAGGGACCTTAGAATAGAAGTGAGACCCATTCACAACGCGGCATTCAGCATTCCAGATTCTTACCGACGAAGAAGGAACCAAGGAACCACGGAACCAAGGAGATGAAGCACTGAAGCAGGAGTCTCCCTTGTTGAAAATCCCTATCGATTACCTTAGGGTTAGCTTATGGAGTCTCTAGGATGTATGGATGTACGGAATATGCTTTGCTTTCTTTTCTCAAATTTCCACAATCCCACGATTTCACGATTTCCACGATTCTACGATCTTTTCATCGTGGACTCATCGTCATGTTCCTTTGATCGAACCTCGTCCTATAACCCCCAGGGCGATATGTATAATATCGGTCTCTAACCTTACAACCCTTGACATTCTCTCTACCCTGCGGATACCCTCGTGGATCCCATTACTAGACCTGTTAACCGGTACCTACTGATTTTCCTTCTTCCCTCCCCCCTTCTATCCCGTACAGTGTCACCATCGCCTTCCAAGCTTTGAAACTTTCTTCCCTTTCCTTCCTGCATACTAGGTAACCAATCATGGATAGATCCTCCTGAGACACAACCATAGATCATTCCACATCTACCAGTGTAACAACAAAATCTCAAATCCCCTTCTTTCTTCTACAGTAATTGTTGCAAACACTCGTAGATCGAAGGGTATTACCAAAGTAATACTCTCCAATCCCCGAGTCGAGGTAGTTTCTAGTATTCCTAGAACTCGCAGGCTGGAAGTCGTGTTCTTGCCAAGGAACCCAAACGCGACATCCATCACCACATCCATGACTTGGACTATATTTCAATCATCCGTCAAGTCCTAATTCCATCATTTCACTCAAGGCTTTGCGATAATACGAGTTCGCTGGCTAGCCAACGATAAAGTGGTCGTAGCGGACCTGGTAATAAACCGCTGTCTTAAGACGCTTAAGCCGTCGGACCGCTCGAATACCGATGACGCCTCTCATTCCAGGCCTCTGAGCGCCGCAATTTTCGCTATCCCCCTCCCGATATCGAACTCTTCAACTGCTCGAAAACATACTAGGTACCATAACAGGTTCCGTATCTACTTCAACCTACCTATATACTTACCTGCTTGTCTTATCGTTTCATTATACGCCTGAGACTTATGCCTCCTTACCCTAAGAACTGCCAATATCGTTATTGTCTTTAGCCTCAGTTTCGCCTTCCATTGCAACAGACCAATCCGGGCGAACGAATTCGAACCAGCAGAGTTGAAGACATTCTGACCCCCTTTCCTTCCCACCGACTTCTACCAACGGATACCACGTCGATATACAATAGTATTCATAACGAATCTGTATTATCATGGATAGTAGCGGAGGGCAGGAGCCGCGCGAGCGCTCCTATCGTCGAGTTCCTTCACGAGCCAGCACGACCAGCGCTGCAAACAGCCAGATGACATCGCACAGTACGACCAGTTCCTCTTCCCGGCCACGGGAATCAACTCGTTCTGGTTCACATCCAGCACACAGATACCACCATTCTAGCTGCAGCGACGGTCCGGGAGGAGGTCCACAGCCGCTTTCACGCATGTCAAGCAAGCCCAGTGACGAGTTTAGGAAATCCACACTATCGACTTCTGCTTTGCTGCAGGAGAAATTGCAGCAGGCGAGAAATGAGATGCAGGCGGCCAAACATGGCGGCGATTTAGTTCCTTATAATGGTGATGTTCAAGAACAGGATATGCCAAACTCGCCTATGAGAAGTATGGCCGCTGTAGGACGACGACAGATGCCCGATTTTAGTTATGAGCCTCCCGATGCCGCAGGGATGGGGGCCAGGCAGATGGAACAGGTAGGATATGTCCATTATTATTCCCATGCCGATAAATTCGGAAATCCTGCTGACTTAGACATGGAGACACTGTCGACGCTACACAAGCAGAATTTCGATCTCAAGGTGGAAGTGTACCATAGACGAGTGAAACAGACGGATCTCGAAGACAAGATTGACCAGCTCGAATCAGAACGCGGTGATATGGAGAGTATTGTCATGAAGCTGAAGTCACAATGTGACGAAAAGGATAATATTATCGAGAAGCTCGGGGGTGAAAAAGTAAAGATGCTTACAGATATGGTGGAGATGGAAAATGCTATTATGGAGGCCGTCCGGCACATTGTGGGACTGGAGTCTAGTGTCGATGAGATGAAGAGAGAGAAAGAGATGGTCAGACAGGTCGAGACAGATGGAGCGTACCGCTATTTGGCTTCGAATGGGCGACCAAACCCCGGATCCACAACCTCTATGGCCCCTTCGAATTCTGCGAATCTCGACATCCCCTTTATGGCTGGCGAAGGTGGGGGTCTCGGACGCGTGCCCAGCTTCCTCTCGGAGCACAGCCACCAGACCGAGAATTTACGGAATGCGATCTTGAAAGGTCGAAGCAGTGCGATGCATCTGCGCAAGGTATCAGAGTCAAGTGCGTCACCTAGCGAGATTAACCGTATTGCTAGTCCTAGCTTTAGCGTGCTTAGCGAGAGCTCCTTCGTCAGCATATACGGTCCAAAAGAAACACGAGACAAGGAAAGCTCACAGCCGTCGAATCCCGTTGTGGGAATGGACGGCAGCCACGTCGACCGTTCCCCAACACCGACGATGAAGAACGCGAACCAAGAGAGTCATGGCGGCGCTAGGCTCTCAACTAAAATGCAATCTCTTAATAATGTGCTTGATATAACTTCGCCCTTGCAGAAGATCACACGGCTTGAGGGACAAATGGTAGTAAGCGATGATGTTTCGAGGCAACATATGCCTAACCGGAGTCGAGGCATCATAACCCCTACACCCGCCAAACCATATATGAACTTGCCGCAGCAAGGCAGGACTAAGCAGGAGAAGAGAGAGGCTCTACAAAAGGTTCTCACGAATTACCCTACGCATAGGGATTTCTCCAACCCCCAGGCATTCCCTCCTACCCCCGATACGGTATCCTCGTCGACACTCCGAAAACATCAGAACCTTACCGGTTCACAAGATAGTCTCTCAAGACCAGCAGGAATTATCCCGGGTGAGGGTCTCGTACCCGTACACGAGAGAATCGGAGCAGCGAGGGAGTCATCTTACCAGACATCCTATAATCAACAGGCACCTGCAACGTCCTACTCTAACCGTAGACAGATCCCAATGCCATTAATAGATACTAATCCATTCTCCGACCTTAGCCAACTTGCGCGATCTCTCCCACCCCGCCCCCACTCGTCAGCCGAGACGATGAGCTCTCGCGCGAGGGCTAACAGCGTTGGATCGGACACGGATTCGGATGGCGGAGCAGACGCGCGCTCTGAGGCACCCACGGTCGATTATTGGATGCGAGAAAGTATGAGGCCTAACATGCAGCGTGGGAACGGTCGTTCGGCGTCTCCTGATCTCTTCTCCTTCCCGGCCGATACTCGAGGCTGGGAAACGGACGTGATCTTCGGGGCCCTGAGGGGTAACGGCTATCTTGGTTCACCCGTATCGGCACTAAAGCGCGACCCCCTTGATGAGATGGCCAGTTCGTTGCGAGCGTCGGCGACAGAAGTGTTTGATCCTCATCTGTCGGGTCAAGCACCCCCCACTCCTGATAGGCGGTCGAGTCTGCATGCGCGTACCGGTAGCACAAACGCAGCACTTCCGACCGGCGGGAAACTTAGGAAGAGCCTTGCCAAGGGTCCAGGCATGGGCTGGATGGACGGGAAAGGCAGAAGCAATAGTATCGACACTACAGGCCACCCACAGTCTAACAAAGCATATCCCCAGCTCCAGGAAGCAACGCCTGCCGGAAGACGCAACCCTTATCCACCTATCTCTGGGCAGACGCCTAACAGACGTGGCTTAGGTCTCAACTCGCTGTTCAGACGATCCGGGTCAGAGAGCTACAGCGTTCCCTCTAGCGCAACAGAAGCAAACTTTCCTGTGCCGAATTCAGCTCAGCCGGTGTTATCAGCACTGCCTCCAGGGATGAATTTTGGCGGCCCTACAGGGAGGAGCAGCGTTCCTCCACCATCGACCATGCCGTGGCGGCCGCCTGGTGTGGTAGACGACGACTTCAAGAGTGCGACCCCTCCTCCTATCATGCGTAGCCGTGGGATGTCACTTTTGTCCGGGTCCGGATCGGGTGGTGTCGAGTTGCCACACGTGGTGACATCACATCATAGCCAAATGAACGATTTACCATCGCCCTCTACGCCAACAACGGTGATGCCAGCCCCCAAGAGGAAATGGCTAGGGCTCGGAAAGATGGGCGGGCTGAAAAAGGGTTAGGGAAACTCGTGCCTCCTTTCCTAACAGAATTGATGAATCGTGAATTACTCTTAACCCGGCAACCCGATTGTATTATATGCTACTAGGTACGTGTAACAACAGTATTGGTAGGGGGGGTTACCGTTACTTGGGAAGGTTGTGGTCATACGGCATTGGCGTTATTGGACCTTCAATGGTGGAATTGGTAGAACTGGTGGAATCGCTAGAATCGCGCCACTCATCGGGATGGAATCGCTGCTGGAATCATTACAATTGCTGGAGTTGCTGGAAAAAACCAAAGTACATAGGTATTGCTGGGTTAAAAGAAGTGATATAATTAGCTTTACATTGAAGCTGTAATGTTAGTCTTGTTCATATGTTCCATGCACATATTTAAACGCGACGATGAAAAGTTGAATAGTTCAGGTTGTTAAGAGATTGGAACAGGTGTGTAGGGTACCTACTAGGTACTAGGTAAGTACCTATTAGCAGGTCCCCGAAGAAAATCAATAGGGCTGGCTACTTGGGTACCTAGCCCTGTACCTAGCTGAAATCGATGACACTTAACTGCACTATGGGCACCTCTAGTATCAACCTTTTCTATCAATTCTTCCATTTACATCATCACTTTCACATACCTTAGTACTATAATTGCATATAATTGCATATATACACTTACATTTCCCCTCATCACCTGTTTCCCTTTAAATTACGGTGCATAGGTAGTTAATAACCTACCTAGTATTCATATGAACCTGCCCCGTGCCTAGTATCCACCTAGGTATTGCATCTTGACTTTCGCTGCCATGGCCAAGGTTCGCGTTAAAGTCGACGCGGATGACACTCTTCAACCTCGCGCAACTCTGCGGCGCAGCACGAGGAATAGTGGTAAGGGAGGAGATGTACTCATTAAGAAAGAAGATAATCCAGCAAAACCGCTGGTTGCGCCGGTGCGCCGGAGTAAGAGACCCAGAACTGAGGAAGAGACGATAAAAACTGAACCTCCAATCAAGATTGCGAAGAGGTCATCCTCACTCTCTACTCCCCCTGTCTCAACGCGGGTGAAGACTGAGGCCCAGAGTCCGAAAAAGGAGAGCAAGGGCGCCCTCGTAAAAGGAGAGCACGGTAAAGAGAATGTCGGCGATAGAGAAGCAGGTCTTCGAGCGAAGAAGCTCAAATCATATGCACAGTTCGCCAACAAGTCGCCGTTCCCAGACTTCTCCCGTCCAACGTCCGAGGAATGTAAGCATGCGTATGATGTCCTTGCCGCCCTACACGGGGAACGGCAACGTCCTGAGAAAGTGAGCGCGCCCACGGATCGCGCTGGATGCGGCGACGCGCCGTCCGTGCTGGACGCGCTCGTGCGCACGATCCTCTCGCAGAACACTAGCAACAAGAACAGCACACGCGCGAAACTCGACATGGATGAGGTCTATGGCGCCGGCGAGTCCGAAGAGAAATGGGACATGATCGCCACCGGCGGACCCGCGAAGCTGGAAAAAGCTATCGCGAGGGGTGGCTTAGGTGGCGTGAAAAGCCGCACTATCATGGATATATTACGACAGGTCAAGGAGCGGTACGGGACCTACTCGCTTGACCACCTTCTACAGACGGGCGCGGGGGGTAATGGTAATGACGAGGAGGCTATGCGCGAGTTGATTTCATTCAAGGGTGTCGGGCCTAAGACCGCGAGCTGTGTGTTGCTGTTCTGCGTGGGGCGCGATTCGTTCGCGGTTGATACACACGTGCATCGGCTTACAGGGATGTTGGGGTGGCGGCCGCCGACGGCGAGCCGGGATGAGACGTTTGCGCATCTTGATGTTAGGATCCCGGGCGAGTTAAAGTACGGGCTGCATGTGCTGTTTGTCGAGCACGGCCGCAAGTGCTCCGAGTGCAAGGCGGGCGGGAAGGTCCTCGGGAAGTGCGAGCTTAGAAGGGTGTTTAAGCAGGGCAAGGTAAAGGTTGAGGGAGAAGGAGAGGGAGGGGGGAAGGATGATGGGAAACTGGAGCTCGAGGAGATTAAGGGGTGAATTGGATAGGTATTTAGAAGTTGGTTGTGCACTGCTCTTCGAGCTTCTTGTATTCTTGTAGATACCTAGGTATCGTATAGGGGTCTGCAATGGACATATGTAGGCCTATCTACTATCATAAAATGTCCACTATGGTAGGACACATGCTAATACACCTGGACAGGTATCAATCGTCAATATCTCCGCCGCTAAGCGCCGTAACCCGACTCCAAAATGGGTTATGCAAATATCTACATAGGTAGTATAAATACCTATCTAGGTAGGTACATATGTAGTATTTATCTAGGTACCTGGTACTAACTTCCAAGTTCCAAGTTCCAAGTTAGAACTTCAAGATAACCTTAGAAGTTTCTCTAGGTATTTATTTACTTATTCATTCATTGCTGTTTTGTCTATTCTATACATTCAACCGTCTTCTGCGGTGTAATTAATTCTAAATCTTGGATTTCTCGGGATAGTGGGCGTCATGGTGATCAAGTCGGCGGGATCGGTGATGTAATTATGACCTTTTGCCTCCTTTTCGACTTCCACCAGAAGATCATTTTTAATATTGTCGAATGGCATTAAGCGAATGGAAATACTTACTTCTCTACATATACGTACCTAACTATAATTGCTTCCAACTTATAATAATCGATTTCAAATGATTATTTCCAAAATTTATCCACTCTTGTACTCACGATACGCTTCTTTCAGGGGCGTAATATGATCTTAGTCCCAAGAGCTTAACAATAATCCTCGTTTGGATGGATTCTTCCAGAGAAGCTCACCAGCTCGATGATCTGGGGCCTTTAGGACAACAGTTATGGAGGCCGGATCTTTCTCAACATTTCCTACAGCCCGGCACCGTACCTAGCACCAATCCTCCCGAATTTGCTTATGGGATACCACTTCAAGAACCACATACAGGGTTAAATAATCTGGCTTCTGCCGCTGCCATTTCCGATTCATATAATATGCCACAATCCCAGGCATCGCCGCCGAGTCAAAGTGGACCGTCTGCCTTCATAACTAACGAAAAACTTCCGACTGGGACCTCGACGGCGACAGCGCAGCAAAGAGAGCAACTCAAAGCTAGGCGCCGTGTTCCAAATTCTCAGCGGAAGAGGACCCAGGTTAGTTGTGACGCCTGCAAAACTCGAAGATGTAAGTGTGTGCGTCTGCAATCGACTCCGAGAGCCGGTAACGATGCGACGACACATGATTACCTGCCTCCTTGTAAGTTGTGTGTCGAGACTGGGATTCCCTGCGTGACTTCGATGCCGCGAAAACAGCGAGTTTATGGCAGTGTTGAAAATTTGGATAAACGATATCGTGCTCTTGAGGCCCTCGTTTCCGGCCTGTTTCCAGACTTGAACCCTAGAGCCTCCGCAGATGAGTTGGTTGCATTTGGGCAAGATAGGGCCATAGCTATGCCGGACTTCAGCGAATCGTCTGACCAGCCTCGACTTTCGTCAGTCGAACCTCTTACACAGCCAGATACTACTAAACCCTCTAACCAGGCCAGCCAACAATGGAAAAGGCCTGATTCGAATTTGATCATAGCTGGAACTGATGGGTATAAGACGATACTGCCTCCGTCTTACCTTATGAGATCCACGCCTGCGAGCTCGAGTGCACAACCCTCGCCAGAATCGGCTACAGACAGCGTGGTGGAGCACAATGCTGAAAAAACCGAGTTGATACTGGATGCTACTGGCCGACCTCACTATATAGGGCCATGTGGAAGCCTAGCTTTTTTTGCGGAAATGCGCGAGATATTTGCACGCCAGACCAATATCACGAAGGGCCTACGAGAGACCGATGCGAGTTGTAATTTTCCAGTGAGCCCGAGAGGAGCCCTTTTCAATACCAACCCACTTGCTGCTTCGTTGGGCGGAACTGGTGACCGTGGTCGAGCTAGTGGTTCGCCCTCGGGGCGACCCGGCTCTGGTTCGCCGCATCATCGCGTTCTAGATCATCTCGATGGAGACTCTCCGCCTCGGATATGCGAAGATATGCTTAGAGATCATTTCGATGACCCTGAGTTTTGGAGGTATCGCAAAAGGGTATCCACGATTCAATTACCACCTAGGGAACGTACGGATATCTGTGTTAGAGCGTTCTTTCATCATGTTCACCCAAACTTCATCCTATTCCATCGGCTTACATTCCAGAGGGCGTATGAGAAGATGTGGCGTTGTTGGGAGGCACATAGAAATTCAACCCAAACTGACCGTATTAAGGAGTTCTCCGTCTCGGTAGGATGGCTCTGCTGTTTGTACATGATAATCATACTGGGTTCCCGGGCGCTACCACAGAACGGCGACTCGCTCGAATTCCAACGAAAATGGTTCGCACAAGTCGACAAGCTCCCGCCTCTCCTCGGTACCTCTAGTCTGCCAAATGTGTGCGCATATATGCTTCTCTCCTTGTATTTTCATAATACCAATGATCGGACCAGCGCATGGACGTTTCAAGGTGCTGCCTGTCGATTAGCGATAGCGCTTGGTATGCATCGTGAGAGCTTCTCGGACCTCTTCGAGCCGGTTGAAAGGCAGCTTCGAAAGCGTGTATGGTGGACTTTGTACGGGTATGAGCAGTTTTTGTGCTGCTCGTTGGGACGACCTAGCGCGATCGACGATAGGGAGATGGACGTCGGGATCCCAGATGAAGAGTATCTAGACACAAACCTCTTGCCATCGCATTACGTAGGGCACGGGGCTCAGTTGAATATGCTTCTCGCGGCCATTCGGCGCGGAATCTTCGACCCCAGCTTTGTCCCAAGCAAGATGTACACACGAGCCTTGGAGTTCTTGGATACTCTAGCGGGATGGGAGGATGCTCTTCCCAAAGGACTAAGACCTGCAGCATTTACTACAAGCTTGGACGGTAATTCCAACCAGCGACGAAGTTCTATGCTACTTCATGTTCAATACCACCACGCGTTGACTTTTCTAACGCGACCATTCCTTCTCGAAACTATCCAATCCGCATGTGGCGGGGAGCCCCTTGGACCCGACGCCTGTAAAATTAGGGGGTTGAGCAATGTCTGCTTGACTGCCGCTATGAGATGCGGCGATCTCATTGTCAATATATGGCGTGCTGGCCGCATTAACGGAGTTACATGGATAGATATATTCTATACGTATATGGCTAGTTTGGACATTTCGCTCGCCTTACTCTCTCCCGATTCGCTATACCAAGATGAAGGGCACCCGGAGATCAGTAAACCAAGACTTATACAACGCCATACTGTCGGAGAGATGAGGAACGCAGTGGCACAGTTATGCGACGTGATGACAACTATAGAGGTTTGTGGGACGAATGCTCGGTTCGCTAAGGCGGCGTTCGAGTTTGCGAGCGCCCTCGGAATCATCCCCGTCGAGAAAGCGTTCTCTTTACATCTACAGGTCTCCGATCCAAAGACAATGACCATGGCCCAGGATCCAAACGAGAGGGATCATGTCCAGGATCAAGTATTTCCTGGAGATCCTCAACAAGCAATGGGGGTTATCGGACTCGGCCAGCATATGACTGGACTGCCCAACTACCCCTACATATTACCGGATGTGAATCTCAACTTTACAGGCGAAGGTTTCCACGATGCTCCGACCGATGCGATGGGGAATGATTTGCAGTGGGATATGTAAGTCCTTATGTCATTGTGTGCCAAGCTTTATAAGTAGGCGTTTGACATTAATGAATATGGCAGGATTTTACCACCTTCACAATGGAATGGCGGTGCTCTAAACATGGATTTGGATTGGGTCTGGCAATGTCCGAATCAGCGTTGGCATGGCAGTCAAGCTGACTAGTAAACCTCGCTAACCTTGATGAACAAAGATGATTTGAACCAAAAAGCAAAAACCATCCCCGAATCTACCAAACCAGCCTTGTAACCAACCCTACCTTAATAGAGCATGTACAGACTAGATAGCCCCATCCCGAATCAGGGGTTTTATATTCCAAATATTGGTCTTCATCTCGATTTTTTTTAACCAGCTTTGATTTTCTGGCACCAATCTCTTCCGTGACGAGCTTGCCAGTTACAAAGTCGCACCTCCATAGCCATACTGACGAAGCCAGCGATGCATATACCACCGCTGTCGCTGACGCTAGTTGCGCCGAGGCTAAACTCTCGTTCAGATATTGGTACATTTTCCATAATCTCGGCGAACGTGTTGACATATACCGCACCACCAAGAAGACCTTCCCAAAAGATTATGATGAAAATAATATAAACACTAGGGATGAATGGCAACAGCGCATGCAGTGTTAACAACAAGAGGTTACCGACTTGAAGAAATGAAGGAAGGTATAAATGCCGGAAGCGAAGAAAAGCAATTGACGATCGGGAGATGAATACGCCGAGTTGATATAAAAATCCGTACATGGGGTAAAAATCACGATACTCCTTAAAGGGAGTCGAATCTAGAGGGAATAATAAGGTCGGTGATATGCCTTGGTTAATGGTGTATTCCGCGACGTAGACTAATAGCAGGGGAAGCATGTATGGGAAAAATAATGATTTTGCCCGTCGTAAATTTGTCCTGAATTCAGATGTGGTATATGTTTGATGGGACGTGGAGGCAGAGGTAGCACTCGACCCAGGCGACAGTAGGCTAGAGGTTGCATTTACGGAGGGCAAGTCTTCTTCGATGTCATTCTCCTCGGGTTCCTCATCTAGAATAGGATGGTACTCTTTAGCATGCTTTCCTGCGCGGAGCGGTCCCTTAGGAAGGACGAGGAAGAAGCTGATAAGCATTATCACAGGTAAGAATGCCGAGGCCAGTAGACTGGTTTTGACGGAGAAACCGAACCAGTCGGTAAACAAGACATAAAGTCCGGCACCGACAAGACCAGCCGCGCCAGTACCACTTCCCCATGCAGCAAGACTCATGTGCCCATAATAATGCGTAAGTCCGAGAAAGCTCAGCTCCCCGGCGCCGCTCGATAGGCTCGCGAAAACAACACCAGCCATCTTGGCACCGACGGACCTATCTGGAGGCGTAAGTGCAATCATGAACATGCCGAGCGATGAGGTCACTGCGAATGCGACGGTGCGTAGCCAGTAGGGGGCTTTATGTATGAAGTACGGCGCGGTCAACTTGGTGAGGAACGAAGGGAGAACATCGGCGAGGAGGACGAGTCCTTTGGGCACATCGGAACCGACAAGGTCTTGAGCCGCGGAGAGGATAATGACATATAGGACATTGTTGATCAATCCTTAGATTTTTTATTCTTTTTTAGCAGCGTCGTAGGATATCAAAACAATATACACGTTACCTAATGATTAGAAGACATACCAAATAGCCAGAACGCGACCAGCACCGACGTGTCGGCGTTTTGAAAGACGGAGGCGAATCTGGCCCGGTAAATGGCCCAAGACGACGAAGGCGAGCCAGGAATTGGTAAGAGACCCGAAGACGCAGGCGAACGACTCATGATAGTATATCGTATCTGATGGTCATCTTTGGTGTATGTATACCTTGTACGTGGAGAGGATATTAAAAGGTGTAGGTGGAAAGGTTTAGGTATTTAGTAGCATTGACATTACCTAAAAAAGACGGATCCATTGATTACACGCATATGCCTGTAAGTGCACACCTAGGTACTTGAGTAGGTACCTAGTAGGTATGTATGTACCCAGTGTTACCGGGTACGCGGGACGCTAAAGTGGGTTATGATTTAGTTATTCGGTACCTAGAACTAGTCCATCCCATCTCATCCATCATTCATCATCTCGTCCGTCTTCTCTATTTCTCTTCCTCAGAGCACCAACATAATCCGCTCGCTATATTTTGTAGGTCTACCAAAAGTTACCTGGGCATAATTTCTTGTCAAGTCCATAATGATGCTAAATAAAGTCTCGGGTTTGTTGTCGCCTTCTTGTTTCCTGTTGATGGATGTGGGATGTCCCTTGGTATCTTTAAAGAGCTCAAACATCGTATCCACTGTATACTCTTCAAGGTTAGACGTGAGCTCTCGGATTCGCTCCAATCTTATGGGCGAATCCATTAACCAAGGAGGTTCGTCAATGTCCGATTTATCGAGAACGAGGTGATTCGTATGGCAAACTCGCCCCTCTTTATCCATAGCCAGCTCCTTCACCCAGAGGTTGGTACACTCGAGGCCAGTCGATCCCGTTAGATCACCCACCAAGATGTGTCCCCCTCCGGCAACCCCGAAAGATTTGATCAAAGCTACGGCTTCCTCGCGAGATCTCGATTCCAACGCTGTTCTGAGAGCGAAGTGGATGGGTAACTTGGTCCGGTCAAGACCACGGCATCGAATGGCGTTTAAGCAGCAGCCTACCCCTTTTGAGTTGAACCCAATCTTCCCGATGATGCCAGCTTCCGTTACCATGGCAATATCGGGGATGTCTCTATCCGGCTGTGATATATAGCATACGACAAGGTTTTGTCCCTGTTCGACCCTCCAATCCCAGTTCTGGCAGAGAAACGACGTCGACTCAGTCAGCCAGCCCAGGCTCGTACATCCATCACTAGGGACGTCGGTCAACCCCCTAGATTTGTCTGTGAAGAGGCCGAAAGTAATCTCGGACCGCACATTCAGTGCCAGAATATCTAGAAACGGTATATTCGCCCCATCGGCAATGCCTTCGATCTCGGTAAGATAGCGAGGTGCTATCTTCTTCAAGGGTTCCACGTATATTGACGCTTCTTGAAGGACCTCCGCCCAACTCATTGAACATGACTCTTGGAATAGTTGCCCATAAAACTGGATAGATCGCTCTATCCTTTCCTTGGCTGCTTTGCCATGCTTAAGCCCGATCTATTAGAGGATTAGCGTAATTACAACAGACTCACCTAGTATGTAGGTAGCCAAGGAAAACGAAAGCGAGAGCTGTACCTCGTAAGGCGTTCCGTCACATCGGATTTCGAGCATCGCGTTTCACCTTCAGTATGCTATTTTGGTACCTAGGCAGGTATTTATCTTTAGACAGAAACATACGAACTCGTCCTTTTCTCGTAAAACAAGCGATTAGACGATGTCTAACTGGTACTCTTAAGAATAGTATGATATGTTGGGTAGATGGAGATCCGGGACTTGGAGACATCTTATCTCTCCGCACGAGTTACTGCATCTAGTATAGGTACCTACTAGTACCTAGTATACTAGACTAGACTAGGCATGTATTGTATTGTATTGTACCTACCTGCCTACCTACCTAGAAGGTACCTACTAGATAATTTGTAGTGTAGGATGCCAAATTTCTGCTCTTATCAATGCCGAGATGGTCGCGTCTTATTATGGCCTAAAGGCGAAATTGGTGATAAAGGAGATGATTTTTCATATCGCATCTCGACGGACCTCCTTTATTTCCCATTTCTTACAGTGCATTTCTTATTCGATATCTTATGTATATCAGTCGGGCTTCATGATCAGGATTAGGTAGATCATACCTATTAACTTAATCTCTCTAGCTTAGGAAATGCTAAATAGTAAACATGCTGCTTCGGCTGTTATAAATAGATGAGAAGAGCACTAATTATGTGCTGGCGGCAGGGATGGGAACCACCTAAAAGTCAGGCATTCAGGCAGTATGACATAGCCCCTGCTAGGGCATGACCGTTTAAGAACTCCAAGATGGGAGAAAACACGACGATCGCTCTTACTTTCTTCCTTTCACTTCGTGCTTGCGACGATGCCCAGGTCACGATTTCCGCCGCCAAGCTGTTAGAGATCAGTCGCGGGTGCTGCAAAACATTGAACATTACGTATTATCTTGGCAGATATATACCTACCAGACTGGTTAGGAGGTAGGTATGTATATAGATATGTAGGATGGAAGGTAGGTACCTCATTAGCAAGGCGCTGAACAGCAAGCGCTGGCACCGCCATTGCCATCCCAGCCCCTGCCACCTAAACTACCTCGCAGCCTGGGTAGTAATTACCATATCAATCTACATAGGGACGTTAGAGCAGCGTCATATGGCGGAAAGTCCTAGGATGAGGCCAGTCGTGGCCGTAGTTGATGGAAGGCCCCCCCTTGCATCTGCATCTGACCTCGGAGCCTTGCTATCTCGTTTAAGATTCAACAGTTTTATAGAGTACCTGCCCACGTTGTATACCTACTATTCTCTTGAGCATCGAGGTGTGCCATCGATTCTCGACCAGTTCACAGCTCGTGAACACATTTCTACCGAATCTCGCGCCGATATCACAAAAATCCTCCCAACTCGGCTTCAGCCACCAACATCGTCTAGAGCTCGTTTCGTTGATACAAGGCCTACCGACGACCATTGATTGCCCGTGGTGAAAATGGCGGCTCGCTACAAGTACACGGGCGCAACCGAAATGCAGGACCGCACGCGAAAAGAGCGTCTGTTTGATGAAACCGAACACGAACTACCTAACTTCTCCCCATTTTCCGCGTCATCGGGAACGATCGATAAAGCCTACGATCTTCTATCGTATCTCGGCAAGAACAATCCATTTCCGCGCTCAATTACAGGCGAAGACACCGTTTGGCTACTCGACAACACTGCGTATCGTAACGAGGGAACGGGGAGATGGGAAGCCGAATTCGTCTCAGCTGCTTTCTCCCAACACTCATCCTGCGCCGTGGTTGACGCTGTAAGTGCTATAGCTGAAAAGATTGAACTGGACGAAAAGGATCCGAATTACCCCACCGTCGAAGAACGCATCCGACCATTCTTGCAAGACATCAAACCGGGCACTCAGGTCAAAGCACTTCATAGGGGAAACACTCCACTAAAACTCGGTCCTGGTGGTAGGAATGGAATTAGTAGCGATATCAAGGGACTCCCCGCTAGAGAGGGAGGCGAGCTTGCTCCTACGTTTGCCAAGGTTCCTAAAGGCGCCGACGGTGTTCTAGAAATGAAGACGTTTTACGCTGAGCCAGAAGGTTGGGGCGTTATATCCGGTAAGTTTTGATGGACTAGCCTGGACTAGGGATTTAACCCATGGGAGCCAGCGGATCGTTAACATGGTGAAGATATCGACGACACAATCAAAGTCACTCAGACAAGCGACCCCATTGGCATACTACGAACGACCTTTCTCGAGAAGCCTGAACCCATTTCTGGGATGCCTGAATTATACCGATCCATCCAATCCCTCATCCAGGAAAAATCACCATGGTTCTACCTGTCAGCCTCACCGTATAACCTATATCCCTTCCTACGCGACTTCTGCCAGCAGAATTACCCTTTCGGGACCATTATCCTGCGCGACGCAAGCTGGATGAGCCTTCCTGGATTATTAACAACGCTCACTCTCGGTACGGAGGACTACAAGGTCAGTCGCATGGAAAAGATTCATTCATGGCTTCCTCGGAGGAAGATGATTTGTATTGGCGACTCGACCCAGTCCGATCCTGAAGCGTATGGGGAGATGTAAGTGATCTCCTTGTTGAATACCTAAGGTCGAGTCAGATAATGCTAACACCATGTCAAATTAGTTATCGAGCATACCCTGGTTGGGTAAAAGCAATCCTTATTCGTAAAGTAGAAGACATCGCAGCGATCGGAATCGACGCCAAAAACGAGCCAGAGAGATTTGAGAAAGCGTTCGAGGGCGTACCTCGTGAGATTTGGCATGTGTTCTCAGAGCCGACTGAGTGCCACAAGTTTATCCAGGATGCAGTGTCCAAATCCCCAAAATAATATGTGGCTTACTTAGTACCTAGTAGGTAGGTACCTACCTCGGTACCTACTAGGTACTAGGTAGGTAATATATTTAGAACTGTATTGGATACAACAGGCGGTTTTTCTTTTCCCCCGGTTCCCTTTTTAGGATTGTTTCCCTCTTGATACCCCTTTATCCTCTAAGACCGATGGAAATTCGGTATTTCAATCCTTTTTTGTAGTAATTATCTATTACCTACATAGGTACCTACCTACGATTAGATAAACATTCCTACATGTGTACCTACCTAAAAGCGTCTATAACGTCATACGATTCGACTTCCCCGCGGTTACGTTATGGACCTAATGCAAGGCACTATTCTGTTTTATCCAATCTTCGACGTCACGGCTATGCCGGTATTAACAACGTTACAACCTCTGAATCCGTATAAACTTAGTAGCCCATCCAGTCAAGCTTTCTTTTATAGTGTTATTTTTTTTAGAGTCTTCAATATCCCCTCTAATTATATCTATGTTAAAGCGCAAGTTATCTTTTAAAATCACTTCTACGATCTATCAAAGGTCACGTCTGTTTTCATTACGCAGCTCATCTTACATTCAACGTCACCATTCTGCCATGTCTGCTCCCAAGCGTCAAAAGTCGTCCAAGGATGTGCCGTACGAACTCATTTACTGGCCCGGTATACCAGGTCGTGGTGAGCATATCCGCTTGGCACTTGAGGAAGCTGGGGCAACATACACAGACACAGCACGGATAGAGAAGGGTGTGGACCAAGTGACTGCACAGATTGACGAGCAAAACATTGGCGACGACTTCAACCCACCGCCTTTTGCTCCACCAATTCTTCGTCACGGAGACCTTCTCATTTCCCAAACTTCTAATATCTTGTTGTATCTGGGACCACGACTCGGGTGTAGGTAATACATCGTCATTACACATAATATCTTGTATATCCTTCTTTTGATAGGAGCTTATATAGAGCTGAGGTTTTGGGTCCCTACCTACCTACCTAGTAGTTAAAAGTCGGTTAGGAGCAACTATGGACTACACCAAGAACCACGCAGTATCCTACGTATGCGAACAAATACTGATCCCTTTCGCAGTGGTACCGAGTGGTGATGATGAAGAGCACCCGGATGCGCTGTACAAAGTCAATGCGCTAGCTTTGACAGCGCTTGACGGCCTGAGCAACGAGGTACACGACTGTCATCACCCTATAGGATCTGGCCTGTATTACGAGGACCAGAAGGATGAGGCCAAGCGCAAGAGCAAGGACTTTGTAGAGAACCGGCTTCCTAAGTTCCTAGGTTACTTCGAGCGCGTATTGCAGGGCAAGGCGAGCGGAGAAGGCCCGTGGCTGTATGGCGGCCAGCTGACTTACGCAGACTTAGGTATGTAGTATCAAGAATTCTCACCCCTCCCTTTCTTTCTAGCCTGTCTAGGTAGTTTCATAATATAGTTAACTAAGGAGTTGGGGGGGGGGGGGGGGGGGGGGGGGGGGGGGGGGGGGGGGGGGGCCGGGGGGCGGGGGGGGGGGGCGGGGGCGGCGGGGGGGGGGGGCGGGGGGGCGGGGTC